GAAGAGAATTCGCTTTTTGCCAAAAAAACCCAAACTGGCCACATCAATTATAAAAGCGGGTAAAACCATAGAACCGCGGTTCAATTGCCACTTTATCCTTAGAAAGGAAAGGTTGATGGAGACAGTGTAACTAAGATGATCAGTACTTTCATTTCATAGGGGAACTACTAAGCAAAGTTTTTTTTTTTTGCTGAGTCTTATATCCCTTTGATACTCATGCATGCACTATAATTCGAAGGGTATAATTCTCTTTTTTTGCATGCATATGCGAGAAATAGAACGGTACGTCGAAGGCTCGAAGCTAAATTTTGATCTGAACCCATCACTTCCTTTTTGTGGGAAACAATGAGAAAGTTGTGGAAATGCATTGGTCGGATTCCAGCTAACGGTGATGAAAACGGGGGAAAGCGGCTCACGCCCACCAACGACTTCAGTTAACTTGTTTTCTTCCTCTCGATCGTTTGAAGAATACATTTGAAAATTGATGGAAGTATGTATCAATATCTTAAAAAAAATCAAACGAAACGAGAAGAAGAGATCGTTCTTCATATGTTCTACTCACACTCACATTTTTCATTTGTAGGGCTACTTGGTGGCATGTAACGCATACCTTGAGATTTTTTAATATTAGGATATCCTAGCTAGTTATTGTACCCTATAGTAACTATTGTTTTCTTTCTTTGTTGACTTTAAAGATATTTCGCCTTTTGGGGTTTAGCTGGAAAGCGAAAGCTCAAAATTGTTTTTTTTTTTTTTGCATTCTTGGAGGCAAAAGCCAAGAAGAGAGAAGAGTTACAGGGGTGTAGGGGAATGGGAAAGAGTATTGCGTCCAGACACAATCTGTCGCTGAAAAGAAACTCCTTGGCTGTCATCCCGCAAAATGGGAATCAAACCTGGTGGAGGGTGTGAATCTCATGTATCCCGTAGGGATAGACGAGACTGTGCTTCGAGAGCCAGTCCGCGACTCTATTACCTTCACGGTACACATGAGAGATGCGCACCAGCCAATCCCGGCTGATCTTTCTGCGAATAGCTGCGAGAAGAGTGATATACGGATGCACTGGATCCTGTCTGTCGTTGATCAACTGAATAGCAAGTTGCGAGTCTGACTCCACCAAGATGGCTCGACATCCTTTATTCCAAGCCAGGTCTAGACCATGATAAAAGGCCCATAGCTCAGCAAGAGCTGCTGAAGCTTCTCCAACATTGGCCACGAAGCCAATGATCCAGCGCCCGGTTTCGTCTCTCACTACCCCTCCCGCACCCGCGAGCCCCGGGTTACCGTTGGAGGCGCCATCCAAGTTGAGCTTCACCCACCCGTCGTGTGGCGGTGTCCACGAGATATTTGCCATGATCCTATCTGCTGGAGCAGTCCTCGAACCCATCAAGATAGTAGGTGCGTTCCAAGCCTCGTGCCAAAGCTTAGCTTTCGCAATGATCGAGTGAGCTAAACTCGGCGGACTAAGAGTAGCAGCAGCCCCTTTGAAGCAAAACTCATTCCTATTTTTCCAAATGATCCACACAGCCACACTGAAAAGCGTACTCCACCTGATACCCCCTTGCCATTCATCCTCATCCGCCAGGTTGGAGCGCAGCCAGGCCGTTGCCGAAGAGGTGAAGAAGTTCAGCTTCTTATTGTCGGGGACGTGTCTTGCCCAGAAGAAGCTAGCTGGTGGACAATCCCTTAGGATATGAAACTATAGACTCCACCTGCCCACTGCACCTGGAGCAATTTGGAGACGTCGCTATCTTCCTTGAATAACGGAGGGCATTCGTTGCAATTCTCCCCAGACAGGTCAGCCACATGAAACTTCGAATCCGTTCCGGGACGGGGAGGCTCCAAAAAATCTTCCAATACTTAGCATCCGCATCTGTCTCCTGGGGCAACAAGGATTCATAAGCAGATTTGGTGGTAAAACTGCCGTTTGAAGAAGGTGCCCAAAACAAAGTGTCCTCTTCCCGTGACAGCTTATCAACCGCAATCCCCATAATCTTGTGTTGAACATCCAGCGGAAGAATATCAGCAAAAAGCTCAGTGCGCCATGATCCATCTTCATTGATCAGATCGGCTACCGCCTCCTCAACTCGATCACTCGGAATAGGCTCCACCACCACATCCTTGAGCGGAACCTGCAAAACCCAGGAATCAAGCCAAAACTTAGTGGAGATACCATTCTTAACATTCCAAGCACAGCCGCTTTTAAGCAAAGAGGAAGCAGCCGTTAAGCTCTTCCAAGTAAAGGAACTTCCCTGAGATGGGCAGAAAAGATTCAAATTCTCTCTGTCGCGCCCATACTTAGCTTTAATCAATTGAGTCCATAGCGTGTCCCTTTCTTTGAGCACTCTCCATCCACTTTTAGCAAGCATGGCTAGGTTCGCTCTCCGGATTGAGCGTAACCCAGCTCCCCCTTGGCTCTTAGGAAGCACCATCTTCTCCTAGGCCACTAGATGTAGCTTCGATCTGTTATCCTCCTCCACCCACACAAAATCCCTATTGATCCGGTCAATAGATGCACACACTCCCTTAGGTAGCAACTCCGTATGCATGTGGTAGGTGGGAAGAGAAGAGATAACAGAGCGAGACACCGTCAGCCGAGCTTCTAGGGACAAACGCTTGGCCTTCCAAGGAGCCAGCTTCTTCTGCATCCGAAGAATTAAGCTTTGGTACCTTCCTTTGGTCACTCGTCCATGAATGGCGTGGATGCCAAGGTATCTCCCAAGCTCCGCTTTAAGTGGAATTGCTGCTCTTTCGCTAAGGAGAAGAGCTTTGGATCTGTCCACATTGGGAGACACAAACATCAGAGACTTGGCATAATTCACTCTTTGGCCGGAACTGTCACAAAAATCGTCCAAGCATTTCTTGATAACCCTGATCTGTCTTGTTTCCGCCTCTGCAAAAAGCAGGAGATCATCTGCAAAAAAAAGATGCGTAAGAGGCTGCCCATCCTTAGTAAGCTTTATGGGTTTCCATTGCTTACTGTGGAGGGCCTCATCGATCTTATGAGATAAGCGTTCCATACACAAAACAAAGAGGTAAGGGGAAAGAGGGTCTCCCTGACGGACGCCACGACTAGGAGTGATGGTATCTGAAAGAGAGTCGTTCCAAAGCACCCGCATTCTGTTTTGCTCAACGCAGTGCATGATGCACCTGATCCAAGAGCTGGGGAGACCAACTTCCTTCAGAGTGTCTCGAAGAAAATCCCAGCGCAACATATCATAAGCTTTTTCTAAATCAATCTTGAGGATCAGCCCGCCTTTCTTTCCTTTCCTCTTCCTTAACGTGTGGAGGACTTCCTGGACTATGATGACATTATCAGTGGTTTGCCTGCCAGGGATGAAACTGCTTTGCCTGGGGGAGACGAGCTTCCTCATGATCGGCTTCAACCTGTTTGTGATTGCTTTGGTGATAGCTTTGAGGCTGACATTGTTGAGAGATATAGGTCGAAGCTGTGTCACAAACTCCGGGTGGTCAACCTTGGGAATAAGAACTACTGTTGACTCTGAGACTTCCGCAGGGAGAGCTCCCGAGGAGAAGAAAGCTAAAGCCATATCTGTCAAAGATTTCCCGACCACTCTCCAGGCTTGTTGATAGAAGGCCGCGTGAAAGCCATCAGGGCCAGGAGCTTGGAAAGGCTTCATATCGAAAACGGCCTTGTGCACATCCATGATGGTAAAAGGCCGCAGCAGGCTAAGAAGCTCCTCCTGTTGAAGGCAAGGAAAAGCGTGCTTCGGCATCTTGTCCTCATACACCGAGTCATCCTGAGTATAAAGATTGGCGTAGTAACCAAAAACCATCAGAGCTAAATCATGTGGTTCCTCAATCCAATTACCCGCCACATCACGAAGAGCTATAATCTTGTTTTTGCGTCTCTTGATGTTAGCCTGCTGGTGGAAGTAGCCGGTGTTTCGTTCCCCAAATTTCACCCATTTCTCCCTAGAACGCTGATACCATATCAACTCATCTTGCTCAAGAACCTTATCCAGCTCTGCTTCAAGCTTGGAGTGTAGTTTGGCTAGGTTTGGCTGAAAGGTGTCTGTAAGCCGAAGCTCGACCCCTCGAATTCGAGCAAGAAGCCTTTTTTTCCTTTGTTGCACGTTCCCAAAAACTTCAACATTCCATTCCTGAAGGGCATCTCTTAGTTTATGGAGTGCAGTAGGCAAAGTAGACTCCTGGTCCCAAGCCCCTGCAATGGTATCAAGAAGAGTGTTATGAGTAAGCCATGCTGCCTCAAACTTAAAGCCACGAGTAACATGCAGAATTTGCCCCTGTGTAGCAAAAGAAGTAAGAATGGGGTTGTGATCCGAGTTAACACGCGGCAGGTGGCGAACGGTGGTGCTGGGGAAGGCCGAGTTCCACAGGGTGTTGCACAAACTCCTATCAATTCTACTGGCCTTGTAAGACATCGGATTAGACCCTCTCGTCCAAGTGAACTTAGGCCCTGAATATCCAAGGTCTAACAGCTCTGCAGCGTTGATTCTGTCATTGAAAATTCTGCATCTCCGCATCGTAGCCACCGAGGCCGTACCCGACTTCTCGGAAGGGGACCGAATGGCATTGAAATCGCCTGTTAGAATCCAGGGGAGAGTGATCTGCTCGCTTTGCTTGACAAGGCTATCCCAAAGCGCCTTCTGCTGACTGTGGCGAGGAGAAGCATAGACAGCAGTGAGCATCCATTCGGCCGCATTACTTTGAGAGATGCGAAGCGAAATATGTTGCGAGCAAGCCGAAGTTATTTGGGTAGAGAAACGGCGGGCATCCCTGAAGATCCAAATTCCACCTTTGCGCCCTACTGCCTCGACTCGGATCACATCAGAAAAGCCCAATTTATCACAAACTCTATTAGCCGCGTTGCCGCTAACCTGCGGTTCCAATAAAACAACAAAATCAGGTTTTTGATCTTCAATGACCAGCTTTAGAGCTCGGGCAAAAGCTTTGCTACCAGCTCCACAAAATAAAATTAACACACTATAAAGTCGACTTGCCATCCTCATCTCCAAACCAAGAAGTGAAGAAACTCTGTCTCTCCTCTGTTTTTTTTTTTTTTCCTTTCTTTCAGTCTTTGGCTTCTTTCTCTGTGGACCAGCTGTTGGATCTGAGTTTTGTGGTATGTTAAAAGGAAGAAAGAGGCCTCCATAATCCCAGTTAAGCTTAGAGCATTGGTAAAACAATGGCGGTGCTTGACCTGATTCATGGGAGGCCTATACTAAATCTTGGTGAGAGTTTCGCTGATGACGCATCTTCTGTTCAACTTTTCCTTCCAGATGCGTTTATTAGTAACGCTCAGCACATTCAAAAGAATCTCTCTTTTAGATCTTCCTTTTAGACTTAAGTTTTACCTATGAAACAATAATGGTAAAGTCAGATTGGAAGAAATTTCTTAGAACTCTGTCGAATGAAGTCAAGAACCCTATGTGGCCTGGCCTCCAATGCTTCATGGATAATTACATTACCCTCCTCGGTCAAAAATGTTTACAAAAGAGTAATAACCCTAAGATCCAAAGAGAGGATGAAAAATAAACCCAAGTTCCATTCCGTGATCCACGAGGATTCACTCTCAATTCAATCGATCTTACAGAGGAAAGCAAGCATCCCCTGTTTCTCTGCTTGCTACTTTGAAAAAAATGAGCCTTTTTACCCAACTCATAAAAAATAAGCCCCACAACACTACTAAAACCCAACTACATGCAAACACCTATCATATATGTACAAGAAAGATTCCACCTTTCCTCTTCCAAAATACCCTTCAACCGTCTTAGTTCCCCTGAGATGATAAACGCGGTTCCTCCTCAGAGGCTTCATGCTGATGCGGCGGAGGCAGAGGTGGCGGTGGTGGCATCGGCGGCGGCGGCTGGAGTTGAGGAGCAAAGGTGGGAACCGGCGCTGGATGTGCTATGAATGTGGGAATGTTGTCTCCAGGCATCAACACTGATACCCCATTTGCATACACCGTCATCTATCATAATAAACAGTTAGCAAAAGAACGAAAGATGGAAAGAATATTGATTAGGGGTTCTTTCTACTCAACTTTACTATAGTGGATCTAGGAAAGGTTTTTAAGTGGCTCCCATTTCCTATCAAGATCAAACTGAAGGCCCTTTTGGTGTACTTCTTTTGTCTGTGGAGCCATGTGTCTCTCAACTACCAAAGGAAGCATAAATCTACTACGTAATATATATCGAGACGGAAATTACATAGTTGATTACTAGATGAGAATAGATTGAAATTACTGCTTCTAACACTTCATTGTATTGGATCTTGCACGATCTATAAACTGGATTTGATCTCCTAAAAGTCGGTTTGAAGCATTAAGGTATTGGTTTGCCCTAACAAGTGAAGTTGTTGTCACAAGACACTTGTGAACCAAATGTGTTGCCCCACCTAACAAGTCAAATGCATGTGTTTCAGCAAATGGCATTTGCCTTCCTAACCACGAGCCCGGTTATCGTCCACCACTTGGCTTTTAGAGAACGGATAAGCCAACGGCCCAGATCTACTGCACACGCAACGGACGTCCCAGTTCGTTGATCGCTTTAGTTAGTGGAGTGTGGGACCGAATGACTGAACGACTGTACCATGTGTCTGATTTTTCTCCCCACACGCCAGAGAAAGAGGGAGATCCAAATGTCCATCGTTTCCAAAGTTTTGAAACTGAAATTTTGTTTTAGAATTTATACGTTGAATCCCTAATTTCTGAAATTTGAACCAATTCCAAAATTTGAAATTTGAAACCAAAATTCGAATCTTGAGCGACTGACGATAAGTTTTAGCTTTCCCTGATTCACTACATCCCTTCACCCTCTCTGTCTATCTACCCCTTACTTATCTCCATCTCATGTAGATCTTTAATCTTCCTCCGCTCCGCCGTCCGTCTCTGCACTGGCGCCTCGTTCTCTCTACCTTTACCGCTTGTCTCCCTACATCCCATGGAGATCCTCCTCCGATCCGCCCTTTTGGGGATACTTCTTTTGGCTGTGGAGCCATATTTGTCTTGTTGTGGAGCCATATGTCTCTCAACATACCAAACGAAGGATAAATCCAGCATCGCATATATCGAGAGGGAAATTACATAGATGATTATATGATGAGACTAGTTCGAAATTACTGCTTCTAGCACTTCAATATATTTGGATCTCGTACGATCTATGTAGTGAATTTGATATCGTAAAAGTCATTTGAAAATCGTTTGAGGTATTGTTTTGCCCAACTTGTTGTCACAAGACACTTGTGAACCCAATTTGTTGCCCCACCTAACAAGTCAAATGAAATGCATGTGTTTGAGCAAATGGCATGTGCGTTCCTAACCACCACCATTAATAACTGGTTTGGGTTGTTAGGCCTCCATTCCAAAAACATATTATTAGGAATTGGTCACTTCATAGATGAAAACAAAGGGGAAAACAATACTGATCATCAAACAGACAAGTCCTGGTTGTGTAGTGACTAGCTAATAGCTATGTACCTATCTTGTTCAGGAGGTTTTTCTTTTCTTCTAGGGGCCTTACTTATTGGACAATAAGGTTGGAATCAGGGAGGTGTAGGGCCCAATTTGTGTTTCCCCCAAAGAGTACTGCACATGGATGACTAGAGCTTTGTGATATGCACCATGTTCCCCAAGTACTTTTCATTGGGATACTCAGGCTCAGCAAGAACCCTAATCTAAGGTATAAATCAAAACACATGGTTCACAATCCCCACAAACTACAGTCTACATTAGAAGGGCAGTTAAACATGCTACTTTTGTTTGTTTGTGGTTGGAGCAAAGACATGAATGAGAAAGGAAGTAAAAGCCTCAACCCTTCAAAACTTGTCCAAAACAGATGAGTAATTCCCCTCCATAAAGCCTCTTTTGCCAACCCAAATTTGTCCTCAATTGTAGAGAAATGAAACATGAAAAGATGGATCCTTCCTTATTCAGCCAAAGATTCATTACCCACAAAATGTGTACTAAAAAATGTCCCAATTGATTGGTGGGTCTTTACTCACAAGTCATAACTCATCTGGAAGCATGCAACCATGTGTTCTTCACCAACTCCAAAGTTAAGAACTTCAATCAACCCAGCTTAAATTTTCAAACAAACTCTGTAAATTTTGTAACTTTTCACAAAATTACCTAATAGAAACCAACTTTGGAGAGTATTTGGACATGTGGGTTGATGGAGTAGTCATGGCAAAGCAGAGCAAAATGCAGAGGGGAAGGATAAATTTGCAATGGAACGAAATTATGGGAAAAGATGAGAGCTTTTAATGGATGGAGGGGGAACACTCACTTTGGGAGAAGGGTGGCGGAGCTTGGAGTTGAAACCCATCTGGGACTCAAGGTCGCCGGTCCGTTGACCGCCGCGACCCGGCCGGAGAAACCGCTCGAAGATGGCCATGACTAAAAACATCGAGATGAGGATTGCAGTGGCGACGAACCCGAAAGACACCGCACTGACGGAGTTGTCAAAGCGTCCCAAATGGTCGTCTTGGTCCCTCTGCAGCATCATGGGCGCGCCGACCGGCGGCCAAGGAAAAACAGAGGAAGAGAAAACAGAGCTCGATGATGAAGAAACAGGGGATGAATCGTAGCGGTCTTGGTTCAGCATTGTTTCTATGCTGATGGGGTTGGAATTGGGGAGAGGGGAAGGAGTAAATGGGCAGAAAAATTTAGCCAATAAGGATTAGTTTCATCGCCATCATTGAGCTAAAGATGACGGGGAATTGGTGAGAAAAAACAGAGAAGTGAGTTTGGGGGAAGTGAAGTTGAAGCAGAGCAGTGGTTTGATGGTGGAGAAGATTTCCTTTTGCAATGGGGAGGAAAGTGACTGCTGAAAAAACGCGAGAGAGAGAGAGAGAGAGAGAGAGGTTTTTGGCAGTAGTTGTGCAGGGTGAAAAAGACGAAGCAGGGGAAATTGGGGTTTGTTTTGTTTGCTTGTTTCTTTTTGGAAGTTGGAGTAGTGAAGTGATTTTGACTTTTCAGCTCTTGTGAGTTTTTGTTCTTTTTTTCGTTTCTTATTTTGTACTTCTTCTCTTCTAAGAATATTACCAAAGTCGGTTTTTATGTAGTTAACAATCCTCTATAAAATTGAATGGTATTGACGGGGTGGGATTAGGTGCTAACTCTTATAGGGGTTAGCACCGTGATAACTAGCAAAAAATGTTACTGAAAATAACGAAATCACTACGGATTATTATAAAATCAATGCAACACCTAAGCTAAATCACTACTAATTCAAACTAGTAGTAGTTTTTCCCTTGGTTAGGACGGTGCTAACTATTGTACAATTAGCACCGTAACTCCTCCCGTATTGACGGTATTGTATCGGTATAGTGTTGGTTGAATATATTGTTTTATTTTAACATAGATATTATAACGGTATATTATTGATTGAATATCAGTAAAATATTATTTCGCTAATTTGTCACACAAGACCTCCGGTGATTTTACAAACCATTTGATATAAGAGTTTCATTTGTGATCGCAAATACGAAGCACATATTTCTTCTTTCTTAGCCACGTTGTTCATCATTGTTCCAACATACAATATAGACTCGTCACCGGAGCAATACATAATCGGGCAATACTCCATTTTAAGGATATAAGAAATCATCGTCACAAATTCACGACAACTCTAACACAAGACTTTTCGACACAGAAGAGGCTTAATAAGATCTCCATGAGTGTCAATGCACAATGCACATGTATAGCCAAATCAAAATTGCAATCATGTCTCAGTGCGATAATTAAAACTTGGAATTGTGACTGACAAATCAAGCGATCAACATAATTATTTTGGGTGAATAATCGTTCAGATATGTGTTTAAAGAGAAAATCAAAGAAGATAGTTTAATTATGCAAATCATAGATAGGAAGAAAAAAAAGCACATTTATATTTCATGTCACTTGCGAGCGGGTAATAACTCTCATCAAAATTTGGGGTAGGTTGAGCTAAAAGTTTTGTGATTCTTAAACTTCTCTTAATTCACACATAACATTATTATATAAAATAATTATTTAAATGAATTATTTACAAGAATTAGTGCATGTGTTGTTGTTTTCTAATAGGAGTTAATAATATTAATATGCACAATAGTACTTTGCCCATTTTAAAGACCTACCTTAAAGTTAGAGGGACACATAACATGCAAGGATTGAACTCTTTGAGCACCTTGCCCCCTCCTCACTAATTTAGAGGGACATCATCACATTATTAATAAGAAAGTCCAAATAGACATTTATTTATGCTAGTTATGGGGGGAAACATATACAAAAAAGAGGGAGCCTATCTATATTTGATGAAACGGAGCTTGAGTTGCTTCATCTGCGTCGTGTATTAGTGTTATCGCAACACCATCGGTAGAGCTGTAGTTTTGTTCCTGTAGCAATAGCACGTACATAATCACATGATTTTACATATTCCAACAATTCACTATCGTAATGGATTCACACATGTAACTTGTCGGTAAGTCTTCGGACATGTATATAGTAAATAAACGATTGTATATGACTACATCATAGGTTCACGCCAAACACAAAAATACGTAAGGATAGAGCCGACATTAGACGAGCACAAACAATGTTCAAGTCACTAGTGAATCCCTGACAACTAAGCTGTCCTCTTTTCCTGCCTACACATATTCTTTGTACGAACAAAAAATGCAAGATGAACAGGAAACAAAGGGACATTATTATGAATAAGTGAGGACTTGACAATTGAGAAAGAAAGGGGTTGGTTGGTGAATTATTGATTGAACCAAATTAAGGAACTAACATATTATTATTTGATGAAATGGAACCCTAATTTAATAATAACAAAATAAAACTATCGAGCTCACATGCAGGCTGTCGATGCATGCGCCCCATGTTCCCTTCTATTCGTCCAAGGTCCCCTGTTCTTCTCGTGCAACTTTTTGACACGTGTAGTCCATCTATATGTACTGCCATTTGGCTGTAGGATGACAATTTGAATCTGTCCTACAGTCCTACTAAGTATTACATGATTTGGTTTGCATCTGGATGAGTACTAACTACTAAGCGACAGTAACGTAGGGCGGGACATGAGACACTATCTACTACCTGCCCCGTCCTGCCAATTTCTTGACCCGTTATATTTCAATTTATCTCAATATTTATTCTTATTTTTTCAATTTTAGCATTACTTCGATCATATTTTCACCCTGTGATGAATTACTTTATCTAGACAACTAGCTAGACTTTTTTACTCATTCTATTATCACAAATTTTCATTAATAGAGTGTTTTCCTCTCGCTTTATTGTTTAAAAAAATGTTCACATATATAATTTTATAATATGTTAGAATGGGCCGACCCGTCCCGCCCCGTATTTGAATAGGTATTACCAGTGGCGGACTTCGGAATTTTACAGAGGGGTGTCCCCTTCTAAAAATTAGATTAAATAATTATTAAATAATTAATAAAAATTAAATATTTCTTAAATAAGAACATACCTACTCGTACCGCTTAAAAAAAGTCCACTATGTGTTTTCATATTCGGAAATAATTGCAGAATACACTTGGTGTCTACACTGCTCACAAAAATTGTCTCTGTATATCCTACTAGACAATCATTCACGAGTTGATCACATATTTGAATCCTAAACTTGTTCTTGATGTAATCCAAAGCTGAAAAGACTCTTTCAACACTTGTCGTACAACCATAAATTCAATACAAATTAAGGATAGCTTGAAATTTGTTTAATTGTTAGGTTTTGAAAATAATTAGAGATAGGGAATGACATTTTACTATTACACAGTGTTTAAAATCGAATTGTAGCTTAATGGAAATTATGTTTATTAATAATAGGGTCCTATCTTTGAATCACCCAAACCACCACAAATATTCCCATACACAAAGTAAAAGATTATAGTAGAATAATTATTTTTTCAAATTTCAGGGTGACCCCGACTATCAATTATAATATTTTTGTTCATACGTAATTTACCATCGGGTGTTGGATAATCGTTTTTCAAAATTCAGGGGTGTCCCGTGACACCCCCAAACACCCGTCTGTCCGCCACTAGATATTACCCGACCTAACCCGTACTTGGTGCGGGGCAGGTATGGGTTGAAATACCCACCTGCCCCATTCGTTCCAGCCTTCTCGCAGGCCTCATCTACTCCGGCAAAGCCCCGCCTTCCTCTCAACCCGGCCATAACCTTCTCTGAAGCCGAATCGCCGTCGACCAACTGCTTCCATCTGATTAGATCCGGCAGAAGACGAATCGCCGGCCCTCTTCGGAAATTGACCTTGCCTTCAGTTCCTCTTTCGCAGGCTCTCCTAAATCCATTTTTTTTTTCCAGATAAGTGGAATTAAGGCCTGAACCCACTTTCATATTTAATCATCATTTTCTTCTAAGAAAATCACTTGTCAAGCTTCAAGAGACAGTGCGGGTGCAACACCAGGCCTTATAACCCATCAACATTCGTCTGTAAACATAAATGGTGGGTATGAATACTTTGCCATCTTCTTGTTCTTATACTCAAAGCCGGTTGCAGTTGCTGCAACGTTCTGGGTCTACAATTGAAGCCCAACAATTCTCTGGTTGCTGCCTTGCTAGTTCTAGGGATGAGCAATCAATTGCTTGTGGGCTTCCTCCGCAGGCGAGTTTTCTCCAGAGCGTTTCGTTCGCGAGGTCGCCGAGATTTTTCTTCTGATGCAGGTCTCTTCGGGGAAGGGGATTAGGCAGTGGAAGAAGATAGGACAAAAGTGCACAGTGACCGTGTTTCTGTCTCCAACAATTCGGGTGGGTGGATATAGGATAGGGGTTTTCAGTTGGGTTATCGGTTCAATTGGATTTGGTCATTAGTTTTTTTATTAATATCTTAAATGATGTGGCGTGCTGACCAGATGGAACTAACGGTTTTTTTGGATGGAGATGGACGGAATTACCTTTTTGTTATTTGTACAAACATATATTACTGAAACGTGCAAAATTAAAGGTTTGTGACCATTTTGTACAAAGTTAATAGTTTTGTGACCATTTGTGATAATTACCCCATCTTTTCATGACGCATAAAAGCACTTTCTTTCTCTATTTTCAGGCAAAATTATACATTGCAAAGAGGAAAAGAATTCATTTTATATCTTGAGGTTTCGATTCGGATTGGATTCTGGGTCACAATACATAAGGTTAGGGCGCATGAGAAATGATAATAGTAACATTTTATACTAAAGGGTGTTTCTGGTTCACAAATATACATTCACACGATTCTATATGTTTCGAACGATTTATTATTCAAAATGTTTTATTCAGATCACGTGGTAATTTTAAAGTTTGGAAATTTTTGTGACGATTTGTGAACGTGGCCACTCGTATAAATACGTTGTGAACATGAAATCATTGTTTTGTTATATAATTCTACTCATGTGTAGCACTTAAACTTGTCAGAGTCCATCGATACGTAAGCTCTCGATTTTAATTTTTAACCACCAATACCGCCGCTTTAACTTACTTCACTTCTCAATCTTTCGACAATAATCAACACGATTCAACTCAGAGCAAATAATTTATTTCCCGATCTTCTGAATCATCTTCACACGATTCATGTGCCAGGGTTGACTCAATTAACATGATTACTTCTTCCAATTTAACAGTAAAACATTCATGGATCGAATGGAAAAACAAGACTAATCATCGCTTGAAACAAAGGGAAGTGTATACAATCCTGTACTATTAAAACTCAGACTCAATTAAAGTTTAATTCAATTCTAGACATAGATTAGCAAACATAATCATTGCAAGTTTCAATCTATTGTGTCGGGGACTAACTAAACATGATCATTAGGATTGCCATCAAACAAGACTAGTTTTGGGAAGATCAACAAGATAAAAAAAGTAAAGGGAATGTCACTTCACTTCGCTTCGCTTCACTACATTTGTAGCTACGTGCTTTCATTGAAAGTGGAAATTGGATTCCATGTCTTCACAAAAGCATGCAAAAGTTTAAACCTCCGATTCCAAATGTTGTATTCTCAGTATACATGTATCCTGAGAATAGAATGTTTTTTTTACTTGATGTAATAACAAAATGCTTGTATTCGTAATACATGTTGTATTCCTAATACATAGAAAATGATGTGTTCATAATCTTACCTTTTTGTGAGATTTGAGTATCCATAGTTCATTTAAATTATAATCCATGCATTCTTTTATGAGATCCAAACAATGAATTTTTAAAACCACACATTCTTAGTATACACATAATCTTTAGTACACACATTATCGTAATACATCATTTCCAGAATAAAAAATTCCAAGTTTGTTTCTAGTTCTAACCGAAAACGAACAAGAAAAAGCACAACAAAATATTGTCGTTTATATTTCGAGGGATAGATGCAAACCGTGGAACCAAAACATATATAGTTCAAACCGAAGTACATCAATGTTAACTGTTAAGGATTAACAAAAAATGACTTCTAAGAAATTCGAACCACACAACAGTGACTACATAGCTCTTTTTTCCCTTTCTCCTCAATGGGCTCCATGTTCGTCCATTCACGGCTCGTGGCTGACGTGTCGAACACGCACACTCTAGACATCGTACGTGGCAGCTCCTCGAGCGTCTGAAACCCACCTAGAAAATAGAGTCGGGACCCGATTGACGCCATGGTCAGGTACAACTGCTGGACAAGAGAACTGCAAGTTTGCAGGTGCGATTTATCCACAACGTTCCACATGTTCATGTCTCCGTCGTACGACTCGATATGTCCCTTCCACGGTTTCAAACAGTCGCCGGAGCTGAACAACGTTTCGTTGGCTGCAACGATCTGGTTAGGTGGCACGTCCAGCTGCCACATCCCCACCACCACGTGCCACTTGCCCGTCCTTGTGTCGTACACCTCAGCCGAGCTCCGCTCCACGATGAACGACTCTATCCCCTTCCCCGAATTGTGATCTCCTCGAGACGCGAACCCTCCAATCACATAGATCTTCCCCTGCCACGTCACTCCAGCACACTTGTACCTCATGACGCTCATGTCTGGCAACGAGCTCCACTCGTCACTCGCAGGATCGTACACCTCACCGGACGCCACTCCGTGCGTGCCTGCCACGTCAAACCTACCTCCAGCCACGTAGATCCTGCCATCGCACACGCAACACGCGAAGCAGCAGCGCGGTTGGGACAACGGCCCGCACCGGGTCCACCGATCGCGCCCCACGTCGTACCGCAGGACGCACGACCGGATCTCGAGGTTCACCTCGATAAACTCATCATCCGTCCCGTCCTCGACCACGTGGTGGACAGTGGACCTCTCCTTGCGGACCACGCGTCCACCAATGATGTAGACCGAATCTCCCAACGAGACCATGGCAAAGTCCTTTAGGACGCAGTTTGGGCCCAACCCCGGTATCGGGCCCATGTGGGTAAACCCGTTGCTTGATGGGTCGTAACACTCGATCCAGTTGGAGGTTGTGTCGTTGCAGAAGGAGGCGTAGATGCGGTGGTCGGACTGCGGCGGCTGAGAGGGTGCCGCCGGTGCCCGGCGATCTCGCGACCGAGGACGCGTCGGAGAAGGGACGGAGCCCATTTTTCTTAGTGAAATTTCGAGTGAGGGGATATTTGTTAACTTGAAATAATGTAATGTGTGATGGAACAAATGTGGTTTGATGAAGCAATTGGGAATGGCGGGGGGAAAGATATAAAGAAAGGCCGGCGGAGGAGACGAAAACGATTGGGCTTGTTGGCATCGAACGGAAGAAGAAATGGAAACCAAATCTTATCGTGGAGATTTAAATGGAGGTGAAATCTAGGCTTGTCAATTGTCACCGTCGACGCCTATGATAATATTTCGATAATGTCACTGTGAGAGAAGGGATGGTCACTACTCACTAAAGTTGGTTTTTGCATTAGTATATGATGCAAAAATTCGAAATGGTAGCACAAGAAGTTATCAAATTTCTTAATTTGGTCACTAATATTGTCGATTATTAGAGTCAGCCAGGTTGTTGTCAATTTATTACAAGATGAAGTTAAGTGACTAATTTGTTAGGTTGCAAAGTTGAGCAACCATTTTGTTGCAAGCATCAAAGTGTAGTGAGCACTTAGATTTTTTTGTCTATAATAACGTTTCGTTAAGTTATTCGTAGAATTACGATCTCCAAATAATTCACAAGTAAGAAACTGCTATTTAGATATCTGATTCATCGATTTTTCGGACATGGTATATTACCTCTGCCCTTAATAATTAAAATATTGATTCTACTTCTCTAAATCCTATACACTAAGTTGAATTTATTTTGAATTCTCTGAAATAGATCCAACATAATACATGCACCGTCTTAGGGTTTAGTGCTTAAAATTTAGAGAATTATGGTCTAGGTTTCATCAATTACGAGTTAGGGTACATTAATATGCTCCAAATTCTAATTAATTCGAATTCTAGGAAGCATTTTCTTACTAAGAGTATACGATATATCCTGGATTTACAAAAGTTATGAGAAAAAACACCATACATATGGGTCATACTACTATACTTTTGGAACATATGATGATGTTTCAGGTACTCTTAGTGAGATACATTTATCTAGACCATAAATTAAACAGATTTTGGGATATGATATTATACCCTAACATTCAATGGATAAACCTCATATCCAGATTCTCTGAACCCAAATACGAAGTTCAATTTAATATATAAAAAACAATATTTGACTTGATCAAATTGGTCGGAACTCATCGAAATACATCGATTAAACACATGAAATATGCTACACTCTTGAAGTATAACAATCTTTACATATGCATAATATTGGAATGTTAACTCGTGATTGTATATGTACGATAGAGCTGTTTTTATTTTATTTTGTAAAGGCACGATAGAGCTTCATTATATTACACTACTTTTTACAATTGTACTTGGGTTCACCGTTGGAAAGGAAAGACAGAATATTTCAGCGGAGGATTCAAAGGCGCCGGTGGAACTGAAAACCGGCAAAAAGTGCGCAACAGACAAGAAAAGGAACATCTTGATCTTGTTTCTTCGACTTGTTAAGTTCATTTTTTTTTTTACCCAATTTTACAATGAAGATATTCCGATGTATGCCCCGATTCAACATTGCCATGGAAATTATCGACGTGACTAACCTAGGATGCTGCAATGCTTAACGCTATCGGTTCGCTCATTTTTCGTGGCAACACGTTTGTGTATGCACATTGTTTGCCGATTATAAATTTGCAATACCTCCAGTTTTGAACTTGGAGGTCACAGGTTCGAATCTTTTAAATAGTAGATAAACAACAAAAAGTAAACATATTTCAACCTTAACTAAAAAAAACAAACAAACAAGGGTTTGGTGTAGTGGTAATACCACTAGTATAAAACATGGAGGTCCCATATTAGAATCATTTAAGTAATACCTTAATCACAGAAATAAAACCTATATCACCCTTATAAAAAAAATTATGTCGATGGAGAGTGGCATTCATAGTGTATAATAAGGATGATGTTGGATTGCTTAATGGCTCCTCCAGAAACCAAAGACTCCTAATATATACAACTCTTTTAAAGTAGATAAAGAATGAAAATTATATGAATTTCATTTTCTCCATCCAATGGACAGAAATGAGTTGGGGATATGTGGCTGTTTTACTTGATTTGTTCCCCTAATAACAGACTTAGTTAATTAATTACAATGGTAAAATAATAAGACGATCGAATATTTCTTTCCCTTTCCATGTTTCCGCAAAAGCACCTTTTCTTGTTTACTTTGATCGGGTATATCGAAGTTTAAGCTTAGGTAAAACACAATAAAAGATACTAAAAAACTAAGAACGCCAAAACTAAGGACAATGATAAAATAGTACGTAAGAGACAAAGTGCAAATAACTTGGAATATACTTTTTATGGTGGCAAATGATAAAATGCATGGTCGGTTTTAAGATAGATTGATTGTTGATTTCGAATTCAATTTAGTTTCCGTATAAGTTATTAGCTATAGGAATGGTAATGGGATGGGTTTGCCTAAACCATCCTCATCCTCATTTTTAAATATCCAAATTCATACCCGTCTCATACCCGTAGGGAACAGTTTTGAAACCCATCCACATACCCGTGGGTTTCGGAAACTGTGAGTAATACATGTCTTGTATATCCAACACTATTATAACTAAAATTTTACATGTGAAATTTCAATGATAACACTAAACGTACCTAATTAAAATAGTTCAAAACATATTATCTTAAAATATCAATTAATCCACATAATAGAGTACAATATTATTCAAATCATTCATCTTCGACTCTGATACATGTAATAATCAATAAATAAGCTAACATAATCTTGTTCATGAGGGGGAAAAGTGGAAGAGTGTAGGGAGAATTGAGGTAAATCAATTATGTTTTGGTTTGTGTGGCCACTTAATTATTTTTCTACTATTTATCTCCTTAAATTACTCACACTATCATTTAAAGGTTACAATTAGATTCTTGTATTTTTTAAAAGTGAATAAATATTTTTGGTGGGGCAGATATGGGTACGAGGCGAGGCGAGGTTAAAACCATACCCGTCTCATACTCATCAAACTTTTTTGTGGATTTTACTCATACCGACCCCATACCCAATAAATGGGAGGATTCCCCACGTTGATTGGGTCGGGGACGGTCGAATACCCACCATCTTGAGCTTGATTGTCATCCCTAATCAGCTAAATATTAGAGGTATTATGCAAGTTACGTAAATTGAATCGCTTATCATCAAATTGAGTCCAACGACCATTATAATTTGAAAATTTATAAGGAAAGTCTTTCATAGTCGACTATGACCAAATAGCAATTTGAAAATTTAATACAAGAAAAGATAAGTGGAGAACAAATCTATATGACATAGTTAGCCTACACATGCACGTGAATATTATTAGTACGAATGTATTGTACAAGATGTTTAATGGTGGTGGAGTTAGTTTAAAGTCGGGCTATAGTCTCACTCAACTTTGAGATATTTAAAAAATAATAAGTGAAATTTGTAACAAATTTAAGAAAATAGAGTAATTGATAAGGTTTTACCTTCTTCTTCAATTATTACGATTCAAATTAGCCCTTCGTTTGTATTTCTGACTTCGTCACCAGTTTGATATATGCAGAACTAGTGATTAGCCAGCTTCTAAAGGATAATTTATGCATAATTTGTTCGTACTATTTTGGGTTACCACTATGTCTCGTAACCAAGGCTCGAGCCTCGAACCCTTCAACTTGAAGAATTTGGGTGAAAGGTAAAAAAATGGAGCAGACGGGTAAAGTTGACTCAGATGTGTCAAACCTCCACATCGCAAACGAACCCCCACGGTCGTTTTTGGGCTTGGCTAATAGTAGAAGGGAATCATGGCCTATGATGTATGGCCCAATGTTCTAACGGGAGGCCCATTTTACGTTCCGCAAAAACAGTTTTGCTTACCCATGAGGCCATGAATGAAGAACGATTAGGCCAGAACAGTAACACGTTAGACAAATCCCACATCGACAAAACACGGGAGAGATCCATGGTTCATAAATCATAAGTAAGAAATCGATGTTAACTGACAAGACATGTTTGGTGGGTGTAATGGAGGAGTTATTGTGAGAACCCTGAAGTTAAACGTGCTCAGTGTGGAAAACAACAAGGATGTGTGACCTTATGGGAAGTCATCTTGAATTGCACCCAAAGTCGAAAATCATGAGGATCGAGACCCAAAGCGGACAATATCTTCGTCGGTAAAAGGTTCGGGATGTTACATCAACCTAATGACAAAAGAAAAACAAAAAAGGCAAGAACCTAATAACAATAAAAAGCAAGAACCCACTGAAAACAATTGTAACATTTTAGGTGAATTTGAAATCCATAAAATATTCATAATTCATAAGTAAGAACATTTTGGGGTGAATTGAAGAGTTCTTATAAAAAAAAATTAAACTTAAACGTGCTCACTTTGGATCACTACAAGGATAAATAAACTTAAGGAAAGTTTTATTGCTATGCACCTTCAAGACAAAATACGTGACAGTATATATCCAAAGCGGACAATATCTTATTCGGATGTTAAAATTAAGGGCACACATTTATTCTTTCTTCTATAACTTTTGTAAGTAGAATGTAGTATGACAACTCGGGTCGGTGTTCCACTACTTCTGAGTCAAATAAATCGAAAACCATAAAAAAAAGTTTTGAGTTCATTTAACTTCAGATTTTATATCTTACCGCTATTAACAAAAATGACTCTATGACCACCATCACGTTGATACAGGCGAATCCTTCAACCCACCCTCATCGAATGCTTATGCAGTCTATCCGACGATTCTTGACGTTGGACTGGGAGATTAATATCAGACATGTCTTTCGGGAGGGCAACTTTGTGGCTGACTACTTGGCTTCTATGGGTAATTCCCAACCGGTGGGCTTACATATCTTTGACACGCCGGACCCGCGTTTGGGGTATTGATTGTATTACGACATTATTGGGGTTCAAACCCCTCATTTAGTCAATAATTAAGGGTTGGAGCGCCCCTTAGCGCTCCGTTTCCGACAAAAAAAAATGTCTCTTGGAAGTCGTTTGTTTGTGCATTTACAAAATGAATTATTTGGCTAAATATAAAAATTTGAAAATGTAGACATTTTCAAATGTGTTGTTTGTGAAAAAAAATTTAGATGAAACATTTTTGAGTTAGTCATTCGTATAATGCTATCATTTTGGCTTTAGTGTAACATGTTTCATTTTCTTGTATATTATCATAATAACAAGGATTGGGAATGAGTGTTATCGATATCTCAGTAACGAACCCTGAATACCAAATAGTCTCATAAATTCAATCTCAATCCAAAATAAATTCATTATCTCAATCCCTAATATTTTGTGCGGTATCATTATATACCAAATACCAAAATAATTCCCTTCAAAATTACCAATCAAATATTTAAAAGCAAATACTTATCTTGTGCCAACAACACCACAAAACATTCCCATATAAAAGCAAACAATGGTGCCAACACTCTGTGCAAAACTAATGAAAAAAATTCAAATATAATAACAATAAACTAGTGAAATGTGGTGCCTTAGGTGCACATTAAACAACTAAAGTAACAAACTGAAATAAGAGATGACTAAACAACCCATAAACAAATTACAAGTAATAAAAAAAAAGTCTGTTATTAGTTGTCAAATAGTGAAGGACAGTGGCAGATCCAGGGGTAGGCATCCCCGGACCACGACTCAGCCCTCTTCTGGTTCCAAAGTTAGTATAGCACTCATAAATTTTAAATTTTAGGTATCGGGTTTTGTGCTTGTCGGGTCACGGTCCATCCCTCTTCACCTCTTTTCAAATGTGGTCATGTACTCTACTCTGTCATGGATATGTCGTTGATGAATTGAACTATGTATAATTAAGTGGTCAAGGTAGGTTCGGGAAAATAACTAGAATGTATTGATTGAAAATATTGAGTTTAAGAAGACAAAATAGAGAAATCCATAGTATTGAATACATTAAAAATACCGACGAAAAAACAAGTCATTTGTAAATGACTAAGGAGTTAGGAGTGGACAACTATTTGCAAATGATTCGTTCAGTTTTTCGCAGACAAATGAATCATTTGATAGTTAACAAATGACTCATGCAAACGATCTCCTCGGTTCTACCGGTACAAGCAAATGTGTCTCCGGACTCCACCCAAATTCATCATCATACTTTAGAAAACAAATGTTGTACCTTCTTACTTACCACTTCATTGATGTTACTCTGGAATAGTAAGATTCAAGAAGGAAGCAACCGGGAAGTCCCAGAGAACACACAGTACCCTTTGGGAACAAGATGGGATGGAAAACCCTCAAGTCATATGAGAAAGCATGGGGAATCCAGCTATAATCTTTATGACGAAGACCACTGAATCTTGGTCTCTTGACCTAAGATAGATAGCCACTTTCAAATCACAAGAGAATCAATCATGTGATATGGAAAATGGGGTTAGGTTTGTCACTTTTTAACCATATTTGTCCAAACTATTTTTATACATATGGTCTTCTTTCCCTTCCACTCACACTCTCACAATCATCTTCAAACATGACACCACAATAAAGGAGGCCCTCTTTCTTTGCATTGCTTCTCCAATTCCACTTTCCTCTTGAGCCTCATTTTTCATTCTTGTGATGATGGCAAAATGCAGGCCAAAAAGACATACTAATGCATTCTCGATTGTTGGATTGTGTGTTTTGTGTCACTTGACTAGATTAGACAAGTTAAATTACATTCATTGATAATGTAATTTAGAAAACTACAAGATATATCACATACTCCGGCGCTGAGACAATTTACTCATTTTGAACTCATGCCCTATTCAAACCTAACTCATTACTCAAACCAATTCCAGCCGAACACATTACTCAAACATACGAGTGATTGTTTTGTTGGTTGTTTCCATATTCCAAATGACAAGTTTAATCTGTTGAAAATTGAAAATCAATGCTTAGTCACTGTAGTTGTTTCTAAAGTTTTTTTTTTTTTTTACTGAAATTGTTTCTAAAGTTTATGGTCAAACAAACACAGAAACACTAGTATAGTAGTATGTAGCAAATTCGAGAGAACCCAAATTGTAACAAAGATTCTCTTGTCAACCCATCAAATAGTAGAAAAGCAAGAACAGGCTAGAGCTAAGATGGAAGCTGGAGGAGCAAGTAAGTAGGCTTTAGCCTGCAGGCAGGGCCAAGGTTCAGCAGAACATAGATGTGATGTGCAGCTGCTTTGAATACCAACACACTTGTCAGTTTCCTTTTCAGACTTTTTGTTAGGTGCTTTCTCACTCTGTCTGAATCACCCATATTATGGATTTGTAATTAGAAAAGAAGGGCAGAATCCTCTTCCAACACAACATAATTCAAAGTTAACCTTGAGCTGGTTGGGATTTTGCATGCTCGTAAGGTTCCTCGACGAACCCCTTTATCGATTGCATTTAATCGCAATCACTCCGGTGAATTGTCCGGTATAAATGACAAGTCCAACTAATTTATCTATATTGTTCTTGAGAGTAACTTTGTTACGAATTAGCGGTTAGCTATCTTGGGCGCGACATTAATCCAATCAGCCTATGCAACTGATAACACTTATTGGTTGTGTGGTGAAATTTCAATCAGGAGTTAATGTCATTGAAGACCAAAACTTTATGGTAAATTACATGGTCCTACTCTCTTTTTTGCTCCTCTTTCTAACCTAAACTCAGTTCTCTTCCAGCTTTAAATAGAAACCAAACCAGCCAACTGTGACTGAGGTCCCCTACAAAAGTCCCAGAACAGAGCACTAAAGTGAGACAAAAGGATGGTTTCTTTTAAGAGAAAGGCCAAAGACAAAAGAAGAGAGACAAAGGGGGAAAGAGGATTATTAATGAACTGGCAGAACAAAAACATGTTGTAAATGTAACTTTCAACACTCTCATCCTCACAAGTTGGCCTCAGCCATAGTTGTATGCAATGCAACAGTCCAATTCATAATCAAAAGAACATGGCGCACGAGTCACGTAGAGCAAATACGCGCGATGAATACCATACAATTGTATCGAATCCATGTTTTGATCAAGTAGTGATGACAGTAGATAAAGAGGCAAATTGTTAATTGCCCTTCGATTTTGACTTGTCAATTGGGTCGTCTTTGTTTGGGGAATCTGCTTCTCTCACTGAATTTCTGTTGGGTTTGGATTCTTCTGCTTTATCTTTTTTCCATTTCCGCAGCTTCAATGGCCAACGAGAGATGACTCAAGCAGTCATCCTTTCCTAGTAAGGCACTCGTTAAAACACCAGTCTCTCGAATTGGGGGAGACTACCCATTATTGACAACGACTTAACATCCCAATTAATTTTGGCAGCAATCTGTTTTTAGGGTTTGGTCTGTGAATTCTGCATTGTGGATAGAATATATGAACATGGTTGATGTCTAATTCCATATGCTTTCCAAATTCATCATTAACTTAACGAAATAGCATGAACGACTTATCGTTATCATTCGTATTAGTTTATGAGTTGTCCACGTCACTAATCAACAGATTTTAAAATCAATCCGAACAACAATCTATCGTTGAAATCCATCCCAAATGCTTCATCCTTCCATCCACTGTTCCAAATCTAATTGTCACGCTCTGTTTTCTCTCCCCCCTTCATTCCTCATTCAAAACAGAGTGGTACAGGTCCAGCAGCAACAAAACAAACCGAGGAATAAGATTCCTACCGCAACCAGACCAGACTAATACCACTGTTACAAAGTGAAATCATACACATGTCCTTTGGAACCCAAACGGCCAAGTAATCAAAAGAGGAAGATTATTGTGGCAAGCAAACGACAGGAAATACAGAAAGTCGAAACCAGAAAATCAGATAGAGATGTGACGACCCATTTAGGAATAGAGCTATGCTGGCTACTGTACTATTGCAGAAGAAGCCTCTCTGGCCTTCTCTCTCTCTCTCTGGCTCGCTGCCCATTGCAAAAGATTAAACCTTTTTTCCTCTTTTTTGTTTTTCATTTTTCTTACCTTTGTGTGCTTTCCTTTTCTCGGGCTAGTAAAATGGTAAACTGATGGAATTTGAGCTTCCCAATGTACTCTACCCAAAAGCAGCAAACAATATGACTGTTTCCTTCCTCCAGCTTCTCAATTACCACAGCTTCTTCTCCTCCTTGTTTGCTTTGGCCCTCTCTCTTTCCCTGTCACTTTTACTCTACTCTTCATAAAGGTCCAGCCTTTTTCACCATTGACCCAACGATCAACCTCAAATCCCAACACTTTCCTGCTTATCTCATCAAAATCAAACCTGGGTTTTGAGTTTTGAGTCGTTTCCGCAGATGGGTTTGGCCGGGAAGCTGGAATCGGTCAAGAGTTTCAGCAGGAAGCAATGCAGGAGCTTGTTCTGGAGAGTGAGAGCTGCGGTGAAGAAGGCTATGAAGAACAGATGGGGGAGCCAACACGGGAAGAAGAAATTCCAGTATGATCCGTCGAGTTACGCTCTGAATTTCGACGATAGTTGCCGCCAGTTCTCCTCCTCCACATCCGCCGCCGCCGGTGAAATTGGGTATTGCTACCCGTTGAAGGTTGCCGGGAACAATGTTGATGGGAACAGCATTTTTACCATCTGGGTTTACGTCGTTTGGGTAGAATCATTCGGTTTCTAGATGGATTTGGCAGTTTTATTTTTGGCAGGGCTTTCATAGGCTTTGAACTCGCCGGAGTTATGTTACTTTGGTCGGTAAAACTTGGTCCGGTGTATAATTGCGACGATGTTAGTTTTTTTACTGCTGTGGTCTCGTTTTGGCAATTAAATTAACTGCGGCGACTGTCGTCTCATCAGGAAGCATTGACTTGTCCCCGTCGGGCTAAGCAAAAAAAGGCTCCACCGAACTTGCAATAAATCTATTTGCAGGCGGGAATTTAACCAATTATTTATGCGGTGTTCTGCCACCGGCCACTCAAGGTAAAGGGAATAAAAGGGGAGCAGTCGAGCAGAGCAATAGTTCATTAAACGCAGAACGAGAACCCCACCACCAATTATGCTTATCTAATGTTTGGTGTCTAATGAGTAAGCAATGAAGTGTGTCCAACAAGAATGGAGCTTGCTCCGTGACCAACAAACCTTTGACAGTCCGGTTAGAACGATCACTGTTATCGATTCGATCTCCGGTAATCCACCAAAGAATGTAGGTTTCTATCTCAGGGTAATCCATCAAAGAATGCAGGTGTTTAGTGAATACAAATTGATGTTCAATGAGCAGAGTCCCGATCGACGAGGAGTCCTTTACTAAAGCGAAGATCCACACTACCACCATGGTCGTTAGATCAATCATTACGATCTCATTGTTACGGAGCACCAAGCAGAGTCTACCTTCTGATGGACCTATAGAAACGTGAAAGGAAGCAGAGATTGTACAATGAAATTTCAATTGTTACAGATAAGTATGTCGATGAACATTTTCAAGGAGAAGAGGAGAAGAAAGAGCATTCCACAAGCCCTAAACAGTATCATATCAATCTTAGCGTCCTCTTGGACTTCCTCGGGAAATTAAGAATCCATTTTGGGGGGAGACATGGAAAAAGAGTAGTAGAATTGCTGGAATGCTTCTTTCCCAAGCTTCCCTATACGCTCAATATCTCCTCGAATGTGGAACACAGGCGTCTACATCAAACTCCAGAGTCTTCCAGCGTGGCAGTAGACAAGTCGTTTATTCGTGGGTAGATGGCCTTCTGATCTAGTTCCCTCTGTGCCCATATCAACATTTTCAACAAAGTTGGGATCTTTGGTTCTGTAATGTACCAAATCACAAGACAATATTTGATCACTACCATGTTCAGATAGTCAGCACAGTCATCTAATCCCCCCACTAGATTCAAACCATAGAGATCAAACAACCCAGAAAATATAACGGATACCTTTTTCATGGCTCTGGCTGGTGAGAATAGCGGCATTGACCTCACTTGCTGTTTTCAACCGCTGCGAGATATCGAGAAGTTCTCCAACAGGGCAGTTCGCCACATCTTCAAAAGCCAGCAGTGATACAGTTCTCTCTAGCTCTTCCAGAAAGCTTTGCTGTAGAAGATTTTTTTTATTGTTTAAATTTGATCAGAGCTCAAAAGGCAACACTAAACGCAAGTTGGAAAAAATATAAAAATAAAAATATGCATGAGGGGCACGATATTGATTTCAGAATTTACATCTTCTTCTCCCCTTGGTGCTAGCTCTTCCTGTGCAAACTCCAAGGCTTCTTCTATTTTACCGTTTCTGATAAGTTCAATAAGCCTTTGCTGTTGAAGATGGAAGAACAGTTGGGGGTTTGTGTCCAGTATCTGCACAGAATTAACATGAAGCAAGTCAAAGATCAGAGAGAGAAGCATCTAAGACAGAGTAATCTGTAAGCTTATTCCAGCAATTATAAGAAACTAGAAACTATGTATCTCATCTATCTGGCCTATAGTGATTTCATCTAGGAACTAACCAATCAATACTATCCACATAGGTGATTTAGAAAATGCTACCCAATTAACCACAATTTTCGCCTGGACTTAACAGGTATGGTGAAAAACAGATAGAAAATTTGTTCTATAATAGGAAACACTTGTTCAAATAGCCCCAAGGATTCTTGTTATTACAGCATGATTGCAGTATTCGTGACTCGTTTTGCCAAGAAGATCGTAGCAGAAACAGAATATGAATGTTTATGTTTGATTTTGACTGATCGGACGGCAATGCCAAGGGACAAAATTTGGACTAAGCCGAATTCTAAACATAAATGAAAGACTGAACCATGCATATTCGGTTGAACTAAGATGAGCATAGATATCAACTAAAACTAGATTACAAAGCAGTTTCATTTGAGAACAGTACAGCAGTTGGATATTCGCACCTCGGGATTAAGATCATTAACTTTGACAATTGCGTCCTCAACATTCCCACACTGCACCGCTTTCTTAACAGCCATGCGATCAATGATACTTCCGAGATCTATACCTGCTGTTTCTAAATTAAGGAACAAAACAACATCTAGCATATATCTCTGCATATCAAACAACAGCCATTGCCGGATATAAAATCAGGAGCAGTACACAAACCATATAGAGAGGATACTTTCTGTCCCAGACTCCCTCTGGAACTTTTCAGCAGCTTCAACACAACCCTCGGTGACAAAGAAGTTCATCACCAACCTATTCATATCTTCTTTCCGTATTTTCACATCATTCAGCTTCTTTTCCCACTCGACTCTTGAAATCACCTTTTTTGACTCAGCCTGCAACCACAAAACAGAGACGAACATAGTCATACAGCAGATCACCACGGAAATTCTTCCACCAACAGCAGATTGCCAGGGGAATTTCAAGACTTTGAGAGACGGGATATTAACTAACAGACTTTAGAATCAGAAATTTTCTTTATTCCCCACTGCCACCCAATAGCTAAATTCGCCCAATAAGTCCTCAAGCAATTAAAAGGCAAGAACTTTCTAAGATTATCCAATTCCCCAATTATCTAAACCGAGAATCACCCCGGAAAGGGGGAAAAAAATAGAAACAAACACCACCAAAAACTAAAACCCTGCAGAAATAGGAACTCAAAAACCCTAAGTGGTCTCGCAACTTTCTTTTACCATCTCTTCAATATCCGCAAGATGACGAAGCACAATCCAGACCAGTGACATCAGTGCTGGAGAGCCACCATCAAGCCCATCGACAGATAGTCGCTCCCAGTAAATAATCAATCACCTGTAAAACCAAACGAAATGAAGTCCAGGAAAACACTTTCAATTCAGCAGTCACGAAGAAGATGGTGATGGTGAAAAGGGTAACCGCCATCGCTACATTCAACAGTAGAAAGAATCTCGAATCGAAATTCCCCGTAAGCTCACCGAAGACTTTGCCGCAAAAAACCCTAGCTCTCTACTTCGTGGCTAAATTCTTCAGGTTAAGGGGAAGGAAGACTCCACGGAAATTGAGCAGGAAGAAGCTAGTCAATTTTCCCGGCGATTGAATTCTGGGGATGCGTAATCGGCCGGCAAGGTATTTAAGATCAGCGATCTGCTTTCCCTCCGGGCAACTACCACTCTACCAGAATCCCGAAATGCTCGATCGGGGTTCTCACTGAACACTGATTGGTGTTTTCATGGGCTGGGCCGTAGAGTTCTTGATTTTCGGCCGTCATTGAACGTGGGCCTTGCCTGCATTAGTGTGGCCCTGACATGAGGATCTCGGCCCAGTTGGGAGTGGAGGAAAATGTTTGATGAGGTGGCGAGAGGTAATTATTAGTTTGATAGGGAGTTTAGATTTGAATTTTGAGAATAAAATCCAAATATGTATGATAAGTGTGTAATTATTTAAAATGCTTAAATATATGAATTTCAACAGAAGTGAAATAAATTTATGTGGGTGAACTCAAAACAGATAGATATATATATATATACTATAATAAGACAATCGAAAGATTTGATTTGAAATGAGTGCTATCTAATTGACTCTCCGGTTGCATGACACTTTCCTTTACTAAAAAAATGACAATTTCCTCGTCTCATTTTGTTCTTATGAGTTTGCACCAAGTAAGCACAATAACATCGACTGAGTGGAAATAATTACCCTATAATCTTCTTCTTTTTTGGCGTGGGAGATCCGCGTTTGAATTGGCAGATCAGAGAGAGTTCTGTGTATGAGAAAATCCTTGTACCGCGAAGCTCATCGATACAAAGGTGTCTGGCCGATCAAGATAATCGATGGGAAGAGTCTACCTAGCGCAATTAGTACGAGACCTTTGGGGGAGGGGGGGGGGGGGGGAGAAACCCAAGAGTAAATCCGTAGTGGCTTGGCCCAAATGCGGACAATATCGTACCGATGTAACTATTAGGGTTCGACACTAGCTCCGAGCAAGGTTTAGTTGTACAGACATTACTTTTGATCCGGTTACGAAATCAAACGAGGCGAAGTCCATCGATCTCTTGAAAATTAGATACTCCTGTCGTGTCGTGACTTTGTGGCTAACAATCGGCTATCGATTTCTCGGAACCACTTAGAATAGATAATAATTAAGAAGCGAATCAATTTAACCAATCGTTTCACTTTTATTATTTAACCCATGAATTTAGAATCACCCAAGACACAGATTAATTTGAAATCTTGAAAGCCAAACTGATCCATCCGAGTTTTTCATTAACAAACAAGTCAATTTAAGCTCCTGAGTTAAATTAATCCGTTACAATAACCCTCTCTCCTTAACTCCTTGTTAAGAAAAGGAAAGAAATTGGAAAACCCCATGGAGCGACCCAAATCCTATTTAAACCAGCGCCACAAAAATCCATAGCTCGGTTCCAGATTTCCCCTTCTGCGCCGATTTCGTGTTCAGTTTCCCCGAACCACCTCCACGCCGACGACGACGACCCACAGATATATTTCACCATCCCACCTGCTTTTCCGCCGTCCAAGCAAGAAAAAGAATCGAACTTTCCGCGGACCCTCTATCGGAAGGAAGTAGAAGAAGCCGCCCGCTAACCCTTAACCCGAAACCTCTTTTCATCTTCCCGTTCGAGAATGGCCATTTGAATCGTCCCGATCCGAGCGTTCTACCTCCTCCCCTATTTCGAAATTCGCTGCGGCTTTCGGTTTAGGGTATCGCGAAGGTTGATCAACAAGATAGAAATTGCCAATTGTGGGGTTTTGGCAGAAGAGGGCTCTTCTTCTTTTGTGTGGGTACTCACTCCGGTTGAGGGGGGGGAGAAGATATGATGGCAGACGGGAACTCGGGGAGGGAGCAGGCAGGAGATGCAGTTACTGTGTTTGATTTGAGCGAGGAGGATGTTTCCCTCGATCTTGATATGATATTTGACATTCTCGAAGAGTCTGATCCTCCTGCACCTCAGTATCAGCAGGTGAGAGCCCTTTTTTTTTGCCTGAGTGCTTCATGGTCATGGGTCTTGGGTAGAGGGTGCTAGCTTGTACTAACTGAGTTTCGTGCTGGGTTTTATTTAGTTTACTTACCATTGCTGTTTGAAGGGTTTTGATTTGTAAGTGAAAGTGAGGATCGGAACTGAATTTGGCCCCACTGGATTGTCATTTTCTAGCTCAGCTTTCGACTGGTTGTGAATGGAACTAGTTAACAACTGGGCATTTACTCTTCAGTTACTCTTTTCCGGGTTGAAATTTAGTTAGTAAAATGGCTTTCCTACGCGACACTAAGTGAGTATCAGCTTGATGTTGATTCGATTATTATTTTGTCGTTGTTGTTGTGCAACTTCCTTCTGTGTGTCAAACTGTAGGAGGGTGCGCAGAATTTTCTTATTAATGGGGAGCAAGTTGGGTCAGTTCCTGATTCTGGAAACCAAATGAACTTCCACCTTCAAACTTCAGCTGACATTTCGTCCACGACTTACGAAACTGAATCTCAGTCCAGGCATGTCGAAGGGGACACTAATTCCGGCGGTATGCTAAAGCTGTTATACCTTCATTCCTTTTTCCAGTATCTACAATAACTGTGCAGGGGATTTTTGTTTGTTTGTTTGTTTGTTTTTGTTTCGAGTTCATATGCACCGGGCAGTAGAATTCTGTTGTAACAGCTGGTGATTTGGAATGAATGCAGAAAACTTTGACTATTGGATTGACAGCTCGAATAATGGTTTTGTAAACGATGGGTCTGTGATGGAAAACAGTTGGGAAGTTTCAGGTTCTGAGAATGGCACTGAACAATTTACGAATATGGCCCTGGGAGATGCAACTGTACATTTGCAAGGCGCGATTCCTTCTACATCTTCGTTCTCTCTTAATTCCGATCTTAGTAGTGATTTTGATGAGTTTTATCCTAGCAGTGGTTATTTTCCACAGCATGGTCTATCTGGTGAATTCAATTCTGACAAGGTGCCTGGTAATGAAGCGCTGATGATTGATACGATGAGTGAGATTATTATACCTCCAACTGAGGGCTTCGAGTTGTCTGGTGTGCTTGACAATGAATTAATGATGATTGGTGGGATGAGTGAGATGAGTATGCCTCCAACTGAGAGCTTTGGGTCGTCTGGTTTGATGTGTCTAGATCCTGAAGGCCATGGTTTTAACCAAGAATCACATACCGACCTCAAATTTGGGTCTTATGTTTATGATGGAGGTCAGAATGAAACATCGATACGACCTTGTAGTTCTAATGCGTTGGGCCACAGGGGGAAGCCTCCGGTTTTTGTACACCCAAAGCATTCAACATCTAGTGCTGCACCTGCGATGTTAAGGCGTTATGGCACGATTAAGGCAGAGAAAGTCAGAAGCTATCTAAAAGTTGAACCAAGGAGCTCTGAAGTCCATGTTGTTTCATATACCAGTAAGAATAGAGACATGAATATAAAATCCCGGGACCAGCATTTTGCTAGGGTACGGCGATATGGTACACCCATTTACCTACAACATGGTTTGAAGGATGAAGCGATTTCTCAAAGGAGCTTTCCTACCGCTTTCTCAAGAGTCAGTCCTGAATCAACCCACAGCAACTCATCCGGTAGTCAATCGATTGTGGATGATGACTCTGACCTCTGTATTCTTGAAGACATCAGTCAACCTCCTCGTTCAAGCCATTCTCAACCGTTCAAAAAGCCAATTGATTCATTCCAACCCATTAGTCACAGTGATTCCTATCATTACAATGGAGCTGGAGTGCGACCTAGGGTTTGTGACGAGCGAGTCTTATTTCGAGTTGCCTTGCAGGTTAGAATTGGTGAATCCATGTTACACAAAGTTCTATTTTCTATCACTGTCATTTCTATCTTTAATTTGCTTCGAGTCTTTCACTATGATGAGCTATGATATAGTGACCGAGTTTTGAATTGTTATGTCGATACCTTTCTTTGATCTAACATTCTTTTGAATACCTGGAATAGTTTGAATGGGACTTGGATGCTAACTCGACTTTGACTTGCATCTGCCTTTCTTGCTATATTATGACCAATTATATGTCTTTTGTTGTGCGATATGTCGGTTTCATCAAGCACCTGAAGGGCTGAAAATTTTGGGTGCATTGCAGGATCTTAATCAACCGAAGTCTGAAGCAATTCCACCTGATGGCTTTATGGCAGTACCTCTTATGAGACATCAGGTTGGCTAGCATCCCTTCTTAAGCTCATGCAGAATTCCTGCGGTTTATATAGTGGATTAATGGATCAGCAATGGTTGAGTGAAGAACATTAGTGACTTTTTCCAAATGTTTATCTAAGGCACCTTTGTATGTCATATTTGGGAAACGACAAAAGATGTGTCTTCTGCACAAAATACACACGCCTTCTTTATTGAATATTTGTGCACTATTTGCTCTATGAATCTTGAGCGAGTTAAAGCAACTACAGTTGTTTGGTTTGCCCTGTCAATGCAACTCTTTTACATTTCTCGTGGTAATATTAGGCCATTTAGCATTTGCTGGGATATCTGTGTGGACAAACTTTTTCTTCTTTTATCTAACTCGTTGGATAATCTATGCAGCGAATTGCTTTGTCGTGGATGGTTCATAAGGAAACATCTGGGATTCATTGTTCTGGAGGAATTCTGGCTGACGATCAGGTTAATGCTATTTTTATGTTGCTGTATTGTCCTGGATCTATTTTTTGAAGAAAGTTATTTTTTCTTGTCATTCTTTTTTCATGGGAATGTATTGTCATCCAGGGTTTGGGAAAGACGATATCAACCATTGCTCTCATACTTAAAGAAAGGGCTCCATGTCATGGAGCCGATGTAGCTGTTGTTAAAAAAGAGAAGTTTGAGACCTTAAATTTGGATGATGACGAAGATGGAATTATTGAAGTTAAAGGAATAGAAAAGGGAAGCGGTGATTGTGCAGGTATAAAAAAGGAAGGCAGTGATTGTGGAGCAGGTACAAAAAAGGAAGGCAGTGATTCTGGAGCAGGAATAAAAAAGGAAAGTAGTGATTCTGGAGCAGGAATAAAAAAGGAAAGCAGTGATTGTGGAGTGATGTCCTATCAAAATGCATCAAAGAGTATTAATCTTCTAGGCCAATCGAAAGGTAGGCCAGCTGCGGGTACTCTCATTGTTTGTCCCACTAGTGTTCTACGACAATGGGCTGAGGAGTTGCATAAGAAAGTAACTACTAAAGCTAATCTCTCTGTTCTGGTATATCATGGAAGCAACCGAACAAAAGATCCTCATGAACTTTCAAAGTTCGATGTAGTCTTGACAACATACTCTATAGTGAGCATGGAAGTCCCAAAGCAACCTTTTGCCGATGGAGATGATGAAGAGAAAGCAAGAGCAGCAGGTGATGATCCTCCTCTTGGTTCATCCGGTAAGAAAAGAAAGTATCCGCTAACTTCTGGCAAGAAAGGTAGTAAGAAGAAGGAATCTGATAGTGCATTATTTGAAACTCTTGCTCGGCCATTGGCAAAGGTGGCATGGTTTAGGGTTGTTCTGGATGAAGCTCAAAGCATCAAGAATCACAGAACTCAAGTAGCCAGGGCATGCTGGGGACTTCGTGCAAAACGCAGGTGGTGCTTGTCTGGAACTCCTTTGCAGAATGCAATTGATGATCTTTATAGCTACTTCAGGTTTCTAAGATATGACCCCTTCACCGTGTTTACCGAATTCTGCAATGGAATAAAACTCCCAATACAAAGAAGTCCAGCTAAAGGTTACAGAAAGTTACAAGCTATCTTAAAGACAGTAATGCTTCGTCGTACCAAAGGTAGCTTGATTTGTTGATGGCTATGCATATTATTTCTTTGGTGCCGTTTGATAGAATTCCATTCATGTTCAATCACATTAAAGAATGCCTGCAATTTTGACCAGAAAGCATTTATCTGTTGCCTGATGATAACTGGGATGATGATAGCATGCATATTCTCATAACATCGTTCTGATATGTGGTAAATCATAAATGTATGTTGTAGCTACACTGCTTGATGGGGAGCCAATCATTACCCTACCCCCGAAGTTCATAGAACTTAAAAGAGTTGAGTTTACAGATGAAGAGCGCTGTTTCTATTCAAGACTAGAGAATGATTCACGTGATCAGTTCAAGGTGAAGTTAACTAGAAAGGAGTTCCTTTCTTTCAGTGATTTAGGTAATGATTGTGACTTTTGTGCTCCTGGTACCTGATTCTCTGAGTCCTCACATTTCTGTTCTTCAGGAGTATGCTGCAGCAGGAACTGTTAGGCAAAACTATGTTAACATTTTGTTGATGCTCCTACGTCTTCGTCAAGCATGTGATCACCCTCTTCTCGTTAGAGGCTATGAATCTGCTGCATTGGAAAGATCCACAATTGAGATGGCAAAGAAGCTTCCTCATGAGAAACGAATGAGCCTTCTGCATTTTTTAGAGGCATCTTTAGCAATCTGTGGCCTCTGTAATGTATGTGCTCTCTTTACGGTCTTCTATCTTATTCGCTTCCTGTTAGTGAGACTACTACAGCTGTGTGCCCGTTAACTGATTTTCATTTGCAGATCCTTTTTAATGCGCCTGCCTGAAATCCTTTCAATTTCATTAATCTTAGGATATCGGTTTTAGCTCAAAGTAGCGGCAAGTTGTCTCTTGTCTGCACGAATTCCTGTTAGGCAATATTTTTTAATGGTCCAATTGAAGGGTGAACCTCTGGAATTATGTGACTGAGAGACTTGATCCCTGGTTGGTCAGTATTAGTGTAGTTGTTTCACTTGTTTGGTTTGTTGCTTTTTTTTGTTCCTTTTGAATTGGTCTCTTGCTAGCTTTGATTTGGTTCCAGCTGAAGTAGAGATGTGCAGTGTGCAGTGATTTTGTTTTGATCTGACTGAATTCAACTTTGGGATTGAATTGGAGCCGACTGAATACAAGTTGATTCATTTTTCATTCTAAAATTGAAAGAGTTGTTTCAGTTTTGATTCCATGGGTCATCTGGGAAACAAAGCAAAAAGTGGACCGGATGGTCATCATTTCTCCTTTTCTAGTCAAGTATGATTCTGGACCAGATCAGACCAGGCACACCAAAATGTCATTCTGCTTGTGGATTCTTTTCCCAACTTGCCTACTCTTGTGAGATTTCACTTTTCTGGCTTTGTTTTTCTCTTCACCCTGACACTCTTTCCTAATTGTTTTGTGAAGGATCCGCCTGAAGATGCTGTTGTGTCCATTTGTGGCCACGTTTTCTGCAATCAGTGCATCTGTGAACATCTTAACGGAGACGACAACCATTGCCCTACTCCTCATTGTAAAGTTCCACTAAATGTGTCTTCAGTGTTCTCCCAAGCCATTTTGCACCGGTCTCTTGCTGACCAGAGCAGTGAAGCTGTTTTTCTTCCTTCCCCCGATGCTGTTTTTCTTCCTCCAACTGATGCTGTTGACGAAGTCAGTTCTCGTGCTGAAGCTGGCGGCCCATATGATTCTTCCAAAATCAGGGCTGCTCTTGCTGTCCTGCAGTCAATTTCCAGGCCTCAGCAGTCTGCTTCCGAAAAACTGTCTGAACAGGATTCAGCCAATAATCTTAAAGGAAGCGGGACTGGAGAGAAAGCCATAGTGTTTTCCCAATGGACAAGGATGCTAGATTTGCTAGAAGCTTGTCTTAAGAGTTCCTCTATTCAGTACCGACGACTCGATGGGACAATGTCAGTAGTTGCTAGAGATAAAGCTGTGAAAGACTTCAACACTCTACCAGAGGTTTTTAGACCCACAACTCTATTTTTACTGTTTGCCTTCATTGTTTTGTTCTTGTCTTTCGCCTCTAAACGTTCTTTGTCAATGTTTCGCAGGTTTCTGTTATTATCATGTCTCTCAAAGCAGCTAGTCTCGGATTAAACATGGTTGCTGCTTGTCACGTTATGCTTCTAGACCTGTGGTGGAACCCTACAACAGAAGATCAGGCTATTGACAGAGCACATCGCATTGGTCAGACACGCCCCGTTAAAGTTTTGAGGTTAACTGTGAAAGACACTGTTGAAGATCGTATCTTAGCTTTACAGGTAACCATAACCGTCTATCATGGGCCTAACGGGGGGAAACGGTTTTTGTTCATCGGTTAAATGGAAATCAAAACCATATTCCATGTTTTTTGGTATAAAAAAACTGAACTTTTACTTGTCCTTTGGTTCCGGCCAACCAAATCTGCTGTTGTTTCATTCGTTTCATGCTGGGTTCTTCAGTTTTTGCCAATCAGTCTAACCCACACTGTGGCTTTGCGTTTATTTGCTTGCAGCAAAAGAAGAGAACGATGGTTGCATCTGCATTTGGAGAGGATAGGAATGGTGGCCGTCAGACACGCCTAACTGAGGAGGATTTGAGATACCTATTCATGGGTTGATTGAGTGAGAGAAAATGGAAGTTCCATTTCTTCTCTGGTTCAATCTCTATTTTTTCAGTAGATACAAGTTCTTGACATAGAATCTATTCTTCGTACTCGGGATTCTTTTTCCAGGTTCAAGTTGAGATGATGACTAAAATGGGCATAGCAGCAGGTTCTTCCTCTGATCACCAAGTTTTGTCCAGTCATTGTATAGCCAGGATGTAGCTGTAGAGATAGATAATCAGGTATAGGTAACCAATACAGTTTTAAAAAAGTTGATAGGAAGTTCTACATATTCATAGGTATGTTATATATTTTCTTTGCCCACCAAACAGTTTCCTCGCATGTATATGAAAAGAGAGATGGCTTTATTTGTTCCTGATAGCCTGTGTTCTTTCTCTGCTTCGTTTAAGTTTGTTTAACTGCTATTATTCGTTTGATATTTTGTTTAACTGTTTTCTTTCAACTGCAAATCATATGGGATCGAAAAATTTGAAGGCTTGTTCTGAATAGGGTCCAAGAGTGGTCGATTGTTGTACACTTGCAGGGTTTTAACTTGGTTTAAATTTTTAGTCTCATCGTTTTCTCAGTGTACTCTAAATCGTTAGCCTCTCATTTGTTCGATTGTATGGTAAGGTCATGTGAACCTTGTTCGTTAATGGTCGAAACTCACGATTGCCTATCAATGTAGGATGAACCGGATTCCCCTGTGACGCTAACTGATTAATAGCGTGAATCGTTTTTGCTATCCTTGACTAGATTATCGGTGTGATGATTGACCAAAGAGAGAACTCATCTAACGATGATCCAAAGTGTTCTAATGGATGCATATAGGAGAACATGAAGACGATAATGTCCGAGACACACGAGCTTGCATTGCAACAACCAAATGTGGCAATGTCGGAAGCAGAGAATACAATAGGGTTTGGTTGTACAGTACTACAGTTAGCCCAGGTTTGCCATTGGAGACAGAGCAAGATAAGTTGACTGGCATAGTAACACTCACCAGTCACCATGGATTCTTGAGAATACGCCGATATTGCTTTGTCATTGACGCCTGGTTACAGATGTTGAGCGATACTAGATCTAGATGAAAGACGAAAACCAATGCTTTCACTTTCTTGTAGGCACATCAGAAGCACCTTAACAGAAAGGTCCCATGGTCTAGTGGTCAGGACATTGGACTCTGAATCCAGTAACCCGAGTTCAAATCTCGGTGGGACCTTTATCGTTTTTTTGCCAGAAAAAGAATGAACACGAAAATATTGAAGCGGAAACAATTCCATGGATCAAAATTCAAAAATCTCCAATCTCCATTCCTTTTGCCAAGAACATTCAACGATCTTCATCTGCAATTCAACAATCCATAGTCTGATTCGAAATCCCCAGCTAAAAAAAATCACAATTGAACCACGAAAATGGAGTAATTTCCAGCAAACTTCCCGCCTCGATCGTTCATCAGCACCTATCGCGGAGCCAATCCAGAATATGCTGCCGGACCATGGCAATGTTGTCGTCCGTCTCTCCGAACAGCAGCGAGTGCAGCATCCCGTCGTAGATCTTGATCGTCTTGTCCTCGCTCGCGGCCTCTTCGTACAGCGCCCTGCTCACTTTCGGATCCGTCACCACGTCCGCGCTTCCGTGGAGGACGAGGAACGGAACCCTAACGTCTCGCAATCTGTTCCCCAGACAGTCCGTAACCCTAATCAGCTCCAGCACCGTCCCGAGCCGCGGCTTGCCTCTGTACCTCATCGGATTGATCTCCGCGACCTTCAGCTTGTCTTTCACTTTGACGGATGCACGGACGACGTCTCCCGAGGGGACGATGGCCAGCGTCGGGAGGAATTTGGCGACGACGGTGAGAATCTGGGGGATCGGCCAGCGAGGTCTCATCTCGTCGGCGATTCGGCACATCGGTGCGACGAGGACCGCGCCGTCGAATGCTGTGGGGCTTTGGAAGTGGATGAGGAGGCACATCGCGCCGCCCATGGATTCGCCGTAGAGGAATGAAGGGAGGCCGGTGAATAGCGGGTCTCGTTTGATGGAGTTGAAGTAGGAGAGGCAGTCATGGACGACGAGGTCGATGTTGGGGACGTAGGCTTTGAGTCCCTGGGATCTGCCGTGGCCTTCCATGTCGAGACTGAAGCAGGCGAAGCCGTTCTGGGCGAGGAAGATGGCTGTGGATTGGAAGGTCCAGCTGCAGTCGTTGCCGTATCCGTGGACCATACAGAGCAGGGCGCGCGGTGGCTTGGAGGTGTTCGGCAGCCATGACCGGGTGAAGAGCTTCAGGCCTCTGGGTGAGGTGTAGAACGAGTGCCCTGCCCGAATTCCCTGCTGTTTGTAGTACTCTTGCTCTGGGAGATCGCCCCAGTAGTGGATCTCATCGCAGCTGGTTGGGGGGATTTCGTGCTCCTGCATTGATTGGCCGATTGGGATGAATCGTGAGACAGTCTGGCGTTTTTGTGATATGCCTTGGGATTGTGTGGTGGTTTGGTGGCTGGATGGTCAATTTTGTTACTTTTCTGATTTGTCGGCAACAACCAACTGTCATTGAAGTTTCCGACTTTCATCAACGCTGAAGGTCAGTGCTTTCTATTTCTAAACTACGATTGCTTTCCTTAAAAGCACCAACAAAATTAGATTCCAACTTGTACTTGTTCTTTTGCAACAAAAGAATTTTCGGGTCTCCCTACTTGATTATGTTGCTGGTTTGGACAACATTGCTTTCAGCAATGAGTCATTAAATGAGCAAATCCTATTCTAAACGCATAGAATACTTCCTTCAGCGCAATGTTGCCTTTGAGATTAACTTATGTTATAGTTTCAGGAGTATGCTGGAGCAATGGAATCAAGTGTGGGACTCGTGACTTGGACAGAAGTTGGAAAATGCAGCTGTACTCGAAATTTGTGGTCAGTTCACATTCACACATACCCTTCATTTAGCATCAAATATAGAAGTTGCCAGTTTGGTGCATCTATGGCTTTTTTATCCTTTCATTTCTTTTTTTTGTTTTGGGTGTGCAAAGTCTAGTTTCGTGGGTGAACATAGAACCGATTGGATGGTTAGTTGACACTCTCTACACTATGCAAGATGCTCTTCTTTTCGGGCCTAAAACTCCATTAAAGCCCCATGTGCACTGTGGAGTTTTGTACCAAGAAGGATAAAGCAAACTACTCAGTCGCCGATTTGATCCCACTGGTCTTTTCTGGAGCTGGTCTACTTTTGCACCCACAAATTTGCGGTTGTAGGAAAGACCAGGCCATCTAATGTGCTTCCTCAAATCATCCAATGGTCAAGGCTTTGACTGCTTGTTTGGCGTGTTATGAATAAGCATCTTCCCTTTTTAGCCTAACTCCAATAAAAAGCGTGCCCTTTCACTTTTTGTGTTTGGTCTGGTATTGGAACCATCATTATGATACCAATAAGTATTGACGAAGCCACTCCCCTGATGTTCAACCATGAAATTAGGTTGTGTTAGACCATAGACAACTACAGGCATAGCGTTTCCTCCCAAATCTCATTTCCAATGCCTGATGCCTCCCTATTGAGACTAAATGATTGAATTGAACTGAGCCTTTGCCCTTGATGTTTAACTATTAAGATTGGAAGTTGCCCATGGTTATTAGTTCCTCATTAGCATGTAGACAGAGATAAGTTTTTGGTACAGTGGAGCGTTGACATTCTGTGTCTTTTCTTTTTGTTGGTAAACTCTTGTCTTTTCTTCTTGATATCTAAGGGAGAACATATTTAGGTGGTACCTAAGGACAGAGAACTAGGCTATATCTGTATGGCTGTATCAATGGCGACAATGTAAAATAGTGAAGATCACTAGAAGTTCAGCCGTATGGCTGTATCAATGGCGACAATGTAAAATAGTGAAGATAACTAGACTGAAAGATCACTAGAATTCCAGCCGTATGGCTGTATCAATGGCGCCAATGTAAAATAGTGAAGATAACTAGACTGAAAGTTCACACATGTTTAGACTGTTATTGAGATGTTCACTGTTGAAAACTCGGACCAGAAAACTATGAGCATGAGATCGGTAAAAGCTTAACTACCCAAAAGAAAACTCCCAACCTATGATCTTTTACGTCTCCACCTCTTGCAAAAGGTGTCCTTATCTTGTTGTAGTGGCTAAATACGAATAAGAGAAACTAAAAAAGTGATATTTTTTTTTATTCTATTTATACTGCCTTGTTAACAGAGGTCCGCTGGTGTTTGTGGAAAGAAAGCACGGAAGTGAATGGCATATTAAGCTGGTGCCACTGGTTTTTATCTTCAATTGAGGCAACAGTAAACAGGAATATAGAGTTTATATACGAAGAAACGCTAGGAAATAGTAAAGAAAGATGGGTGGGCAGATGGAAAGTAAGAGGGACAATTTATGGGGTGAACAATGGAAGCCACTTTCTTCTTCATAGAGGCGTTTGTTTCCTTTTATTCACAAACCCCAGAGTAATAGCAGTTGTAGCCTTGTAGGTGGCATTAAAATTGCGAGCAGGTATAGAAGAGAATGACTGAACTTTGAAATTGAAGTGATCCACTTGATTCATGCTTTGCTTATTATATTCCCTCCTCCCTGTTCTTAATTATGTGTTCATGGTGATGAGGCAGATAATGAACTCTCCACCAAGTGAATAATTTGGAACTTAAGCCTTTATATGTTTGTCTCGAAAGTCGAATCTTCATTTGCCTGTTCAATAGAAGAGGCTTATAGAAAACAAATTTCTGTCTAGTTGTTGTGTCACAATCTCTTCGTTTCCCAGTTTTAAGATTGATAAGTCATTTTGAAACAAAACTGCTTCAGGGTTGTCTTAATTATTTCTCTTTACCTCTTGGCGTTGATGGCTTGATGTGCAAGATTTGCTCTCTCCTGAAGAATGGCAAGATTGCAGGTGATATTTGATGTTTTGTTCTGCATGACAACTAACTATTTGTGAATGTTGGAGATAAGGATGGGGTCATTACTATTGATGAAGGTAACCCTAAACTGATTCGTTCTCCAATTGTGCTCTATATCAAAATTATTATAACATATTGACTTAATGATCTTTTTATCTACCCAACCGAAGAATCATAAGCGAAATTAAAAAGAAAAGATGTAGAATTATGAGACTGGAATCATTAGATTGTCTTTTCTTGGGAATTGAACAGTATGTTTAAAGGTCTGATGCAAGGCTGGTCACAATGGATTAATGGTGGGAGCACCATTGCGTATACGTGTTTAATCCTACATGGTGATAAGTGCATACATCTTTAGTTAAAAATATTCACCATTTCTTCTGGGATTAGGACAGATTTGTATTTTTCTTTAGAGTAACCAGATCTGGAATAGTGAGTCTGAAACCAACCAAAGGGAGAAAAACCTAATCAATTTGCTAATGCAGTTGGAAATCCATTGGCCAACATAAAAGTGGCTGCACTTTCTGAGAGAGGTCTGGTGGCAAATGTGTCAAACATGATGGATAGTTATCTAATGTCTATACATGCAAACTAGAGATTTACTTGGCTATAACGCATGAGTATATGACTCCTGAATAAAAGTTATTAATATACATGATGGTAGTATCATTGAACCCAGGGGAACCATCAGATGGGAACCTGTAAAGGCTTCATTGGTTGCGATTCTTAGACTTACATGTATATTTGGAACATGGAAAGAGGAGAAACCAAGAAAGAGAGAGAAGCAATATATTATAAAGGGAACATATGAGAGATGTTCTCCATCTCATTATCGACTACATTGTTGGATCCAAGTCATTGCTCAGCGACCACCTGTATTTCTTTGCCACCTTTCGTCAAGTCATAAACTACAAGTTGCCAGAAAACTTCAACTTTCTACTTTGTTTGAAATTCTTACAACGGTGGTCTTTTTCGTTTTTATTCTTCCACCACCAATTTGGTTTGGGAATATGCACCATGGTGTCATTTCCACGTCGACACTTCTATGCCATGACTGTGTTTGTGATTAGCAGCAAAAAATTGTCACTGTGTAGAATGTTAGAACACTCACTCAGAACCTGATTTACTCTCTCATGCAATTTGTGGACGTTTTTTCCCCTGTATTCCTGACCTTGTAACAGGAGTCCAATTAAGGCAACCCCTACTATTATGATATCACATAGTGTTGGGGACCCTACTTGATTTCAGGCAGTTTTCTTTTGGTTGGAAGTTCCATAGACAAATCGCTTCAAGCTCCTATGACCCACTTGTCTACAAAGTTGTGGAAGATCAACACATCCCTACTAGTTCCCCTTACGTGCAGGAAAATATCATGACTATTCTGGAATCGTTGGTCATTTCTGGTGATTTCATTTGCTCAGAACCAAAGAAGGATGACCTTGGACTGTACCAAGTCTGAAACCAAGTGGATGTCATTTTGAACAATTCTATAATCAAGAGTGTTCTGGTGGTCATCATTTTGAAGCTAAAGAAATCTGGATTTGTTACTAATGCTTCAGAAGTTTGATATGTATGGACTTAAGTTCTTTGTTTTTGTCATTATCTTGCTTCCAGTTCCCTGTCATCTTGATTAGCTACATTTTTCTAGAGTGCTGATAAAAGAGTTAACACTAAACAGAATGTTCTGTTCACCATGTTATGTGGTTTATGTTGCTAATATCAGTCATTATCATTTATTGCCCTTGAACATTTCCTTCCCATAGACAAGACAGCTTGATAGAGTTCATGTCTTATCTCTTATGACAGTTTGTCTTTTTGTAAAATGCACTATGAGCTCATATTCTATGACAGTTTGTTCTTTCTGTGACATGGATTATTCACTCATTTTCTATGCCTTGGGCTAGTTGATCAGCTTGATGGATAGGGGCTGGAGGCTCGTGTGAATTAGATGATGTATTTGAGCTGTGGTGTTCTTTGTACCTTTAGGTGAATCGCATCCAGGCACATTTTTAACATAACATGTAGATAAAGTCTACCAGTGAGAAGATTTGTCATAGTGGACGGGAGACAAGAGGTAAGGCAATGAGCCATATGGTATGTGAAAATTATACACAAAAGAAGTCAAAGGAAAATCAAATCAATTTGAATATATGCAGATTGTTAGCCACTGCTGTGATGGTTATCCTATCAACATGTATGAATTCTTTCTCTTTAGTCAGCAATTCTTCTTTTTTCCTTATAAAACGAAAAGAGAAACAGTCTGACTAGTCTTCTTAAGAATACAAATCATTCATAGACATCGTAATTTTTTCTGCGAATGCGTCCTTAAAACTGCATAATCTTTCACAAAATTCTTACTTTATTCTTATTGAGCTAGAACCTAGCTACTGATTTTTAAAATTGAATATCTGATAGATAGGAAATGGTTTTTTTTCTGAAGTTGGAGTGGATATACCGTAGGAAGTTGTATATCATACTTTTACTAGCAACCCACTTATGAGTGGGACATCCACATATCCTGAGCATGCATGAAGCTCTAGAACATTTTTAATGTGCCATGTCACATGCTACAAGGTTTGCTAAACTGATAAAAGTTCAGCATGCCATATAGGACCACTGACCCACACCGAGCTTCTTTTTCTTCTTAAGTAGTATAAATAGGGCATGCTTCTTTCTTTGATCAATCATCCTTCTCTTCTCTAAGCTTTATTTCCAAGAAGCTCACACCTCCAATATGGATTTTGTACCTAAACTGACACCTTTCATGCCTACAGTTCTCATTGCACTTGTATATCTGGTACCTCTTTTCAGTGCCAGGCAAGGGCAGTATGTTATTGAGAAGAAGAGATTGAACACATTGATCAATGATCATCTTGTGACTAATTTACCTGGCCAGCCAGAAGTGGACTTCCGGCACTATGCTGGATTTCTTACTGTGAATGAAACAAGTGGAAGGGCTCTGTTTTACTGGTTCTATGAGGCAACCAATCGCCCTGATGAAAAACCTTTAGTTCTCTGGCTGAATGGAGGTAATCAAACTTAACTTCCTTTGCCATATTTCCTGTTCTTGAATCCTCGCAAATACACAAGAGAATGAATGGTAAGGTCACTGTGGAAACAAGTGTTGCTCGCCAATGTGGAGATCATTGGAGTGCTTGCTTCTCTTCCCATTGCATCACCCTGCACCACTTTCAACTTAGATATTTGATGAGTGTAATGTCAGGTAGAAAGGCTCGAGTGGCCCTCAGCCAGGTCACCTTGCGAACGTTGGAATTATTTTCCATGGCTGTCCTGATCAGTTCCAAATGCCAGGCTTTTGGCCAAAATGATATCTCATGCATTTGTGTATTATATAACATAGTGTTTTCTGAGTGCTTTGCGTTTTCCATTTTGCTATGCTCTCCCTTTGTATACATGCGCTCTGAATAAGAAAGTACTATGAAAAAGTTCTTTTGTGGCAGATTAAAGATTATTATTCCTCTGGGTCGTAACGGGTGTCGTCACCTTAATCTCAATTATTGTCCAAATAGGTTCTTTTTCACAACAAGTACGATTGTTATTGATTATATATTCTGTGCCCTCTAATAAGGTGACAAGATGCTTCTTGTTTCAGGTCCAGGGTGCTCTTCTGTGGGATATGGAGCAACTCAAGAGATTGGCCCTTTCATAGTGGACGCTAATGGAAATGGAATTAAGTATAATCCCGACTCATGGAATAGAGGTATGTAGGGCCAACGCACTTAAAGCCTGTAACCTAATATTAGCTATGCTTAACAATTGGTCAAGGTGCAATTATGGTTGGATTTCCAAAATTCTCCATTATCGTATTATCTTTATCTGTAAATCTCGCCATTCTGTATGTGTCGCAGAAGCCAACATGCTATTCCTGGAATCCCCAGTTGGAGTTGGATTTTCATACTCAAATACAAGTACGGATTATAATATTCTGGGAGATGAATTTACAGGTAAATCACATGACTTATGAATTCAATCGTTATTCGCGTCCGTTTGTTCAAGCGCCAGTTCAGGTTATGATATAATCTTTTGGTCTAACGGGTATTTTTTTTACCATTATTGGTAGCAAATGACGCCTATGCCTTCCTGCACAAATGGTTTCTCAAGTTTCCATCGTACAGAACGCGGATTTTCTACATAGCAGGGGAAAGCTATGCGGGTAAGAACAATCTCTATAAACAATTTTTTTTTTTTTTTTATAATATCTATGGCTAGCAGATCATTTTCCCATAAAATTAGTAAATTACAGAACATGTCAGCTCTTTTCTTACTGAGAAAAGTTTTCATCTTTTTACTTGAAATTTCTGTACAAATTCATTATTACATGGCATCAATACAGGAAAGTACATCCCGGAGCTTGCTGAGTTTATACTCGACAGGAACAAGGATCCTTCACTTCATATTAACCTCATGGGTATTCTGGTATGCCACACATAAACATAGGAGAAGTAATAGAGATCTGCTTGAGAATCTACAATCCATTCCAGTCTCTATCTAACGTCACTGTTTCCTCTTCTCAGATGGGAAATCCCGAAACAGACGATGCCGAAGACTGGAGAGGCATGGTAGATTACGCCTGGAGCCACGCCGTGATCTCAGACGAAACCCACAGGGTAATCAGCCTGAGCTGCAACTTCAGCAGCGACAACACTTGGAGCAACAACGACTGCAGTGATTCTGTCGACGAGCTGCTGAGACAGTACAGGGAGATCGATATCTACAGTCTCTATACATCGGTTTGTGCAGGGAACTCGGCAAGCTCAGATCAGAAATCCACCCAAGTTATGTTCACACGTACTTCAAATATGGTGAGTTGAATACTTGATATGAAAGAAAGGGCATTTGATAGGGTGTCCGTGAACGATTGACCCTCATTTTTTAGCGATGAGAAAAGTGCATGCATATAATAATTAAGGGGTTTCTCTTATGAATAATTTGATTGCCAGATGCCGCGGATAATGGGCGGGTATGATCCATGTCTGGATGATTATGCCAAGGCTTTCTACAACAGGCCTGATGTCCAGAAGGCCCTCCATGTGAGCGATGGCCACCCTCTCCGCAACTGGAGCATCTGCAAGTAAGTAATTTGATCAAGTCGTATATATATCGCAAAAAAATTGTGGATGACTTTGTGAGAGATTCTTCCGGCTTAAGAAAGTACCAGGTCGAGCTTAGCCGTATAGTTACGACTGAGGCCAGTCACATACAGTTGCAGGGTTTGGTTAACTTGAACTTGAAGTCATGTCATGTCAATTGTCATACTATCTTTTCTGCTTTCTGTGTTGCCAATTATTGTATGCTGATTTTGCATGGGCGGTGACATGATTGGTGTGCAGTGAGAAGATATTCAATGAGTGGAAGTACTCCAAGCCATCAGTCCTTCCTACCTACACAAAGCTGATTGGAGCAGGAATCAGGATCTGGGTCTACAGGTATAGCCAGAACAAACTTCCCCCTTTCCAATGGTTGTGGTTTCCCTATATGCGTCGATGGATTCGACTCACATCGCTCGTCTTTGTTGTTGTTCGAGCAGCGGGGACACAGACGGGAGGGTACCGGTGCTATCGACTCGGTACAGCATAAGCTCGCTGGGGCTGAAGATAACCAAGTCATGGAGGCCATGGTATCACCAGCGGCAAGTGAGTGGGTGGTTTCAGGAATATGAAGGCCTCACTTTTGCCACGTTCAGAGGAGCTGGCCATGCCGTTCCTGTCTTCAAACCCAGCGACTCCCTCGCTTTTTTCTCCGCCTTTCTGCTCGGCGATGCTCCACCTTCGGCCCGATGAACCCTGCCTGCAAACTAGAAAAAGAAAAGAAAAGAGATGAACTACTGCTTATTGGTTTGTATTGTGATGATTGCAGAATTGCCCTCTGTGTCTGTTCACTTCTTTCCTTCACCCTTTCCAGCCACTAGCAATCACACTTGATGGTAGCGTGATGTAATTAAAAGTTAAAAAACTATTTAAGTGATTTGACCATATATTGCGTAGAAGTTATGTGCAACGAACGAGTCGAGAATGATCCGGTTGTGGCGGAGACAGTGTGTGAAGGGAATCTGCTTGAATTGCTGGAAATACCTTGTATTTCTTTTTATCTGGTGATATCTACTATGTCTCTTGCTAAACGACTTGCTAAACGACACCATTGTATTTTAGAGATTGTTGTTCAGAACTTATTCAATAGCACCCATTAGTTACCATATATGAACCCATCAAAATTACACCCTTTATTAATTAGAAACATGAAATTCCTACTACAATAATCGACTAAAGAAAACCAAGACGGTCCCTTATAACTTCACAAAATCCCTATATATATATATATATATTTTTTTTTTACAGTTGATAAAAGTATAGCCCATCCCTTTCACAATTATCAATGTATGTTCACCATACGACTTAATTAACATTACACCCCTTCCGGGTAATAACAAAATCTTGGACACACAAAGAGAAATAATGATTATTTATGACATGGCGTCACAAGAATCCGCGACAACAATGCTTACACCACCATTTGTACGACATGGTTACCACATTTACAGTCGTCCAATCATGTTTCGAGCACTTCGCGTTCGTCGGATGAACGCCCAATCAAACAAATGATGTTGTAAGCACGGAAACATCACGTTGAAATCATCGGTTGTAGTGAATCCCTTCATTCCCCGCCAAAGCCATGTACTTGTCTTTCCTCGTCAGCTTTGTGCACTCAAACCCCAACGCATCCCCAATCCGACGCTGAACCCGATTCGCCACATCGTACCTCGACGGCCCAGTAGCAAGCCCACTGGACCGAAGCCCAGTCGACACCGGGTCCAGAACCCGGATATAATACTCGGGCCTGGGATTCAGAAGAAAAAACAGCGGATCCAAACACTTCAGCCCGCTCGCGGTGGTCCCGTAAAACATGTCCACGTGGACATCCATCGCCACGGGGACCACCTCGTCGGTCAGCTCCGCAAAAAGCGGGCTGAACCTCAAGAGATACGGCTCCCGACACGTGGTCCCCTCCGGGCAGACCACGAGATCTCCCCGGCCCAACAGCCGGTCCATCATCTCCGCGTCTCGAACCCGGTCACGGTTCAACCGGACGGTCGGGATCGGGGAGAGCAGCTCGGAGACCCGGCTCAGGCTGTACGTCACGGCCGTGAATTTTCTGTTCATTGTGAAGGAGAGGTAGAGCGGGTCCAGCAAGGTACGGTGGTTGCAGACGTAGAGCTGGCCCTTTTTCTTCGCCGTCTCCGCGGCGGCGGCGGCGGCGGCGGCGGAGGAGTTTGGTGGTGACGTGGCGGTTTGGGTGATGACGGTTCGGAAGCCGGAGAAGTAGAGGATGGGGACGGAGAAGGTGTAGGGGAGGGTGATGGCGACGGCGAGGCGGGCCGCCGCGAGGAGGAGGCCGAAGGGGGTCCAGACGAGGAGCGCGAGGAAGGAGAGCGGCGTCGGCACGGCGGCGAGGCGGCCGTCGTGGAAAATGAGGGGCTTGGGGTATTTGTCACGGGGGAGGTTTCGCCAGCTGGCCTTGTCGGCCCTTCTCACCAAGTAAATCTCCTGTTGGCAACAAAAAAAGAGAGAGGAAAGTTGATATTAATATTTGATGGAAACTCATTCAGGGGCGAGATATCTCGATAGCCATACATGTACTGCGTACTAATTGCGCGGATCAGGTTGGGTATTACTTATGCGGAAGCGTGTGATGAACTGATTTTTTTTTATATGTTATTCGGAAGCAATACTCATAATTCAATGCTACTGTTGATCGGACAATATCTGGTATGAAAGATCGGGTCCAAAATTGTCGTCGCTATACAGTAGAGGTGGCAATTAGGATCTAAATTCATGAATCCAATCCAATCTATCCACCAAATTATTCACATAATCCAATCCATTTAAATCCAATCCATTTTATCCGAATCCAATCGGATTGGTGGATTCATTGATCAATCCATCGATCCAAATGACAAATTACGATTTGATACCTATATTTTTTATATTTTACATTTTGGTACCTAAAATTTATATTTTCATACGAAAATATCATTGAAAATTACTTTTTGGTACCTAAAATTTACCATTATGACATTTTAGTACCAAAACTTTTCAAATTTTACATTTTGGTCCAAGCCTTGGATGTCATTTGGATTCATTGATCAATCCACCAATCCATTTGATCCAATCCATGAATCCACCAATCCAATCCACGAATCCACGCAATCCAATTGTCACCTCTACTATCCAGTTTAGACTTGTTCTTAAAAATAAATTCTGTGTATTAAATTTTTAATTTGATAGTGTATTCATTTTCCATTAATGATGAAGTGCCAATGCTGCTGGTGTGTAATAAATGGGGTATCTCAATAATTGTTGTGGGGAATTTTTTTTCTCTTCAAAAGATACTCGTGTTTCTCAAGGTTCAGTTTCGGGCACGTATTTTATTCTTCTGTTGCGTATTTCTTTTGTATTTTGATTGTATTTGTGTATATTATCTGTCCACTGGGTTTTATACATTAATATGGCACCTATTTTTGAACAGCATAGCACATGTATTAATGTCATTGTCTGAAGGGAATTTCTATATTTTATTAAAATTTTTGTAATGTTTGGAAATGGACACTTGTGAATTTTTCCATTCAAAACAAGGACAATTCAGGTCTAACGTCTTTGACTTTTTCCCTAGTTGAAGAAGAAAATTCATACTGTATTATTATACTCCATTAATGATTTTCTACATCCAACAGTTCAGTTATCGGTTGGGCTAGTAATTATGGTATAGGACAAGCACTCAATCATACGAGTCACTACCCAAAATGGGGCAAACAACTCCGAAATTGTAAACGTGTTTTATGACAGTATTAAGACGTTCTTATTACTATGGTATGAGTATTTTTATGTCGTAAAATTAATTGAAATATTTTTCTTAAGAATATGAAGAAATGCATATAATTTTGTAGGTCAAGTGTGCCTTGTATGTTGTGTCCCATATTTTTTTTAAAAATTTTAGAGTGAAATGAATAAGTCTTAATTGTTGAATGTGAATGTGACAAGGATTAAGGAACACCCAAGCTTGTGCCACGTGTCAATGTATTTATGTTGTTTACTAGTCCACCTATCAAAATTTAATTATCATAATAATTATGATGGGATTTGCTACAGATTGCTAGCCATAAACAAGTTATTATTAATATTTTAAAGTTCCAGTAACAAATTCCGAGAGATTGACTTAGTTGGATCAAAATATCAATCATCACACCTTAGGTTCGAACTTTGGGACAACAACGTATAAAACAAGTATAATTTCCGTACAAAACATGTATAAAACAAGTATAATATGTTTAATATTCACATACTGAGTGAACTGAATTCATACTTGGAACTTCATTTATGCATTAATTTGTTCAAAATAATCACATGTTTTATAGCTACTGATGTGCCGTAAAATACTCGTATATATTTTGTACGCGTAAATCACTCATGACATATATTTTACTTACAATTCAGTCTGATATCATAATTACTCATTAACTGAAATTGAATATTATTATGCAACAGAGTACTCACCTTGCAAAGAGAGAAAATACGATGATCGTCGAGATCCCTACTAAACCTAGCAATCCCAACCGGCCGATCATCACCATCACCGCCGATCGCCCTCACCACCTCGCCGGCGCTGCCGCCGGAATCCTCCTCCAACGCTCCCACAAAATACCCTCCCACCACCCTAAGTTCCCTAGCCACTACAAACTCAACCTCCAAGTAATCCTTCAAAAAACTCTCCACCATCACCCTCGGCAGCTTCCCACACACCGCCACCACCTTCCCTCCGCCGCCGCCTTTCGCGGCCTCGAACGCCTCGAGCGCCACGTCACTCAAAAATGCCCTGGGGAGCACGCTGCTCCCCACGCTGAAATCTTTCTGCCTGAGCCCGATGAAGCTGATGAAAACCATCAGCTTCAACTCGAGCTCCCCTCCATGTCCGCCTGCTAGGGTTAGCAGGCGGAGAAAGGGGTAGAAGAGGAGGAGGACGGCAGCTCTGACCAAGCTGCCGGCCTCGAAGGCCACCAGCATGAAGTAAGGGAACATGGAGGTGGATTTCAGGAGAGCTCCTTCCACGTCGATGATGACTGCGGTGGTGGGGGAGATGGGATGGTCGTCGTCGTTGCGGCGGAGGGAGGTGAACTTGTGGTAGGTTGTTTTGGTGCCGGAGTGGACGGCGGCGTAGGGGTGGCTGAGGCTGAGGCTGCGGCGGAGGGGTTTCGGCGGTGGGTTCCTGAAGAGGAGGCGGAAGATGTAGAGGAAGAATGTTACGAAGAACGGCGCCGTTTGTAGCATTTTTTTTTTTTACTTCCTATTTTTGGTTTGTTGCTGATGAATGACTATGGAGAGTTGAAGATAGGTGGGGAAGAATGGAAGGGGAGTTTGGGGCTTAAATACAGCTTTGGCAAGTGGCAACAATAGAGAAACATGACATGAGAACTTGCCACTACCAACCGTTTAATTTGTTTTTTTCTATTTCAGCGTTGGGTCCCCGCGACTTAGAGAAAGCGGTCTATCGATTTAGAAAAATGATCGATTAAGTTTGGGTTAAATGCAGTTTTGATAAGTGGCAACAAAGAGAAACATGACATAAGAATTTGCCACTACCAACCGTTTTATTTGGGTTTTTTCTAGCGTTGGGCAAGTGTCATCATGACTTGGAGAAAGCTATCTATGACTTTGGACAAACGGTACGTCCACTAAGAGACATACTTGATTTTTACTTACAGTCAAAAAATTATGGACAACAAGAGGTCTACAGTACGAAATTGGTTTGTAGTAATGCAACTTCCTATCTCCTGTAGGCAATCGATCATATCTCTAAGAAGATTATAATTATAGGCCTAGACAGAAAGAAATAACATCATCTTTTAACACTTTTGGATTAAGAACCTGCAGAAGCAAGATGAAAGGAGATTTATGGACGTTGAAGATCATATAATTGTATAACAATGATATCCTACTTTTTTAAAGTCTCTTCACAGCAACAATCGCAAGAAACTTGCTTCTTCATAAGACAATTATAGAATCACAAGCACAAGCAAAAATAGAGTTTGGAGGAAAGGTGAAATCTTTGTAAAGAGTAAGTCAAATCAAAGAGACAAACTTTGGAGAGCAGTTTTCCACACGGGTGAGCAATCACCCAAAAAACTTCTCATGCATGCTTCAATCTTTGTACTTATTTCAACTCTCTTACTAGCAAGCATATCTATTAACAATGTATGTTTGTAACCAAATACATCGTTTCACTAGTAATAATTCATTTGATCGAACATTTATCAGAAGCGGTCGACGTTCCGTTTTCTCCAAATTTACAAATGATTTTCAAATTATGGTAGCAAATTCCAAAAGTAGTTTGCTTGTGTATTCATTCATTCATTGATGATGAAATTAATGCAAGAAGGTGTTGGAGTAAATGTGATATCTCAATAATTCTCGAGGCTCAATCCTGAGCACGTATTTGATTTTGGAATTTTCTTTCTCCCTCTGCATATCTCATTATAATTTGATTATATTTTTGTATATATTATCTTCCCCACTCGTTTGATACATGACTAGCTAGGGCACCAGCTTTGGACAGCATAGCATGTATTTATGTCATTGTCTAAACGGTATTACTATTTTTATTTATAAAAAAAAAACACTATTATTGGAAATGGACACTTCTGAATTTTTACACCAAAACTGATAAAAGGCTAAGTTCATCGTATTGGTTTTGATTTTCTTGTTTGATTGCTTTATTTGTAAGACGATGATTGTTTTCGTATTCATTGATGTCTCGAGTAAAACAGATATCTTCATCCGTAAGAAAGAATAGTCAATTCCGTCGTATTTGACCATTTCCCCTATTTTAAGATAAAAAGTCTATTCTATATTACATTCCATTAATGATTTCCCACATATATCAGTTCAGTTTTTGGTTGGACTAATTATGAGCATTAGGAAATGTCAACGTTAAGAGTCCCTATCCAAATATTGGCGCACAACCCAAAGTTGTGGAACTAATTCTGTTTGTGTTTGGATGAAATTTTTAATTTAATTTATACCATTGAAGTGGATGCTATTTAATAACCAATGTTAAGTCACTATTTCTAATTATCTAAAAAAAAGTTATTTTACATGATGAGATATATTTAAAAAAAATCGACATCTCTTGCAAATATTACAAAAATGGCTAACAATTTTTGTAAAAGTGTGTTGTGACAGTATTAAGACGTTATTATCACTATCGTGAGTGTGTTTTACATCGATCGTAAAATTGCCTGAAATCGTACGGTGTCGAGCATGGATCATGGTTAAGAATAACGTTACCAAAATAAAAAGAATAGTCAACAGGAATGCACGTATTTGTACATAGAATGGGTATGACTTGAATGCATTTTACCAACATGAAATTTGATTAAGGAATGAATCAAACTTTCCATGATAAGTAATGGAGGGGAAAGATGAGTATCATACAACCGTGTCTTGATCATGAATCTCTTAAGACTCTTTCATACAACTTTTAACGATTGGTCTCATCTGGATCTCGTTTGGATTACTAGCGAGTTTGACGATTGTTTAGAATTTTGATATTTCATCTCAATCAATTAAGTTGTTAAGAAAGACCAAAATTTGAATCTTTTATATATATAGATATACAAACTTCCGACACAATCATGACAGACGAAGAAGAAAAAAACCAACCCCTAAATTTAAAGATAATAAGATTTGTATATTATCATACACTATACTTAAATTAATTTGTTAATTTTATCCCAGATGGAGCAGAAAAAGCAAAGAGAGGAACTACTGATTAGTTAGTAGTTTGTATTATGATAATGATTGCAGAATTGCCTTTAATGTTGGTTCTCTTAGGCCATCAAGCAGACTTTGACCCCAATGCAATGCTCCCACTTTGCACATAGTTATCCATCCTAATGGAGTCATGGATTTCCATTTTCACATTTAAAACTTAGTTCGGTAACATTTGAGCAAACTTTGGGCGAGCTTGTAGAATTCTAGTCGTTCGATTTTTCATTTTTTTTAGCTTCCTCTACTGTATCTTCTGAAAGAGTTCCAGAAAGATTTTCTTTCAAATTCGAGTTTATGATTTCCCGTCATTGAAACCAACGCGAAAGTGTTTTCAGATAAGTTTTCGTAAGTCTCATATCCTCAACTTTCAATCTTTTTCGAGAAAAATAAGGCCCTACCCCTTTCAGCAAACAGAGCCAACTCAGTTGTTGGTTTGGTTAAGGAACATTACATGCTGTGTTTTCAGTTGATGCATAAAAGAAGCATCATTCATTCCTTCTGTATCATTTGAAATCGACTGGGACAGACAACACATTTGCTTCTGTACTAGAAAAACACACCTGTAATCGAGTCTTAAGTGGTTCAGAATAATAATAGTGGTTATTGATTGATTTTGTATCTTTGATTATCGCTTCTCGATTCATTTTTTTACGAAAAGGTTATTGTGTTTCAATGCCCTTAGCTTTCGATAATAACGGTTAACTTACACATAATGTAAGATAGACTTGCACAATCTTCAAACCTTGTGCAAACTGTTATTCTCAACAGTTGGGATGAGCTCAAATCTTAGTAAGACAAACTATACATATACAACGACACGCTATTAGAGCTTACAACGAACTAAAAAGCATGTGCGAGCAAAATCCTCCAAACTCATAATATTATTTTGCTCTAAGGACAGAATAGAGGATCCTAAGTGAACTTCAAACTCAGTGTACAGAATTTCGTTTGATGTGACATTATCAGAAAATAATACAATATGAATATCCCTTAACAACTCGAGCGAGCTAGCTAAGCAAGTCATATGAGATCCCAACAAATGAATAAATCCTAGTAACTGGGTACAGGCATGCAAATATTTTCCTACATCGGGTTCGTGCTCAATGTTCTGCGTTTTCTAAAATGGGAAGTATCTCCCCTACAACATTCAAACATGGCAAAGAATTAAGAGCAGAACTTTCTACTCAAAATGCTAGGAGTCTATCACTTGCCTTCATCTTGGCGGGCTTGAGTATTATGTACATCTTGCAAGCATTGGGAGGGAGCCAGGCGCACGTCCGGCCAGTCCATATTGATTATTGGGTGTCCATCGACAAAAATTTATGCTGCAAAAATACTAAGGCTGTATCAATGTCCAATACAGGAGGAGAATAAGCAAAGATGATAACATAGTAAGCTACAGAGTGCTCACTTACAGCCCACAGGTCTGCAGGAGAATTTGCAGTAGAAAGATCTGCAACTTTTCGTCAGCGCCTAAATGTATTCATCAGTTAAGTTAACCACTGAAAAGACATAGCTGGGGGGAAGTCAATCGTGCTTCCAGAAAGAGCTCCAACTCATCCATCTAACTTTCTACACTTGTTCTTCCTTCCTTGTAATTTCTTCAGGAATAACCTCTGTCCACTCTACTCCTGACAAAGCTACTTCCCCTGACCTTCCTAACATTTTGGTTAAGCATGAGCTTCCTCACTCTTTCAGCATCCTCCCATTTCTCATCCAGAACAAATAAATCACAAATCTGAGTGTAGACCCCTCCATCGGTCTCCGGCTTTATGACCGCCAACACCTGCTCAATCACTTTCTCGGCCATGTCGAACCGGTTGTGCTCCTTACAAGCTGACAGAAACGAGCCCCAAACAGCAGCATTCGGTTCGAGTTTCATCCTCTCGATGACACCACGAGCTTCTTCCACTAGTCCTGCCCTGCCATAAATGTCGACCATGCACCCATAGTGCTGTATCTTATACTCCAAACCATACTCTTCAATCATGTTGAAGTACCTTTGCCCGGCTCCCACCATTCCCGTGTGAGCACAAGCATGAAGAACACCTGTGAAAGTCATCTCATTTGGTCGGACGCCTTCTTCTTTCATCATCTCGAACAATGATAATGCTTCTTCACTACATCCATGCCTAGCTGCTCCACTTATCAATGCAGTCCATGCTATGACGTTCTTTTCCTTCATTGCAGAAAAAACAAGGCAAGCATACTTGAAAACTCCACACTTGGCATACATGTCCACAAGAACGTTGTCAATTTCCCCATTCATCTTCAACAAATAACCATGAACCGATCTCCCAAGTAATGATCCAGGACAACCCATTTGGGCGCAACAAGATAAAACAGTCGACAAAGTTATCTTATCCGGCATAATCATCGGTCCATCATTCCCCGCCATCATCATCTCACGAAACAGAAACAAACCTTCTGCCCAGCGCCCACTATGAACAAAAGCAGTTATCATAGCAGACCAAGACTCAACATTCCTCTCCGGCATCTCTTCAAACATGTCCAGCGCCTTATCGACGTCCCCGAACCTCGCATACCCTGTAATCATCACGTTCCAGGTGACAGCGGTTCTGTCAGGCATTTCATCGAACAGTAAGCGAGCATCACGAAACGATGCAGCTACATACGCAGAGAGAAGGCAAGTGGCGATGTAAACGTTGCCACCGAAGCCTACCCTGACGACATGGGCGTGGAAGTGGCGAACGATGCGTGGGTCTTTCATAGTGGCCGCTGATTTCAGTACGAACAGTAAGGCGTAGCTGTCGAGCTTTTTGACTGAAAACTGGCGGTGCATTCTGCAGTAGATCCCCAAGCCATCGCGCGGGGAGGAGGAAGAAGCCTGCTTGATGGCTTCAGCTGAAGATCTTCTCGATTTGAAGAAGGGTTTCCCGGTGACGAGGCAGCGGTGGTGGCTTGGAGAGGATTTGACGACGGGGTCGAGCAGGCGCCTGACCATAAGCAGCATCGGTTTATTCCCATCAATACCAAGGCGACGGTTAGAGCCTGAAACAGATCGGGAAGTGCAAGTGTCGAAGCGGCAGCTTGCCCCTCATCTCCCTTGTCAGAAAAGCTCGTGAGGCCGGAGCCACGGTGGACGAGGCGGCGGCGGGGATTTCTAAATCAACCCGCGCAAACGGAAGAAGTGGACGGCGGCGGAGGATGCTCTGTTTTCATCTTCCTTTCGTACAGAAGAAGGGAAACGGGCTTACGTACTGCTGCTGGATATGTGGGTCTAAACACATGGGCGTGGCCCAATTGTGACCATACTTAATGGGCTTTCATGGCAAAAGGGCTTTTCTGCCAATCGGAGTGACTTAGCGGTAGAAGTTGGTAAGTATATACGGAATATTATATAGAATTTGTCAATATATTATTTCATTAGGCAAAATACATTTGTATACCCATAACTATTCGCTTATTGACAATAATAATCAAATTCTAATTAATACATAAATGTAGCCATATTTTGAAAATTGAATTGACAAATTTAATCATTTCTATTAGTAATTTTAACCATTTGCTGACGTGGGCATTCACGTCATCAAATACGAAGTATGAAGTACAAGTCAAATTCAAATCACATATTCCATGCCACCTGGCTGCCAACCACCTCGGTTTAGATTATTATTTTTATAAATGATTATTTAATGTAAGTTTTTTTTTTCAATTCTTCTATTCTCTTTCCTGCGAGACCTAAAACTAGGGATGACAACAAAATCCGAACCCACGGGTACCCACCCGACCCAACCCGGTCAACGCGGGTAAAATTCGTGTTGACGGGTTTTGGGCCGGGTTTGGGTTTAAACCCGTTCACTATTCACCGGGTTGGGTTGGGTTTGGGTTTAGGTAAACCCGACCTATGAGTACCCGCCTACACCCATATAATTAATTTTCTTGGTATATTTAATATTCTAAACAACTAATCTTACTTATGTATGTGGAGACATGTCTAATTTTTTCTTTCTAATTGTGTAGAATGAAGTTGATGTTATCTAGTGAGAGTGAAGAAACTTAATTGAAAGGAAGAAGCTTTCAATTAATCATGTTATTTATGGATAATCTGTTATTTGCTTCAATTTTCTTGAGTTTTCTAGATTAGTGTTGAACAATTTGTATAGTTTATTTGTGATTTGCTTGAATTTTCTAGAATTGTGTTTTAAATATGGATAATTTGTATTGAGAGATTGATCTTTGACTTTAATTTTGATAGAAACTTGTTACTGTAAATTTTTTACGACAAAAACCCGTGGGTACCCATAAACCCGCGGATACCCAGCGGGTTGGGTTGGATTTGAGTTTTTCAAACCCAGTGGGTTTTACCCCTGGTTTTTTTTACAGATAAACCCATGGGTTTGGGTTTGGCAAAACCCGACCCAACTCGACCCATTGCCATCTCTACCTAAAACTCCGACCTTCTATCGGTCACTGTCCAAACCTACATGAACCCGACATAAATCAATTATACTCCAATAAAATAGAATCATTATCACTTGCTAAACCGACATAGCACTTAAACAAACGGTTTCACAACCTTCCAAATCTCAAATCAAGGAGAAAAGAAAGAAAAGTCAGCCAAACCAAAACGCCACCTCGCCATAGAAGAGATATTATTTTGCTTGGGAGCATGTGCCCACTCATCTTCTTCAACCCTTTCTCACTCGCTCTCTCATCAGTCATCACTCCATCCATCCAGCCACTAACCAGTTCATCTTCCGCTCAGCAAGAACAAAATTCCATCCCCCCCAACCAACGATCACATTCTCCCTCCTCACCCCACGTTCCTTTTTCCTTTTACTTCCAATAAAGCTCATCTCTTTCTTGCCATCTTCTTTACTTGTGAATCAATCAATACTATGCCACTCTGAAAAATCCCCCTTCCGTTTTGTCCCTCCCCTGTTTTGGTTTTAGTTCGAAGCAGAGGAAGGGTTTGATTTTTCTTTCCTCCCCACATCGCCAATGGATTCCTCTGTGCTTCTGGACTACGCTCTGTTCCAGCTCACCCCGACTCGAACCAGGTAATTTCACAAAGAAAATGGCGAATAAAAAATTTGAAATTTTGGGAGTGAATTTGGGAGGGTAGACTAACTCTGTTTCTAATGTTATGTTTTTTTTCTGACTTCTGATCTTGGGTGGTTTGATCCCAGATGTGATCTGATCGTGTTCCATGGAGGGAAGCCTGAGAAATTGGCTTCTGGGCTCTGCGAGCCGTTCGTTTCGCATCTCAAATTCGCGAAAGATGAGTTTGCGAAAGGTGGGTACTCCATCAAGCTCTGCCCTCCTTCCCGCTTTGCTCCCTGGTTCACCAAATCCACTTTCCTGAGGTGAAAATTTTCACCTTTCTTCGTTCAATGTGAATTTTCATGGGGGAATTTCGATTTTGGATGACATTTAGCATCTGGGTTTTGCAATTACCTCTGCAGATTCGTGCGGTTCGTTAGTACCCCTGCAGTGCTGGAGAGGTTTATTAAGCTAGAGAGCGAAATTATGCAGATTGACGAGAGTTCAGCACAAGCCAACGAATTGCTCTGTAAAAGTGGCGAACCGGAGAAAGGAAAGAAGAGAAATGAAGAATCCCCTGCTCCTACCCCTCAAGAAAATTCCAAGTAAAGCATGAACGTTAGATTCTCAATTTTCAGTTCTAGTTTCAATTTCCAGTTAGTGTAATTTCTGATTGTAGTCCGACACAGGGTTCAGTTCCAGCGGCTGCTCGAGACCCGGAAATCGATGCTTCGGCGAGAGCAAGCCATGGCGTATGCACGAGGGCTCGTCGCAGGGTTCGAGCCCGATAAACTAGACGATCTGATTTCCTTTGCGGATGCATTTGGAGCTTCGAGGCTAAAGCAGGCTTGTGTGAACTTTAAGGAGTTGTGCCAGAAGAAGAATGGAGATGGTCTCTGGATGAAGGAATTGGCTGCAATGGAGGCTTACTCACCAGCAGAACTTGCATTCTCCCCGACGCCGGTGATTGTGCTGACTAATGAAGCCTTGGATGGATCAGTGGCAGCTGATTCATCGCCTGCTAGACAATCGAGTTTGGACAGCCAAACAGGTATCCACCATAGATTTCTGCACAGTAAAGTCTTAGAACTTGTGACAACAAATAGTTTTACTTTTTCTGCATAGAATGAAACTATGTTTTGGAAGTTTGTCTTAAGAGTTTTGACTATGTTGCAGAAAGTGATGAACTTGTTTTAGGTTTGTATGCAATAGTAGACAATTGAATGGTGTGTTTGTGTAAAATGTACAGATGAAACTTCCACTGCAAAAGCTCAAATGGGCATGCCATGGCCGAATCAGATGATACCTCCTTACATGTACAATTTCCAGCACCTGAATCATCCATATCAAGGCTACCCATATCCTCCTGTGCAGCCTTACCCTCCTCAGTATGCTATGAATATGCAATCACCGCCAACAAGCCGGAGAAAATCAAGCCCAGCCAAGCAGTATAGCAGGAAAGGAAGAAGCTATTCAACTGAAGAGAGTGAGGAGGAGGAATCCAGCGGTTCCGAATCCATCAGAAGCGATTCAGAATCCGAAGTTCGGTCAGACAAGAAGCAGGAGCAGCTTTCTTCTCCCGGGGACGATGTTCCAGTCAAGAAGAAGCACCACAGGAGGAAGTCATCATCCAAAACAGTTGTTATTAAAAACATCAACTACATCACATCCAAGAAAAGGAATGGAGCCTTGGATAATTCGTTTTCGGGTGAAGATGAAGGCAAGCTCGTGAACCAAGTGGTGGAATCATTGGAGGAGAAGATGAACACGTCAAAGAACGAGGACTGGGATGCTTTCCAGAATCTCCTTACGAGAGAAGAGGAGCAGCAGCAGCAGGCAGTTGTATTAGCCATCACTGGACCAGAATGCCCTGCCACGGATTTGGAATCATCAGAGAAACTACCAATGCAGAAGATTCCTGCAGGGGATTCGTTTCTCATGGTGAAACCAGACGAGCCACGGGGAGAGAGAGCTAGCTTGGAGGAGGATTTTATGGTTGGGAATCAACAACAACGATCAGTCGTGAAGAAGAGAATGGATTCTGCAGACGAAGATTTGGTCATTTCGCGGCGAGTACACGAATCAGGAACAGGACTAATAACTGACGAAAGTCTATCTTCCTCCATGGTGAAGCCTGGAAAGGGAGGAGGAGAAGACTGGTTTGTAATCAAAGGTGCATCAGTGAACAAAGAAGCCATGCTCAATGGAGATTACCTGCAAATGGAAAGCAACAACTCCGGCAAAAGAGAAAGCACTGAGAGAGACAGATTGGCTGTTGATGATTCCTTCATGTTAGAAGCTCGACCACTGGACGTTTCTGTCAATCAGTACGACGAGCCTCCATGGAGAACAGACATAGCCATGGCCGCAGATTTATCACTATCTTCTCCACTCGAAAATGGAGATACGAAAGAGAGGAAAAGCCATGGCGAGCAGGTCGACGACCTTTGCATGGTGGTGGAGAGGGAAGCAGCTTGGTGTACAGATCAAAGCATGGACTTATCATTCATGGAAGCAACCAATACCACCAGGAAATCGACTAATGATAATCCCACCAAGGAAGAGAATCAATCGAATTCGACAAAATTAGAGACCAAGAACAAGAAGACCGCAACAGCGAATCACAGTAGAGTTCACGGAAGAACGAGAACGGAGATGATCAACTCGAGAACGAAGAGGACAACTCCTCTACAGAGCCGACCACTGATCCAGAAAAGCAAGCTTGAGAGAGTAAGTTGTCAATGGGAAACACTTCAACACTCCGAATCTCAACTATGCTTAATTTCTATGTGCTTTTGAAAACTTACTGTGAGAAATGTGAATCCTGAAACAGGAGGACGAGGCGAGGAAGATGATCGAAGAACTAGCTCTACAGCGACAGAAGAGAATTGCAGAAAGAACAGCAGCAGCAGCAGCAGCTAATTCAACCCGAAAACAAAACCCAAATCGAAAATCGTAAAGAACTCGTCCTACCAAAGCATAGCTAGAATTCGTAAAGAACTGGTGCGAGGAGCTTTGTAACTGTTGATCTCCGGCTTCTTGGAGTGAATTTTACCCATACCGCCGGTTACCGAATACCGATTGTAACCGGTTCGGTATCCGGTTATACCGAATATCGGTTTACCGAATACCAGCCATAGTTCTCGGTCGCAAATATATGTTTAGTTTTGGTGATTTTTAGGCTCAAGGTGAGTCCCAGGACCCACCTAGTCAAAGGATTGGATCAGCCATTGTTTGTAAGTATTGGGTAAAATTTAAACTCGAATATTGCAGGTGGTGGATGGACTGAACGTATATTTTTTACTATCCAACTAGAATCTATGCGATTATTATACACTAGAAAAGACCCGCTCGCTACGGTTCGCACATAATAAGAATAACAAAATATTAAATCCAAAAGAATTGATGATTTCATGCAAGCTGGTTAGTTTTGGATCAGACAACAAATCCTTAGAGGCGCAACAAAATAGTTGACAATTGTCTAAAGATCTTCATGGAGTACTAAATGTAACAATCATATATGAAAATGATAATGAAAACATGAGTGTTCCGCTCGTACCAGAGATGCATTACGTACTCTCCAGTGTTAGCTTGTTCACTCATAACTCATAAGGCATACGAAAATAACGAAATCATGGGTAGGCCATCACACAAAAGGCTTAGGGAACATCCACAATACTTCACAACAGGAACTTGAACTCATATCATATCCACCTAATTGACAACATGCAGGATCTCTAAGAATTTGGTATGTTCATGGCACATGTTGGCTATCTTACAAAGGTTGCCTGCCTGGAGTCACATGACATTTGTTGCACGTCTAAGATGAAGTTGTAGAGCCTAACTGGGTCTTGTTGCAGAGTTGCAGTCCCAGTAAGTTCTTTGTCAACTATCCTTTGAAGAATTATCTCTCTCGATTCATGACTAAACAATGAAGGTTAGATACCTTCCACCTGAGGTAAGACCTTTCGATGCAATAGGTAGAATCATATCTCCCACTGCACTCCCTAATAAAATGCTCAACAAATGGAAGTCATATATAATAAACAAAACAAAGCAAGGTTATTGAAGAAAACACATACGAACTAAATTAAGAAGGAATTGCCAACTTTATGGCCTTTATATTTTGGGACTCGTTAAAGTAAAAGCAGGGAAGAACCATATGAAAATTAGGAAGTTTGCAATTCTAGGCATGTTCGATTCTTAAGAGAAGCATTTTGGGAATGAGATATACTCTGATTGTACTCGAGGAACTGCAAAATAGAGTAGGATTTCTTGAAGAAGCAAATAGGATTCAAGTGATTTAACAAATGGATGGAAAGACCAACTAAAACAAAAACAGAAAGAACACAGTAGAGAAGGAAGAAAGATAACAATTTGGACTGTTGAAAAAAAAAATACAAAAATTTAGAATAAGGAAATCCTAAATCAAGCCAGGTTCAGTGCATGTATACTTTGTCCGAAAACTGATGGCAATCAAAGAATGATAAGCATTTTAAGCTTGGTTGCACCTCAAAACGTCCACCGTAAAAAATAATGGCGCAAAATATTCTGAAATACAAATCTATCCTTCTCAGTGATACAGGTAAACATTATTGATCATCAGCCTATTTCAAACTCGCGCGTTGGCAAGTAGGAAAATTGAGTAAAAAAGGGTATATAGTTACAACAAATGGCAAACAGAGATGGCAACAACGGGATCATGAAAGCAAGAATTAACTAACAAAGAAACAGCAAGGTCGAACCAATTATCCCCGATCCAAAGTGCCTAAACAATTATCAAGGATGAAAGGAGCACAGCAAAGATGATCGTAATTCTAAGGGGTTAGGAAAATGGAAGCGGCAAACGTAAGAGCATTGAGAAAGCATTTGTATCATACAACATCTTTCAGGGAGAAGGTAGTAAAACATGTATGTTTGTTTTAAAAATGCGACACAACCGCAGTTCGGAGCTCTATGGTTTTGTATGTTTGTTTTAATAAACAAAGCGATAAAACATATATACCACAAGTCCCAGACTACGAAACAAAAGATGATAACGATAATTAGTGCCATATGGAGAATAAAAGATGTCAAGATGAGAGGACGATTAAAGGAAAGAGTCGGGATTGATTAGATAGGAACTTACTGAGGGAGGTTATGGATTGGTAGAGCTGCAATCCGAAAGAGCCAGTATTGGTCGAGTTTATGATGGCAAATGAAGGATCATTACAGCAGGTTGCAACCATATCATATCTGAACAAATAGTAAAACGCAGTTCTATAGTCAACGACAACCAAACGGGTCATGGACTTACAATATAAACCATGCATAAAATAGAAATGACATTATTCACATTTAAAAAAGGATGTAAGATTACAACAGCAGTGAAATTCAATGTGCAATATTGTAGTGATTGGATTGTAGGACACAACAATAAGCAGGGTAGAGAGGCAACAGAAATGGCGATTAACGAAATGGTGGATATGGAGAAAACCATGAATTTGGCACATCTAAGGGTTGTGGGGTTTGTTTATCTACTGCAATTTCTCTAAGAACCGCACAAAAACTTGAAGGATCGGCAAATGATAAGTCCAGATAGTTCACGTTAAAAAATGAGGACATTAAATAGTAAACAAACCACCACTTGAGATGCCCTGATGTCATGTTGATGAGATTAATGTGCAACCTCATTTGCTCTGACTCACAGGTCAGGCTTCTCTATTGCAAAGCTTCCTTGGTTGTTTCTACCCTGTCAAATTCAGAACCACATAAAGAGGAGTAAAGAAAAGCAAAGAAACTAATCCAAGAAACTTAGCAAAGAAACTAATTCAGAACCACATATTCTTCTTACTACCATTCACCTTTTGGCATTCTCCACCACAGCTACAAAATCACCTGCATAAAAAAAAAATCACAGTCAACAAACTATGCTATCTTCTTTTAGAAGAACAAACCATACTGTGAGACCTGAGTTGCTGTAAGTAGTTGGTCACTTTAGTAAGAGAAAAAAGGCAATCATAGCCAGTAAGTTTCCCTGAGAGATGGATTTACAGCAATTTTAGATAGAAATTAGAGCATTGCCTCACCATTTCATGTAAAAAGTGTTTCCAAAGTCTGCATAACTATGATCTATTAATATGAGGTATGCTTGGCAGAAGGTTTTTTGTTGCAAAGCAACTAACCAACATGATATAATCTAAAGGCTGTTGCGACATTCTTGTTTGGTTCCAACAAAGCGAACAACTAGTTGAAAAAAGCAAAGATTATGAGGGAGAGACATGATGGTAGGCAAAGAAATGTAACTGTAATAAGTAACCGAACAGTAAACTCAATAGTAAAGGTGAACACTAATTTCAAAGTGAACATGTATGAGACAAAACTCATTGCCAATCCTAATTCTACCCACGTCTAAGACTAAATCAAGTAGGGAAAAGAGCACATGTAAAGCAACGGTATACCCAATCTGAATTGAATTGTAAACCTCACATAAATGTATAGACCAAACCTCAATCGAAGAACATCCAAGAGGCATGAGGCAAAATTGCAAAGAGAAGAGAAATTTCTCTAACCACTTATGAATTAAACCAGGAAAACACAATGGCTAGGCTATGTAAAAAACGAAAAACCAATACAAAAGTGAATAACATCCCAGGGGTATTAGTAAAGGCTCTGAGGCAAAGGCATGACGAAAAACTAAGCAAAGTAACTGCAAGCCCAACATTTGAACCAAACAATGGTTGAGAGTTGTCCGTGTAACACCTGAATCAGTAATCACCTCAGCTTTTACAGGAGTGTGATCTGTCACGTTGCTCTCTAGCGCCACCTTAGAGGGCACGGAACTCGGTTGTAATGACCAAGCTGGGTCATTCAAGAGAGGATGTTGTCATGGAGCATTTTCTGCAAAAGGAAATTTGAGAAAGTCGTTCAGTATCAAATCCAAAAAGAGTAAAAATGTAAGTATATACACCCAAGTCTAAAAATAAAAATAAAAAATTATACAGAATTTTCATTGCTAGCAACCACCACATCCCAACAGCTCCTGTCGTGCAACCAGCATACCCTCTTTTAAGAGCTTGCCAGTCAATGTTCCAGATATAGATGTCTAAATCAACTAATAAGGAGCTTACTATACCCAGTGAACCACTAACATACAGAAGATAAAATAAAACAAACAGAAGAAATTACAAAATGAAATTTGAGGTATTGCAACATGATGTTGTCAAAAACTAATGAAGTTAAACCATATCTACTTGATATATTAATGTGCAAGCTGAATCGTTGATTCTCAACAATACAATATGCGAAGGATCTTCGGAGGTGGTAGAGAGCAGGCGCTGAAAGGGGATGGAGAGTAGTGGTTCGGACCGAATCACCCATTCAAATAGCAGCAAATCGACGAAGGGACGAAAACCCAGTATTCCCCCGACAGTGGCCGCAAATGGTATGCGAATAACCGGGAACTCAGGATTCCAATCAAGAAAGTGATTTTATTACAACTCATAGTCTGGCAGTAAAGGCATACCGGTTTTGGCCACTTCAGAGGGGAGAGAATAGGTTGGTGATAGATTGAAAGAAAAGATGAACGCAGACGGATGAGTAAGATTGAATCGATGTAGAAGTAGTTCCTCTGCATCTTCTCCCTCTACTTTAATGATTCCCCTTTTCTTCTTCTTCGTCTTCATGGACAGCGGGAGAGAGATAGGCATCGGGACATGGGTTTCCGCCAAGAAAGGTATGCAAGACCTGAGATTCTAGGGTGGAAAGGAGATATGAGTTTGGGAATGGGATTCAACCAATAAAGGGCAAGGAGGAGGCGGTACCTGAGATTAAGTCAGGCAGTTTCTGAGTTGGGATTCCGCCGGCGAGTTCCAAGGAGGAGCGGTATTCTTAGCCCCTTTCACCGTCGCGCCGATCAAGTCGGCGAGCTTCTCAATAAGAATTTTGTCAGTGAGCTCGAAGGAGAAAGTATGTTCTTATCGACCCGTCGACTAAGTCGGAGAGCTTCGGAGGTGGGATTCAGTCACCGAGTTGAGAGGAAGAGGTGAGATGGGCGGAAGAGAGAAGCTATGGCTGTGAAAAGAAGGTGAGAGGGCCAAAGAAAAGAGGAAAAGAAGATGAAGGAGCTTGCGTGTGGGTGTGGAAGCTGGAAAGAGTTGGAGAAAGGTTGTCTCTGTTGCTGAAAAGCAACTTTGAGTGGGAAAGTGACAGGGGAGGAAGGAGAATACAATATGCAAACCCATTGTATAATAAATGGATCCAAAGGTTCTGAACTGGCGAGTGGGGTAATAGAATTTACTCTTAACTTTTGGGTGTTGGAAGTTGGATTGGTGACTGAGTGAATGAGAAACAAATGGACGAATCCCACTCGCGGCAAAGAAACTGAGGGCCACTAATGAACAGTACCCAAACTGTGGCTTTTATATATCAATTTATACACATGTATATATGTTTATTGTTTAAAAATAATCATCATTTTTCTTAAAACATTTTATATTTATCATTCATATATATAGTATTTTTCTTAAAACATTTTATATTTATCATTCATATATAGTATTTTGACGAAATTGTATTTTTTTTCAACCAACTTCATTCGTTCTTGTAATTTCTTGTTATAAATTTTCACTTATGTAATGTTAGTATACGTGTAATCCGTAAACATGTTGGTTGAACCTATGAAGATAAATTATTATCTACGCATTATCCGACCCGTTACATCCTTGCCCGAATCCCCATTTTCATGAAGAATCGGAGGTAAAGAAGAAAGATACAAGGATTAGTTGATTCCATAGATATAGCCTTTCGTTAGGGGAAAGACCAAATCCAAACATTATGCGATAGAGTACATATTGGCATTGGAAATTAGCTCCGGAGCTCTCCCCCCGCCATCTTCTCTCTCTTTCTCTTTCTCTCTCCAGAGAAACCGAAAGGGAAGGGGAAAAAATTACGATTCTAGCCGGAAGGAATGAACAGGCAAAGAAGAAAGAAGAAGAAGAAACGAATCGCTAGGGGAGAGAGCTGCACTGAATGTCGATTACCCTCCAAGTGGAAGAAGAAGAAGAAAAGAAAAGAGGAGGAGGAGAAGAAGAGGATAAACGACAACAGCACGACGCCGAGACCGATCACATTCTCATCTCGATAATCAACAAAGCAAACGACGATCACGTCGGCGACGGCGGCCGGACCGGCGGCTTCCATTTCCGAAAACCCAATTCGCACCTCCGTTTCCTTCTTGGCCATCTTGGCCGGAGAAGGTCCCAGGCTGCAGGTAAATCACATTTTGAATGGGTAGAAAAAAATTTGACTAAGATCCTATTCTTTAGGCTGGTTTTTCTGTTTCTTCTGCACTCTTTTCCTAATACCCTTTTTGTTGAATTTTATCCTCCATTGTTTTCTGATCCAAAGAATTAATAAGATTATCTGGTTTCTATTGTTATTATGCTTTCACAAAGCAATGCCAACTGGGATCTTATGCGGGTTGAGGCCATTTCTATTGGGTCGCAAAATCTTTCGACCCGAGGTACGTAGTTCTATCGAACTTTCATTCATTAGACGAATTTCCTATACAAGTAGAGGGTTTTCCTGAATACACTGAAACAAGGTCTAGAATCGAGAATCCGCGTATTTGGGAGAGATCAATGCACGGATTTGGCGATGCAATGAGCATTGTCAATGTACCGAGAGAAATTATTAGACATTTTATTTTTATGCAGGCGGGGAGAGGGCACTCGAGCAAGAGGGAGAAGAATCCAGCACCGAGGCCTAAGCAGAATGGCAGGACTCGGGGCGGGTCGACGGGGCTGTTCATCCTGATGATGGACCTCCGGAAGAAGATCATTCTGTTTAGGGATGTATTTGACCTGCCGCCATGTGATGTCTCTGCTTCCATAAATGAAGTAAGGCCCCAACATTTTGTTCATGTTGCTTCTGCTTCAGCTCCGTTGCTTAGGTCATAAATGGGTTCTGTTTGTTTTTGGCAGCTGGTGACGGAAACCATGAGTGATCTTATCAGTCTCTACCCTGAAATCCTACCCATCAAAGATTTGTCAGAAATCAAGGAAGGAGCTTCAATTCACGAGGTCATTGCTCAATTGATTGCTCGTTATGCGAACTTCTTAGATCGTTTAGTTGTGATTGTCCAAAATGCGTGTTGTTTGAGAATCCATGCATTTGGGATAAGCATAGAATGCATGCATTTTAAGAAAATGCGTGTATTCTTTGCTTAGATGTTCGTCTAGAAGTCTCAGGCTAATCATATTTATGCAGGTTTTGATATACTTGTGTGGTGCTTTAAGATCTGTTGGAGACGCTTGGGTGACGAATCACGAGTGGATGGACAAATCAACATTATACAAACAGAACAACATGGATGAACTGAACTCAGAACAACTAGGTAACGACTGATCCATCCCCAAAAGAAGAGCTATAGCTGATCTGTTTCAAATCCCTTGTTTGAATCTAATAGCATCACCCTTTCTGTGTAGTTGAGCTTGCATTGGCAACACTGAATTGCTTAGTCAAAATACCAAAGAAGAAGTCTGATCACGACGCAGCAGACGAGGACGATGATCATAGCAACGAAATCGAACCTGCAGATAGCAGCAGCCCAGCAGCAACTGATCATGACAAGTTCTTAGCAGGGTCTTACTCGGAGACCAACACTCCGTTCAGCGCTTCCCCAGTCACTCCGACGTCGGTTCTTCCTGAGCTGGTCACATCATGTCCTTCTCCCAAGGAGGAAGAGTTCTCCAACTTGTACTGCTCATCGCCGTTTCTCCGGTTTCTTAGCATTCAAGCAGTCGGGAAGCTGAATCACATCGACATAAAGCGTCTGTCTTTCCACTTGTTCCCCCATGGCGCGGGATCTCATCACGCCAGCAACCATAAGAACAATGTCAGTGATGGTAAACTAACTGAAACGGAAGCAAAGAGCAACGAGGACATGGTGTTTGAAATGGACGGAAGCCATGCATCTGAGGATGATGATAAACCTTCTGGGACCAAGAATGAAGATAAACCAAACAGTGCAATGGTTGACGAGGTTTCCACAATAGCTCATCCCCAAGAGCTCCTGATGTTACCACCTGTTCCATTGCCTGATGTTCATATGCCTTCACCAGTTATCTCAGAAGACTTGCGAATGAAGGAAGAGGAAGCCACGACAGCATTAATACCTCCTCCTCCTCCACCACCTCCGCCACCACTGAGCTGGCAGCCGGAGACAAAGATAGGTACCCCGCCACCCAAACCTCCACCACTACCACCATTCCCTTTATGGGATACATTGAACACGAATGTAGTTCCTCAGCCTCAGCCTCAGCCTCAGCCTCAGCCTCGGCCTCCACCACCACCACCACCGTTGTCTTTATCGGTGACATCAGAAAGGAGTGTGGTTCCTCAACCTCCACCACTACCACCGCTGCCATCATGTGCCACGCTTACAAAAGCTGAAGTTCCTCAACCTCCACCACTTCCACCTCCATTTCTCACTAGAAGTCCACCTGTATCCCACCTTCATTTCCCATCGGCTGCTCCACCTCCGCCTCCCCCACCACTTCCTGTTTCAAACTCTGAAGTAGCTACCACAAGTACAACATCACTTCCACTTCCGCCACAACAACCCCCTCCACCACCTCCAGGGTTGAATTCCCAAGCTTCACCACCACCGCCACCGCCACTACAGAAGATATCTGAAGGGGAGAAACTATCCTCAGCGTCTTCATCATCACTGCTAGTAGCACCGCCACCGCCACCACCAGCAAGGGCAGCTTCAATTGGATCAGCTTCAAGCAGGGCGCCACCACCTCCACCGTCTGGACCGGGGGCTCCGCCGCCGCCACCACCAAGGGCAGCTTCAATTGGTTCAGGTTCAAGCAGGGCGCCACCACCTTCACCGTCTGGACCGGGGGGTCCTCCACCTCCTCCACCAGGTGGTGGAGCTAAACTACTAGGGCCTAGGAAGGCACAAACTAAATTGAAGAGGTCAAGCCAAATGGGTAGTCTGTACAGAATTTTGAAGGGGAAGGTAGAAGGAGGGAATCAAGTCAAGTCACAAAGTGCAAGATCGAGCTCAAAATCCAGCAGCAGTGGTGGTGGGAAGCAAGGAATGGCTGATGCACTCGCCGAGATAACAAGGAAGTAAGCATTCAGGTTCCAACCAACTCTCAAAATGTTTCATTCCTCTGCCATTTTCCTCCCATTTATCCCTCCCCCTCACTTCACTGTTCTGCATAATATCTTAGATCAGCATACTTCCAACAAATTGAAGAAGATGTCCAGACCTACGCTAAAGACATAGCAAAGCTAAAGACCGAAATCAGCAACTTCAAAACAAAGGATATGACAGAGCTGGTCAACTTCTACCACCACGTCGAATCCATTCTCGAGAATCTTACCGACGAATCACAGGTCTGTAAAGGAAGCTAAATTTTGTTTCACAAATTGGGCTAATCACATCTCAGTTACAAAACCACGCAAATCCCCCCACAATGCAGGTTCTCGCGAGGTTCGAAGGCTTCCCACAGAAGAAGCTGGAAGCAGTAAGGTCATCAGCTGCACTCTACTGCAAGCTCAAAGGGATAGTCACCGACCTACAGACATGGAAGATCGAGTCCCCATTGGATAAACTTCTCGACAGGATCGAGCGATACTTCAACAAGGTACCAGCCTCTCATATCCGCACCCCATAACTATAATCCCTCGATACCCATATTGGCCAACACTATCATTATTAACAAACACTACAAAAGACGTTCCAGGCGAAGGGAGATATCGATGCATTCGATCGAAACAAAGAGGAAGAATGCAAGCGATTCAAGGGCCAAAACATCGAATTCGACATGCAGATCCTTGTCCAAATCAAAGAAGCCGTGGTGGACCTGTCCTCCAATTGCATGGAGTTGGCACTCAAGGTACTTAACTTACTTGAAGTTTAACGGGGAAAGAAAAAAACAGAGTATTTCTGGGTTCTGACTTCTGACCTTCGATTCCCCGTTCTACTTCTTCTTCTCAGGAAAGGAGAGATGTTCCTAACAACGGGGCTCAACCGAGCAAGACGTGTTGTAAGACGTTGTGGAGGGCGTTCCAATTCGCGTTCAGAGTGTACACGTTCGCCGGCGGGCACGACGATCGCGCCGATAGACTGACGAAAGAGTTGGCCCAGCAGATAGAGGAAGATCACAAACTGATGCAGGAGCTTAATCAGTAAAAACCTGTATTCCGGTGAAAATATTTGAAGGAATCGAGGATTTGCAAATCGACGGCTGGAGTGGCCGGTTTCTTGTTCGTTATTAGGGTTTCGTACATAAACTGTGATTACCTTTTTGTGTTGAAATTAGGGAAGTAGCGAGAAATCGACGATCGATTCTCCTCGAGACCGTCAAAACTAGAAAAACAAACAATGTAGCCGTTTTTGTTCTTGTTTTTCTTCTCCCGATTCATTGCCATGTAAATAGTGGAGTTCCCTTCTCCTTCTAAAGAAACGACCATATTGTCAAACTTCTTGTTCATATTTCAGTTTTGATGGCGACAGAACTTTCTTCTCCGCCGCCGATAACAGCATAATAAGACTTCAAATACTGCAATGCCGGAGTTTGTGATTTCAGATGATACGTAAAACGATCACCGGAGACATAAATCAGAGGCTGCCAAAATGGCGCGAAATCGAAATTTGAAAATAAAAGAAAGATAAACTCGTCTGGGCTAGCTGCTTCGATCTTCTGGGCTGGGCTCGAGCATTCAAGGGGAAGAAAAGGTCCATTTAACTAATCCTAGCAAGCCCAACGCCTAGCCCAATGCTTACAAGTTTGATGAGATTGATTTGAATAGTGACAATGACTATAATTTGTGAAATCACAACAAAAGTAATATGATGTTACAGTGGTAAATTCATAGTGTACAAATAATATATTATTAGTTTAAAAAAATTATAATAATATTGTCACTTTATATCTCTCTATATCTCTCTTTATAGAACGTCGCTTCCTGTCACTGTGAAGTTAGCCAAAGTTTCATTGGAGTGAATATATGATTTAACAAAGCTCAAAGAAGAGAAGTGCAAGTAAATATTGAGACAAACAACAATACAAAATGGCTCGACAAAGAAGAAAGATGAGACGGAATTTAGTATCCATTCTATGTTCCACGGTAGATAGAAGCAGGTAATACCCGCTGGCCGCTCCAAATAGATTTGTACCTGTTATAACGCTTACATTTCATCTTATTAGAAATGGTCATCGTTAGTTCAAATTCAATAAGATATTCAAAAAATTGGGATACCTTGTCATACCATAATTTAATTAGAAGTTTCATTTCTATATATTCATTAAAAAAGAGTGCATATGGTTTAAGTATATAACTATTAAAATTAGGAAAAGAACAAATGAGTCAGGATGGCCGAGTGGTCTAAGGCGCCAGACTCAAGTTCTGGTTCTCGTGAGAGAGCGTGGGTTCAAATCCCACTTCTGACATTTTTATATTTATCATTTAGCTTGCCGTTTTTATTGCTGTTCAAATGACCCTTAATCCTTATACTTTCTTACAGAAGCACTATTCACTGTTCTAACAACGTAACAATATATTTGTCTTAGCCTAATTATTAGGCCCAGGCTTATGTGTATTGATGATCGTTATCGGTCAACAACATTTTGCTAATGGTGTACGAGTTGATGTGGTCTATGAGCGACTAATTTCTTAATAGTTGTTGAGCATTTTTTAGTTAACGACGAGTCTTTTATGAACTGTTGATGAAATCGTGTGTTATTACCGACCATTTTACTAATGGTTGATGAAGTTTTTGTCTATTGTTGGCTTGAGGGTATGATATCATCAACCATTTTATCAATGGTTGCTGAAGTTTTTTTTTTTTCTATCGACAACCATTTATCTCATAGTTGTATAAGGATAGGTTATCACCAACTATTTTTGCAAATAGTTGTTGAGGTATCGGTTTATCGTCAGCTATTTCTCTTATTGTTGTTTGAGAGTAGTGTATCACCGATCATTTTCGCCAATAGTGGCTTTTATGAAGGGGTAAATCTTAGTAAGTGTATATGATGTGATCCATAATTGAATCTTGTTGTAACGAATTGAGAAATCAGCAATGCAAGAAAGTAATGAACACTAGTTCACTAAAATAACAATTTTTGTTAGTTACATCCGCGGATAGAAGAGAGGGATTTCACTATTTTGTGGAGATTAAATATTATAGAGAAGGTATGTATATAACACATTCTAAAAAAAAAAACGACATAATCCTAATCCAACATAGAAAGCAAAATGTTGCAGACTAGACTCAAAATAGTAAAACAACCCTCTATAAGCCCATATCGTGGGTCATGTAGCACCAGAACCTTTAAATTGGGGCGTTTCGATCTTGAATCCTGACTCGTTGACCGAATATCATATGACCTCATAACTTTTCGTCGATGACAGATAATTTGTCTTTCTAGTTATACCAACAAAAACGTCTCTCAACAGTTGAAGCTATTAAAACTAAAACCAATTGATTTGTAATAGTGGGTAAATCTATCCCCTGCCTCCTACCGAAACACACCTTAGCACTTAATCTTATCTATAGACTAAACAGAGAGATCCTGATTCTCTCATGATCGACCATGAACAAGTTTAATTCGCCATGGGCGATTCCTCTCCTCTGCAGGGTGTTCTTCATCATTGCGGAGGTGTGCTTTTCAGCGTCGGAGCTGCTTTCATTGTTTTCACCGGGATCGCGTCGGAGTTGTACTACATGGGACGGCTGTAGTATGAAAACCATTCGTACTAATGTGAACTTGTAGAAGAGGACAGGATGGTGCGGGGTTATTTCAATGTATTTGAAATACTAGCATTTGAAATATTTGTAATTTAAATTCGTTGTTTAAATAATCATTTGTAGTTTGCTGGTGTTAAAATTTTAGATTTTTTCAATTTTTTTTCACAATGTTTATAGTTTTTAATTGATTTCATTAACTAAGTATGATATATACAAGTTATTTAACTAAATGGGATTGATAGTCATTTAACTAATTATTTCAAATTACTCAATTACTTGACTAAAATAGGATAGATAGTTATACTTCTAATAATACTTGACGAAGAGTGCATGACAAGAGCACTCTTCGTCTGTTCGTTTTGCTGCGACTAACCATTTGGCAAATGAGGTCGGTTTCAGCACCGGTCAGCGTGAGGAATCCGATTGACCCATAACAGTTGCTCGGCTCCCCCACATCAGTTCTTATCCGCAACCAGCAGTCTGCAAAGCTAAGTGATAACTTTGGGTGGTTGTTTTTATTTATGATTCTTATTATTTTATATTTAGGTCTTGCAAATCCAATTAAAAAAAGGTAAAAAAACTAATTATTTTATTATTTTATATGACTTTTTAGTTAAACTAGGATCACTTGACTTTTGTTTGGGCTTATTTTGCTCTCCGGATGCTTGTGTTTTTTATCGGTCCATTTCTATGGTTACTAGTCCTCCTAGGGGTGGAGACTATAGCCCTTGGTAAATTTACCAAAGACGAAAATGATTTATTTGATATTATGGATGACTGGTTGCGGGTTTTGTCGGTTTGTTTTTGGAGATAAGGGTTTGCGTTTGAGCTGGTTCTGGTTTGTTGTTTTATTGACAACTGAGCTAGTCTTTGGCGGCTAGCTGTGTTTCTTTTTGCCTATTGTTGGTTCATTTTGCAGGGAATGGCTGCTCTGCTTTTGTTATGGACAAGGACGATAATCCTTCGGCTTCTCTGAATTTTAGCGGGTGTTGTGTAGACGCTTGTATCCTTTATTGTAAAAGCTTCCCATTTAGTGGCTAAAACGGCTCTTTTATCGACAGATTGATTAGCTATCGACCGCCACATTTGATTATTTTATGTACTACATATTTCTAATCATACTACATTGCAAACCTAGAGCTATGACATTGTACAGTGTACACCTATAGAGGGGAAATGTGACTGGATCGAATTGGACAGTTGTGGAATAGTCAGCCTCTGTTCCCTGTTTGAAGTACCAATAGACCGCCGCCCTAGAAGGAACTTAGGCCTGTGGATCACTCGATCTGCTGTGTGATTTGATGCTCCCTTTTGTCCTTTGGCCCATGATTCCTGGACTTTGCTTTCCCTAATTTGTCAATTCATTTCACTATATATGGAGATGGAAAGACCTTCAAATTCAACTCTCCAATGGAGCATCCATTTGAAAACCCCAAAATGAATAGAGGGTTATGGAGAAGGGTTTAACATAAAAGTTGGGCTAAATTGCAAGTTTGGTCACTTGAATTACTAGTAAATTTTACGTTAGCCACTAGAATTACTTTATTCCATCTGTAGTCACTTAAATTGGGTTAATAGTCCAAGTTTGGTCACTCGCCGTTAGTCTCCGTTAACTTTTGCTGATGTGGCGGTCAACTCTCACTGTTGACCGTTAAGTGAGTGACGTGGCAATTAAAAAATAATAAATAATAAAATTTAATTTTTAATAATTTCCACCTCATTATTAAAAAAAATAAAACAAAAAAATGTCACAAGCAACAGCAAGGACGGAGGATGATTCTTCTCCGTCGAGGTCGTCAGCTCCGACCACGTCTCCCTCTCCAAAATCGACACCATCTAGAGACTTGAGCACAGTTCTTAAAGGGAAGCCTCTGATTCTGAATATCGAATTGATGTTGGTTTTTCCCATCACAATATCGGGACAGGCGTGGAAGGTCGTCGTCTGCAGCAAGGGAACCACCACCAATGTCCATTTCCGTCCTCATTTCTTTGTTTCCTAGGCGGCAGATGGTTTGGGTTTCCCTTCTTTTCTTCTGAAAGCTGTCGAGGAGAGAGCGTTTTTCTGGTAAGTGGTGGTGATGCGACGCGGCTACTCCTCCGCCGCCACCTGGTACGATTCCGGCGACGAGATTCCAGCTCAACCTCCAGGTACGATTCCGACGACGAGTCGCACAAATACCTAGCCGATTCAGAAACCAATCCAGCGAGGACTCCTTCGATCCGGAAACAAATACCTAGTCGATTCCTCCGACGCCATCTTCGATCGAGCTAGAGGAGCCGATGGCTCTGCTTCTGGCCGAGCCCGTGTGGGAAGACGAGGCGACAACTGGACTCCAATCCTTCCAGGAGTGCGAGGGTGAAAACAACAGCAACCTCTACTCTTCCTCCGACGACTATTTCCACACCCTGCTGTTGGGCGCCCTTAGTAAATATTTGGTGATGTGGGTTTCTGTAATAAGCTCTCAGCTTCCTTCCTGTGTGTTAATTAGGATGATGATAAGATGAAGGAGAAGATGACGAAAGGGTGGACAGTGGTTTCTTCTCTTTTGGGTTTGCAGAGAAAAGAAGGAAATGAAAAATAAAAAATAAATATATTTCATTTAATTTTTATAATAATTAGGTGAAAAATAAAATTATTTTTTTTATTTTTTTAATTGCCACGTCACTTACTTAACAGTCAACAGTGAGAGTTGACTACCACATCATCAAAAGTTAACGGAGACTAACGGCCAGTGACCAAACTTGGACTGTTAACCCAATTTAAATGACTACGAATGGAATAAAGTAATTCTAGTGGCTAACATAAAATTTACTAGTAATTCAAGTGACCAAACTTGTAATTAAGCCTTAAAGTTGTTATAGGAAAAATCTTTGCATTCATATAGTTATTGGTTTAAAACGATCCGAGTCGGGTATAAGGACCCAACAATTCTCTATTGAAAGTAAATATGCAATCGCTTTCGAATCCGAGAGTTGATTAAGTTGAAATGGCTGTTTTATCAGCATATGCTCGCATATATGAAATAGAATGGATATTCGTTTTACTCAAATCAAACTTGCTAGGTTCTTTTTTCAACTTATCTGCCGATTTGGTGCATGGTTGAGTCTTTTTTTTTCTTTTGTTAGTGGCTAGGGCTGATACGATCAGTAATGATGGTAAAAAAACGGTTTCTAGCAAGTATTACATGCAAGCTCAAAAATCTCGAGTTTCAATATGAGTAGACAATTAACTTGCATAATAAAAAAAGAAATCCTAATTTTTTTCTCTTTTGATTCAATGTAATCGTTATTGTAATTTCCTTACATAATATAAAAGGAACAACTTATTGGGGGTTAGCTGACTCAACCGTCAACCTATACCAAGATTGGGAGTGAAAAATGTGGCTCAAGAAACCGAAGGAGGCCAGACAACCCAATTCGATCGCGAAACATTTAGATCAAAGCATTCAACCCAATCCAATAACTACCAATTAATATTAGGAAGCAACCATTCTTGATTAGGTTTTGGTGTAATAGTATGAGAAACAGAACCCAGAATGATTCCAACTATTGGTGGTGGAGGTGAAACTACAACTCTCCACCATGAAAATTTTGTCAAAAACCTTCACATAATAAAATGTATATCCAAAACAAAAACCAGTCTATTCAAACCATATCCAAGAGAATCTTCCATCACCTCCCTATCATTCAGCCAAAGTCACTTTCCTTGCTGTGTGTGAGTCTCCATCTTCACCCCATGTCACCACCGCTGACCCATGCCCCACTTCCCAAGCAACCAAACACACCAAATTGTTTCCGTAACACCGATGCAAAACAATACTCTAATGCATACATGATCTATGAAATTTCTACATCTTAGGTAATTTTCTCTTCTGTTTGCAAGACAGATGTGAATAAGCGAGTAAACACGAATTACAGGATTTTCCTAGACGCATAAGACCGTCTTTTAACCAGCTATGATTTCGGTAAAAAATACGTTAAGGATTATTGAGAGATCATATAAGAATGAAACTTCATATCTAGGGTATCAATATTTTCAATTCCCAAGCCACAATTTTACTTGTAGATTAGATAAGTTGCCCCTCCGACCATCAAAAAGACAATGGTGCCTCGTGGAACGTAGAAAGAACTTGTCATGTCATTCCTTGTGCGGTCTAGGTCATTCGAATGATAAATGAATAGCTGTGATGCGCGTATTTAGGATATAATATCAAAATTAGAAGATCTTAATTTGTTTGCATCTCCAGTAAACCACATTCATCCATCGTTCAATCGGCTGATTGAGAACGTATGAAAGTGTTATTATGGTCACCTGTATTAACAAAATAATGAGAGTTTGGTCAAAGATAAGCAAAAAGAATAAAAATAGGAGTAGTTTCACAAAATTAAGGTAGGTAGGAGCACTATTAATTGATTTTGGCCTCAAGCTGCAGCTAAAAATGACAGCTTCAACCTGTTCCCATTGATTCCTTGCTTCTTTTTTCTTACACACTACTAATCTACTATACCATAATACATCAAAATCCCCACCAAAAATCCCTCTCCTCCAAACCCTCATCCCAAATCATAATCAAATCTCTAAAAAAAAAAAACCCCAATAAATCACCAACTAAAATTAACCTTTAAATCAGTTAATTTAGAATTAATTAAACTAATCAGAAGAAGGGACGAGAACCCTAATCATGGTTTATTTAAAATCTCAGAATCATCCCACGGAATGTTGAGATCCGCGGAAGAAACCAACAAGTTATCCATGTCGACATCCCAATTCCAAAACCCGCCCCCGCCGCCGCTCGTCGTCGTCGCCGTCGCTACATCATTAATATCCCCACTCCCACCGCTGACGGTGCACGGAACTTGCCACGTGGCTGGAGCATATCCTACTCCGCGGCCGAACGGCAAGCCCAGAAACTGCCCCTCGAAACTCGCAACGGCGCCGGCGGATTGGGCAGAGTAATTAGGAAAGCTCAGACCTTGTGTGAGCACAAACCCGATTCCCTCCTCGTCGTCGAAATTAGCGACGGCGGAATCGCCCATTGGCGACGGGAGCTTTAGTGACGACCCGCACAAAACGGTGTCGTCGTTTGATGATGATGATGCTCTGCCTCCAGAATTAGTACTCTGTTTCGGCTTCTTATTCTGCTGCGCTTGAATTACCATCTTGGGATCGACCTTGTTAATGATCCCGCCGGAGCCGGAGGGTTTGTGAGGGCGCTTGTTCTTCCGGCCGCCGCCGACGGGGACGTTGCGGAGGGTCCCGCCTTTGGTCCAATGGCGCTTACAGGCTTTGCAGAAGTGCCTGGGCTGGGATTTGTTGTAGTTGTTGTAGTAGCAGAACTTGGTGTTGGTGGAGTCGCATCTCGGGCAATTCACCGGCGGGTCGGGTCGGTTGTGGTCCGGGTTCGTCTGATGCCGCCTCCTGCCCGTCTGGTCGGGTGGAGGCGGCGGCTTCGTTGCAGCCGCCGCCGCTAGATGGAGGATCTGCGGCGGCGGCTGCAGGATTAGGCTGCTCTGGCTCCAGTCCAATCCTTCATTAGAAGAAACCTGTTTTGTGCTCAAACCCATCATTAATTTGAACCCAAAAGAGAGTTTGTATGGCTAATCACCCCAAATCAAAGAGATGAAGGAGGAGAAAAGGATGAGGTTGGTGAAGAAATGAGGGAATGGGGAGGAAGGTGAATGGAGGAAGGATGCTAGTGACTAGTGAGCATTTCTTTCCTTTTGGCTCTCTCTCTCTCTCTCTCTTCTCTCTTTGCCTTATAAATATGTCTCCCTAGTCCCTACTCCCCCATGTAACCCTCTACATGACCCAAAAACTATTCACTATAAGTCTATAACACTCCAATAGTGCATAAGTGGTACCTATAAAATTTTGTTTAGTATGATGACGTCTAAAATATGTCAAATTCAAATAATAATTATCATCCGATCGATATACACGTATTTCTATTGTCACATTTGTCTTTGTGTTTCTTACTTGGTATGGAAGAAAGTGGACTCAATACTTAACATACAAAATTTTCATCGTGATTTATTATGTAAGGAAATGACGATATACACTAGGCATAGTTTGCTTTGAAATTTCGGTATGATATGAGAAAAACTACGATGTATGTTAGACACAGTTGAATATGAAGTTTCGATCTGATATGAGAAAAACGACGATACATGCTCCAACACGACTTGATTCGAATTTTTCTGCCCGGTATGTGTATACATACATACCCCTACTCCTCAATCTATGGGAAAACGACGATGGAGTAGATGCAATGATGATGGGGCAAATGGGGGAATTACGAAGAGAGAAAGAAATGGGAATATGAATGTGTGAATGAATGGTGGTCCAAGAAAGATTCACAATTCAATAGTTGGAGCTTGTGGGAAATCAAATTTTTCTGGTTTTGGGGGTGTCTAAAAGGGAACATGCCTATAATAATAAGGAGAGATATACCGTGGCTAACCCTTTTCGATGATGCTCGATCGCCCAAGAGGCCAATCTCTCTCAATAATATATTGTAGAGAGAGAGAGATTCGTTTTTTGCTTCGTCCCTAAGGTGAAGATGGGTTGCTGACACGTGGATGGGTTGGCGGCCGTTGATACTGCGGTTCTATACACACATGCATGAGTTGTAAAGTGGGACGTTGGATGTGTTCATCATGATCATGCCTTGTTGTTGGTTTGCTAGCTCCATTGCCAAAATTGTATAGTAGTTTCTTATAACAGTTAGGTAAGCTAGCTAGCTAGCCTAGCAAAGCATGGTACTCATACAAATGAAGACATATAGGAGAAAAAAGAGTGTAGATCTCACTATACAAGTGGATGGATGCAGGTTGTCGGTTTGATCCTGGTATTGATCTCTATATATAACTCGAGTTGTTGGAAAAAAAAAAAGGTTAATCGTTGATACCTTATCACTCTCTTACACAGAGGCTTCAATGCTCTTCGGCACCAATCAATATTAGTACATACTTACATCGTTGGATAACAGTACTTTTTCAACGCGATACGTCTCGCGACATAGGCCGAATCCAACGATGTAAGAGGAATTTCGGGCGATTGTGGGGCCCACCGGACCAAGTAGACAGCCCCAGGAAATGAACTGATGGGCCTATCCGCATGTGATAACTGCCCATGACCCCAAAGCTTCTGTCGTCTTCTGGCGGGGGGGAGTCGCTCCGTCGTCGCCGTCGGCGGCCCCTGTTTTTTCTTCTTTTCTCTCTGGCGGCAGAAAGCCGACGAAAGGCGACGTCGATTTCATGTCCCTTTTGGCGACGGCGACACTGCCGGGTGCGGGTTGGTCTCGTGTGCTTGTTTTGTAGCGGCGGTTGGGAATTCTGCCTGAGCCGGATTCAGACCATTTGATAAGCAAATATCCAAATTACCGTTACTATGGGAAGTTTTATATCTTCCTTTGATTTAGTTCATATGACCAGATCGTGGATCCAAACCCAGCCCATTTTTCAATTCGTGTTTAGCAGTACTCTCTACTCTTCAGGCTCACTTTAATTTTACAATTCCTGTCCCCGTCTTTATACATAAAAATTATATCCCGTCGTAGAGTAGAGATGATCGCATCTCAATATGAAATCATGTTAATGTTCCTACGACTTTTTATGGTGGAAGTTGGGTTACTCTAACTTTGTGTCCTTGTATCATGCATGCATGTTGGAATTTGGATATTAAGGCAAAAAATAGAATTGTCGCTAGTTACTGATTGAATTTTTTGGACGGTGAATAAAATTTTTTTGTTCATGTTTCAAGTCTGATATCGTATATTACTCCGTCTGATATCGTATCTATGTTCCAAGTCCCTTAATCGGGACATAAATCGTATATATAATCTAATCTGAACCAAACTACACCATTTCCCACCTAAGTAGTTGCTTGAATTATAGTAGAGTACTCGACCACTCTCCATTATTTACATTTTTTTTTATAAATGAGCTAAATCATATCATTAGTGTAGAAGGAGATTGAGATGGGATAGCACATAATTGGAGTCAGTCGGCCGTCACCGTGATTACGAGCATGATCGCACGTGCATGGTAATCATTATTATTATTATCAAACCCACGACGACAACTATTCTTCTCTTCAAACCTAAACAACGTTTTAACTAGCCCTTCTTTCTCTAATCCACGCCCTTCCCAGAAGGATGATCATGCAGCACCAACCCATTAACGATTAAACAAATATAAACTCAATTACGACAGCAGTCTAATCACTCGGCTCGGCTACACATTCATTAACGATTATAATGGGCCAGTCAAATATATTAATTATTCTCCCAACTATGATTATCATGCTAATTAATCTAAATTATTATGATTATTAATATATAGCTAAACGACAACATCCGTCCGTCATTAAGCAGCCCATAATGGATAATGGGCCCTAACTGGATATTCGGCCCATATGATTGTTGGCTGATAATTCAGCTGGGTCCACGAGGAAGAAGAAGAAAAAGTAAATAGGCGCACTTTTTGTCCACTCAAAAAAGTTTCCCGCGGTTCAACCAAAGGGATGAAAATGTAAATTAACTGCCCGTCAATTCTAAAAAAAAAAAAAAAACTGCCCGTCTGATTACATCTGCGAGCGACACGTCAAAGATTTAGCGGGACCCACCATATTTTTTTTTATTTTAATTTCTTGCACCAGAGGAAATATTTACTTTCCCCGAATTTTCTTACCGCGGATTCTTCCTTTCCCAGATTTTCCCTCCTTCCTTTCTTTCCCAGATCTGGGTAACCCGCGATTTTGTGTTCTTGATCGAAGGAGGGAATAAATAAAAAAACAAGAAAAATTCAGGAAAATTGTTGCATTCTTTATCGACGAATTTGGTAAATATTTCATTGTTTTCAATCCAGAGGTGAAAAAAATGGGAATGCAAGGAGAAGGAAATGGATACGGAGACGGCGGCAGCAATGTAGATCACAAGTACTCGAGGATAGATTACGCCGGCAGCGAAGCGGCGGACACACCGTCGTCGGAGAAAGCCATTGCCGTGAAGAAAAACGATACGAGGAAATACGTGTTTGCCTGTGCCATCTTCGCCTCTCTCAATTCCGTGCTCATGGGTTATGGTTGGTACATAGATCTTCCCCTTTAAAGTTCCTTCCTTTATTTTCCCCCGATTCCGTGAGTTTCATATGGGTTGTTTGGCTCCCGAGAAAATTCTGTCTTTCTTTCATTCCCCTGATTTGATTACGGATTTCCCCTTTTTGAATAAGCATAAGAACTTGTTAGCTTTCTCATTGTCTGAACAATGGTTTACCAATTGGGGTTTATCACACAATTTGGTTGCAAGACCAGCATTGTATTCCAAAAGGGAAAACGCCCTTCATCTTAGCTCAATTTTGCTATTGATCAATCTGCAGATGTGGGTGTAATGAGCGGAGCAGTGATCTTCATCCAAGAAGACCTCCAGATATCAGAAACCGAAGAAGAAGTCCTGGTCGGGATCTTAAGCATTGTCTCCCTATTCGGGAGCTTAATCGGAGGCAGAACATCGGATATCATAGGCCGAAAATGGACGATAGCATTATCAGCCATCATCTTCCAATCAGGAGGTGCAATCATGGCTCTTGCACCTTCCTTCCGGGTCCTGATGATAGGCAGGCTCATGGCTGGAGTAGGGATAGGGTTTGGAGTCGCGATTGCTCCGGTGTACATAGTAGAGATCGCGCCTTCAGTGGCGAGAGGGTCCCTGACCTCATTCCCAGAGATTTTTGTAAATTTCGGTATACTCTTAGGGTACATTTCGAACTATGCATTCTCGGGCCTATCGGTCCACATGAGCTGGAGGGTCATGCTTGGTGTAGGCATCTTGCCTTCAATCTTCCTGGGTTTTGCACTGTTCGTGATCCCCGAATCGCCTAGATGGCTGGCAATGAAGAATCGTATCGACGAGGCAAGGTTGGTGCTTTCCAAGACCAATGAAAGTGAGCAAGAAGTGGAAGAGAGATTAGCTGAAATTCTAGTAGCTGCAGAGGAAGCCAATACTGAGAGATATGACAAGAAAGCAGTGTGGCTTGAAATTCTAAACCCATCTCCAGCAGCCAAGCGAATGCTAATCACCGGCTGCGGAATCCAATGCTTTCAGCAGATCACAGGTATAGAAGCTACAGTTTACTACAGCCCAACAATCTTCAAACATGCCGGAATCCAGGGGAATGCTCAGGTTCTTGCAGCAACAGTTGCCGTGGGGTTCACTAAAACTGTGTTTATCTTGTTTGCCACATTCTTGATTGATAGACTAGGTAGAAAGCCATTGCTTTACTTGAGCACAGTTGGGATGACTATGAGCTTGCTTTCATTGAGCCTGACCTTATCATTCCTGAGGGATAATGGAGGGCTTGGGATCACCATGGCATTGCTATCTGTTTGTGCCAATGTGGCTTTCTTCTCGGTGGGGCTCGGTCCGATCTGTTGGGTGCTTTCATCGGAGATCTTCCCGTTGAGGCTAAGGGCTCAGGCGTCTGCTCTGGGAGCCGTCGCGAGCAGGGTGAGCAGCGGTCTAGTCACCATGACGTTTCTCTCGGTGTGTCGTGCGATCACAGTTGGTGGGACTTTTTGTGTGTTTGCTGTCATCTCTGGTCTTGCTGTTCTGTTTGTGTATGGTTGTGTGCCCGAGACGAAAGGGAAATCGTTGGAGCAGATCGTGATGCTGTTCGAGGACGGTGGTGGGGACTGGCAAAGGCGTGAAGTTGAATTGGGAGATGCAGAACGATTGGTATCGAAGGAACGACTGTCTGATGTATCATGGTGAAGAGGTTGTGGGGTTCGATATAGGAGGACTCTTATATACTTGTACACGAAACAGATGTATAGAATGTAGAGTGACTCATTTTTTCTTTCCATCCTGAGAGCTGTGGATTCAAGCTACTCTGCAATGTTCCATGAAAGTGGCTTCACAAAGATGGGGCTGGTAGATGAATAGTGTTGCTGCTGCTGGTAGATGAATGTTGAAGTAATGAGAGAACTCAGAACATCATTGAATTTGACCTCTTATGTGTGACTCATGTGTTGTAAATGCTAAATACGGATTTTTTAAATACAATGTTGATCGTACAATTTGAGTACCATAACTCGTAAGTTACCGTTAGTGTGACAGTAAAATCGAGTGAGGTTGTTGATTAGATGACAAACAAACTCCTTAGAACCAAGGGTTGGAGATGATATCATCCTTTTTCCATGGTTGAACAACCACAATCTCATTGAAGTCGCATGAGCTTCACTAAATCAAAAGCTGCATATATCAGCAGCCAATTGTTGGTTTGAGGAAATATATGTAGCAGTTTCCTAGGAGGAAGCATGACCTCAAACAACTGCCAGATGCCACTAGCAGACAATAAAGAAACAAATAACAAAGAATAAAACATGTCAATGGTCCAAATTGATGCAGAAGAGGCCAATAAGTTTAGGGTGCCGTTTATGTTTATTGGCTTGAGGCCAACATAAATGTCCCTTTTTTATTTTTATTTTTGTCATAAGACACAAACATTCACTAATTTTTTTTATGCCGCATTCGATAAATTGTTTCATCCTGTTTATATTTTCAATTTGGTTTAGAGTTTAGACTAATTTCACTTGAAGGATGTGAAGTTCAAACAAATATCATTTCGACCTATTCAAGGAAAATCTAAACATAAATAAATTTATAAAAACAAATATATTCTTTCGATTTTCACGATTTGATATACTTTATCAAGACTCCTTCCTTCCTTATTAACTTGTTGGAGCATTATGTGTTGATCAACCCACAAAAAATGAGCTTTCCTCTCGTCTCTTAATCCTTCCAACTCCGCCAATAACATCGGTAGGATGCTCATTTATAGATAAACCAAGCAACGCCAACTATATTAAGCAGTTAACTAATGAAGTAACATACATTTACCATCCAATCCGCTCATTGATAAATACACAATGAGAAAACCTCTCCATCTTCCAACAGGAAGTGTTGGATTATATTGAATTACAAACATGATATTGTCGTCTCCTTATTCAGTTTTTTTCTGATCTCGTAAAATTCTTCCATCTACAAATACATTAATTAGTCGAACCTAAATAAACAAACCAAGTAACATAAATCCATTATGCATTTATCCAAACATACCTAACATGACATATAAACAAAAGAAACGAGAGATCTATATGTTATAACAAAGTCATTAGCTTGTTGCTACGTATATCTCGTCTTCCAATCCACTCGACTTTTATTAACATAATAATAACTAACGGTTTATCATTAATTTATCGAATAATAATGTGGATCGAAAAATAAGAAATCGAAATAGAACAAAACCTCTAAATTTTTTCAATGGAAAAGATTCTCCTTTCCATCATCTACACTACAAATGGAATACATATAACAAACTAATTAAACCAAGAATCAAGAAGAAGAAGAAGATTTGCAGAAAGTACTACAGTACTCCATCCTAATCCGACTCATCACGCTTCCATCTTCAATCTTCACATCCCGACTCTGCCGATTCCACAAATGAACGGCGAAGCTCTCCTTCTTAATCTGCTCCAGCTTCTTCCTCAGCCACCGTGCGTGGACCCTTCCCCTTGGACCGTGAAACAGGGCCGCAATCCTGCTCCAATCCACCGGATAAAACGCCGCCGGCGGCAGCACCGTGAAATTAAAACCCGAATCCCCAATCACCCTCTCCACAACCCTCGAAACCAGATACGGCCCGTTATGCCCCCACTTGCTCCCGTCGAACGTCCTCGCGAACTCCTCGATGAACCGATAAACCAGCGGGTGGTTCCGGTCGAATATCAAGACGGCGTTGTTCAGCCGGGACCAATTCCCCGTCACGGCGTCGACGGTCTGTGCGCCGATGCAATTCCTCAGCCCGTTGAAGCTCCGCAGCACCACGACGTCGGTGTCGAGGTAGATCCCGCCGAATTTGTACAGCAGGGCGAGGCGCAGCAAATTGGAGAGGTTCTGCGCGACGGGGACGTCCCCGGGTCTGACCCGACCCGACTTCAGGTCGCGGAACCAGGTTTCGGCGGGCGTGTTTTTGAACGCGGCGGCGAAGTCGGGCTTCATGGCCGTGACCCGGAATCGGTTGTTGATGAATGGTTTCAGGAGCGCGCGGCCCTGTTCGGAGTCCATCGAATTCGAGACGATCACCAGGCAGGCATTTTGGTGGGATCGGAAGAGGCTATCGACGGCGAAGGATTCTCTCTCGCCGAACGAATCCACGGTGGGGGAGATCAGCGTCATGAAGAAGCGGGGCTTGCAGTGGGAGCTCCGGAAGAATTCCCGGATCCGGGTGGAGAATTTGAGTTTCGATCCTGATTCGGGTGCCCGACCCGGATCGAACCGCCGGATCTCGTCCGCCACGTGCCACTTTGCGGATCGGCCCTTTCGTCCGGGCCTCGTGGCGGTGGTGGGTCCCACCTGGGTGGGGAAGCGCGTGGGAGGGAGTGGCTCGCTGAGCGCGTGGAGGGGGATGACGGGAAATGACGATGGCATTGGCAGCGACTCTGTTGGCGAGGGTTTTCTTTCCTCCATCAGGCCGGATTTCGCTTCCGCGGCGGCGGCGGAGGAGAAATTGGATGGAGCGTCCGCCGGGGAAGTGGCGGCGGGGAAGAACGGGACGCTGACGTAGAAGACGGTGGAGCCATTGTAGATGAGGAGGACGAGCAGTACGAATCCAAATACGAATCTCTTCACGCTCTGGACATTGTGGTACAGAAAGAGAGCCGCCGATTCTTGATCGTGGTGGATCCGGCAACCGATCATCACCGCCGTCATCGTCTTTCTCCTCTTTCTACACTTTCGCCATCGCCATTTTTTTTTTTACGACGATCGTGGAAAGGAAGAGCGTGCGAGTGTGAGTGCGAGTGTCAGACTGAAAGGAGAGGAACGAAGTTGTTCGACTGAAAGGTTAGTTAATGTAATAATTTCGTACGCGAAATGTACGAAATTCTTGATTGGAAGGGGAGAGGATAAAAAAAAAAATGCGAAGAGGGAGCTTCTCCTACTCTTTCCTGAAACAAGGAGACAGTTTTTCAGAGACAAGAGGGGATTGGGGTGGGGAAGATGATGAAGAAGAAGAACAAAGAACAAAGAGCCATGCTTTCAGTCTCTCATGCTCTCTCTTAATTTAGCCGTTTTAGATGGGAATGGAAACGAACCATTTTCTTAATTTTTATTTTTATTATGTCAAATGGAATACTCATTTTTGTAGTATAAATTAAAAAAGAAGTGATTTGGTAAGTAATCACCTCGATACATTTTAGAATACATGTTTTTTTGGCTTTTCATGTTTCATTTTAGTACGAATATCATCTATTTCTTACTTAATAAGGTTTCACAATACATTATTAACGTGTAACATTCAATAATTTATTCAGTTATGTGGGATTCAATATCACAATTTTTATATTTTAATGCTGCCAGAATTGATAAGTGTTTCAAGTACAATTTTTATTTTTATTTTGCAGAAGGAGTTGAATGTGTAATTGTTAATTATTATACATAGTTGACAATTTTGATTATGCTTGGTGAATGCATGTATTTAATTGATTATGCCGTGTAACGCTTGTGTAAACAAATAAATTAGATGCAAGGAATCTAATAATGGTTAGTTGTGACATTTGGTGGCCTTTAAGAAATTAAAGCCTCCTTGTGCTATTTTGAAGGGAGTTGAAGATAATATTGATCAAGTCAAGGTCAGTGCGATGATTTCTTTCTTTCATAATTCGGTTCATTTTGTTTACTAATTTTTATTACAATTTTCCTGTTTTATCGCATTTTTCTACCCCGAAAGGAGCGTGAGATAAGATTACAGCAGTCAAACTTACTAATCTAGTACATATTGATACATAGTTATGCTCATCTAATACGGGAGTAACATTAGAATCTGAATAATTGATCTCACTTATTTGATCAACTATATGATTTTATACTTTTCGCCCAAAACAATCTATGGAACAGACTTGTATTGTAGAGGTTTAATCAGAGGTTGGTGGTTTGAAGTTTTACGAGAAAGGGACTTACATTTGTAGAAATTTGATTATGGATTGGTGGTTTGAAGTTTACACAATCGACATCGTACATAAAATAAAGACTTATAGGTTTTAGAGCTTAAAACTATATGAAAAGAGGAAGGATGATAATACTTAAATAAGTGTTATTTATCTTTATAATACTAAGTGTTTTCATGAACGATCAAAGTAGCATATATTGCTTCCTTGAGTTTAGAACAATTATGATGACGAACAAGAGTTTAAGTGTAAGAAAAGAGGCAAACTCCTAGATCGTGTGAAAGTGCACCATTACATGGTCGAGAATTTATCGTGTCATGATCAGATCGCGGTTTGGGGCTTAGATCTTTAGACCGCGATCTCAGAGAGGCAGCATACAAAGATCCATAAAAGGTGTTACAGGCGGAGTCACGACCCTTCAATCCGAGACCGTGATCTCCCCTCCAACGCAACAAAGAGACATGTTGTACGATTCACGGTCTAGACACCAAGATCGCGACTGCGATCCATGATTCTAAAATTCCATAAATAGAGGAGACCTTCACCAAAGGAAGTGGGTTGGCTAGAGAGAGAAAAAAGTTGTTTTAGAGAGTTTAAAAATAGAAGTTAGGGGTTTGCCTAGAGAAGAGGATGGAGAAGGGGATCACTATTGAAGATTGAAGTCTAAGTTCAAACTGGGAATCATGAAGAATATGGTCTAATCCCCTTCTCCTTTTTTTGTTTTTTTGTTTTTTTTTTCTTTCTTTTCGTCTTTCATTGAGCAATCCTCTTTGTACTTGGGTAAGCAACTCAAATAACTATGTATATGTATGTTAGGGTTTGGATATGAATGTAATGAATTCTCCTCCCTCTTATGATCATTTAATGTTTAATGTTGCCAGTAATTTTCTTCAGTATGAGTAATTAGTGCATGTTCATAATCTAGGGTTGTGGTGACCATCCTTTAGATTAGGGCTAAAATCTACATTAAGTGAAATACTATTTTAATTGCATGACCATTGAGTTGAAGTCTAGTTTGCCCTTGAGTCTACCCTCGTAGGAATTCAACCTAACATCTTAGCGATTTTCGATTGTATGACCATTAGCTGAGAAGCCTACTAGAAGTGCCTCTAGCGGACATGACCATTGCCCTAGAAGCAATATAAGAGAATTCCAACATTAGAAGGAGGAGAGTGTTCCATTTATTTATCTTCTTGACTAATCTTAGAGTTAGGGGAGCATCCCAAAGTGTCTCGTCTTCTGAACACGTTACAACGTGTCTCGGTATTTCTTTTTAGACAAAAACCCGTTTAAATCAACGATTAAGTTAAATATTGAGTTATCCCGATAGTAGGAATAGCTCCGATAACCTATGGAATACGACCTCGAGGGTCACCACTTTACTACTTTGTCGACTTAGAGTATACTTGTCCTAAGCCAGGATAGATAGTTCACTAGACAATCGAGTAGGTTTGGATCTCGTACCAACCAATGGCTACAACACCACAAGTCCAGTTGTAGGTGTCCCTTATAATTTATAAGACCAGACATTGGTGACAATATAGCATTGTAGAATTCCCCGTATGAAGAAAATGTGTTATCTGAACATTTAAAAAAGTGTTTCGGTATGTACATTTTTATTTGTATTGCAGAACGATTTGAATGTGTTATTATCAATTATTATACATGGTTGACAATTTTAATATGCTTGGTGAATGCACGTATTGAATTAAATTTTGCCGTCTAACGCTTGTGTAAACAAATAATTAAATACAAGGAATCTAATAATATATGGTTGGGTAGTTGTGACATTTGGTGGCCTTTAAGAAATTAAAGCCGTCTTGCATTAGTATGAAGTGAGATGAAGATAATATTGATCAAGTCATGGTCAATGCAAGGGTTTCGTCCATAACTCGGATTGTGTCGTTTATTAATTTTTCTGATAATTTCTCTATTTTATAGCATTTTCTACTCCCGAAATGTGTGAGGTAAGATTACAACAGTCAAACTTACTAATTCAATACGTATTGATACATAGTAATGATCATCCAATACGAAATTATAATAAGAATTTGAATCATTGATCTCGTGTATTTTATCTTTTATTATACTTTTCACCCAGAAAAATGGATAGAAGAGATTTATATTTGTAGAAGTTTGATCAACGGTTGATCGTTTGAAGTTTTACGATCGTCATCTTTGTCCAAAAAAATATACTGGATAGACATGTATTTGTACATAATTGATCTTAGGAGTTTTACAATACATCATACATAAAATGTTTTCTGATAATATAGACACGATGAGTTGGATATATTCAACCTTAGTCAATAAATATCCCATAAAGACTTCTAGGCAAGGTTGTCAACCCGCGGGTTGACCCGGACCCGGTCGAGCTAGTGGGTCAAGGGTTAATGGGTCAACTGTTTTAGCCCAATTTGGCCCGGAAATATAGAAAAAGTCATTATATTGTACTTATCCTCATAAATTATATCAAATCTTATCTAGCATATGACTTATAACATATAATATTACACCAAAATAACATATCGTACTTAGATCCAACATATAGTAAAAATTCACACACACTTATATAACATAAATATTCAAATGTTCAACTTAGGATTCCAAAGATTGAGTTAGGCGAAAAGAAAAATCAGAAAATAGGCGCATTTCGCAAACCAAAGAAAAAAATGACACAATTTGACCTCCAACCCGGTACCTTGTAGCGGTCGACCCGACGGGTGGGTATGGCCCGTTTTTCTCACCGGGTCAGGGTCAAAGTGGGTCGACCCGCGGGTCAACCCGAGGGTTGACAACCTTGCTTCTAGGTTTGAAAAAGGGGATGGCCACAACCCGTAAGTACAAACGTAGTTCTTCCTTAGAAATGATAAGACTACAAGCTTGTTAATTGGAGTTAATCCAGCATTGTAGAGTTCCCCATATGAAGAAAAGGTGTTATCTTGAACATCTAAAAGTTCAGCATAACATGTGAAAAACGACTCACAGAATTGGTTAGTGGTTACGATTACGTAAAAGAACAATCATGGGAAAACGATTCTCTTCTTAATCTGAGATCGACAAACAAATCCATAACAGAGCTTCTAAATCTTCGTAATCTGCATATATAAAAACGCCATCACAAAGTCACGAAATTGCTCACCACGAACAACGATTCACAGAAGCCCTCTTCGCCGCTTGTAGTCACTCACAGTCAGCGTCAGAGCATGTCGGCGGCCATCGTTCTCGGGGACTTGAACACCAATCGTAGCTTCAATCCTCTGCTTCCTCGCCATGTACCCATTTTCGACACCCTTGGCACCCCCGAACCTATGCAGGGCATCCAACGATATCGGCAGCTCGAAATCATGCAGAGCATTCGACACCGTGCCTTGATCGACCGGTGCGCTCGTATCCACCAACTTGCCAGCGCCTGCCGCTGCTTCTAAAGCTGCTGCTGTCACCGCCTCACCCTTCACGCCTGCTGCAGCTACTCCACTCCCGCCAGCTTCTGCAACGGCGGCCTCATTTGCTGCTGCTGCGGCAGCAGCGTTCTGACCGGTGTAGTAGTTTCTCGACCGAGTCCACCTTCTTGAGAATGGGTCGTACCCAGCTTCCCCTGCTTTCAACCCGGATTTAATCGGTTTGAGCTCCGAAGCATTTCTGAAATTCTCCACCCTGTTCTTTCTGTTCATCTCGGCGAGCTTCACGGCCTTCTTGTCCACTTCCTGAGCGAGCCGTGAAGCTTCGAGCTCACGAATCCTTGCCTGGATCCTCTCCACCTCAGCCAAATCATTCCTTCCTGCCGCCACCTCCATCTCTCTCCTCAGCCGATCCTTCTCTGCAGCCACGTTCAAAGGTCTTGTCGATGCGGACTTCTTCTCCTGCAGCATTTGCTTCACGGTGGCAGCAGAATAAACGTATGAATTTGACTTCTTGATTGCTTCCTTCTTCTCCAAGATATCTTGCTTGCTCGGCATTCGCCCATTCGTCTTTTCAACTTCCTTCTTCCACAACTTGTATTCTTCTTCAGTTGGTAATGAGTCTGAAATCATAGCCATCTGCCAACGTGCAGCCGAGCTCTCATTACCCCATACGACGTTGAGGTACTTATACGTGGTCTTGTTCTCAAGCTTGTATGGACGATCAGGGTCAGCAGCATCGACATTCCGCACTAAGCAGAGTCGGTATATGGGTCCGGATCTCGACTTTCCTATCCCGACTCGTACGAAGCAACCCACGATCAGGTCATCGAACCATGGCTCCATCAACCACTTAGCAAGCTTCGATCTTCGAATAGTGATCTCTCTTATGTCTTCATATGATGGCGCACCATCCCTCTCATCATCACTGTCCCCCATCCCGGTCGACTCTTCATTGTCACTGCGCGACCCACTTTCACTGTCACTCTGGCTCGAGCTGCTCAAACTAGTTGTTGAGGTGAATGGCTTTCGCTTAGCTGGCGTAGGACCACCAGAAGAAGAAGCTTCACGAAGTCTCTTCCGGTGAGCCTCGGGATCCTGCTGCCGAAGTCGTTTGGCTTTGAGCTCATTCAAGGCATCATTTTGCGCAGCTGATCTGTCAGCTGATCGAGCTGAGGACCGCACCCCACGAGATGATGCTTGAGCAGTTGGTGGCGGAGTATCTTTCGTGCTGCCCTTCTCACGTTTGGAACGGATCCTCTCGGTTAGATTCTTGTCACCCTTTTTGTCTGCACGTTCTGTCAAGATCATTTCCCTGTCGAGTTCCGACATCTGCTCGAGTTTCCTCCGGTCTTCCTCATCTTTGTAGAGATCCGACCCTACATCCGACTCGTCGCTATCGTGATCAGAGTTCCTCCTGTTGTCATCGTAACCTGGTTCTTCTTCTTCCTGGCTGTTCTGTTCATCATCGTCGTCGTCCTTTTCAGCTGTATCCATACGTTTCTTGAGAGGGACTTGAGATCCGGATGGTTTTTTCCTGCTGCTCGGGTATCCATGGTCATCATCATCAGAATCTTCGTCCCTGGAGTCGCTTCCACCGTCAGGATATGAACCCTCGCCCCCGCCACCTCTTCTCCTGGAGGATGGACGAGAGTTTCGGTTTCTTCCTCCTCCATTGCCAGTTCTTCCAGCTGCTTCCAGCAGCAGATTCTCCAAGTCTGCCATGATAAATCAACCCTCCTTCTCCAAAGTCCACAAAGCTATACTAACTATAATAGCAAAAACACAGATTAAACAGTATTCCAGATTCAGCTGCAAATTTCGAAAGATGAACTCAAACCCTAGAAGAAAGCACTCGAATCCAGTCAATTCCCACCCATGGGAGGACAAATTACTGCCGGAATATTGATTAACAAGCCTAATCAGACCGTCCGATGAAGTTTAGGAAGGAGATGAGGCAAATCTTAATCACGACAAATCGCCTATGACCGGAAACCTAATTTCCCCTTCTCCCAAACCAATTTGAAAATCATAACTAACCTAATCGAATGGCGATTGAATAGAATGAATACGAACCGGAACTTTGTGTTATAGAGAGGATGAATATCAACGGAGGAATATCTTCGGTTGCGGCGAATCGCGATTCTACGGTCGGCGACAGAGACTAGAGCGGCGGAGATGGAGTAGTAGAACGATGGTCGACGGAGAAAGGTAGCGACCTCGCGATTGTTGATTGATAGATTCTAATTTTTACCGGGCCCATTGTTTCACCAACCACGGGCCCAAGCCCATTGGCCTGGCAACTCCGCTGCTTAATACGACACCGTTTAATGAAAACAGACGTTTCGCAAGCAAACGAAATTGTATTGAAATTCGTGAATATGTTTAAAACCCGACTGTCACATCTCCCCGGCGTCGTCGTTGACTCGCCTGTAAATATACCCTTAAGATTCTCCGGCTCGGAAAAGAAGAAAGAAGACAAGCAAATAGCAGAGCCGTCGGCGTTAAAACCACTTACAATCCCCTGTTTCAGATACATAGAAAGCAGAGGAACGAGAAGAGCACAGTAGAAGCAGAAGGAAGAAATGGAGCAGATCGAGCACAAGTTCGTGGAAGTCGACGGAGGATTGAAGCTCCACGTAGCTGACATCGGAGGTGCAAGTAAGTGAAACTCGGATCGCCGATTAATTTCCTTAAATTAGTTGCTAAAAATGGAGATAAACTGGGTAATTTGTTTGAATTCTATTCCAGGCGACAAAGTTCTTCTCTTTCTCCACGGGTTCCCGGAGATATGGTACTCATGGCGCCACCAGATGATTTCCCTCTCCAAATCCGGTTACCGAGCTATCGCCGTCGACTACAGAGGCTACGGGATGTCCGATCCCCCGCCGAGGACTGAAGATGCCACGTTTGCCAACATCGTCGCCGACCTCGTCGCCATCCTCGATTCCCTCAATGTTCCCAAGGTCGATTCTTTGGTTTTATGACTCGCTGTAGCTGTTAGTGCAATTTTTTGCTGTTTGTCCCTCCTTCTCAGTCAGACATTTCGTCGAACAGGTGGTGCTCGTAGGGAAAGACTTCGGAGTTTATGTGGCTTCATGGTTCAACGTTCTCCACCCGGAAAGGGTGTTGGGCTTCGTGACCATGGGAACTCCGTTCCGCGTCCCGGGAAACCAAGCATCCGTCATCTCATCGCTCCCGGAAGGTTTCTATGTCTCGCGGTGGCGGGTGAGCAAGCAAATTAGCGCCCATGAATTCTGTTAGTGAGAACCAAATTAGCTATAATTTATCCCCGGTTCGTCTTCTGACCCCAGGAACCAGGGAGAGCCGAAGCCGAATTCGGGCGGCTAGATGCGAAAACGGTGGTGAGGAATGTGTACATACTATTCTCCGGCAGTGAACTGCCCATCGCGGCTGAGAATCGAGAGATCATGGATTTGGTCGACCCATCAGCTCCTCTCCCGCCATGGTTCACCGAGGAAGATCTCGAAGCTTATGGAGCTTTGTACCAGAAATCAGGGTTCCAAACTGCCCTCAAGATACCCTACAGGTTTGGATTAAAACTTATCAAACAACATGATTTAAGGATTCGATCACACCATCTGGAAACAGGCTACACTGTCTCTGATTTTCGACCGAACTCGATGATCATTCATGCACCTCTAGAGCTTATTGAATGTTATATGCTCCTGCAGATCGCTTGACGAGCAACTGGAAGTACCGGTGCCTGCAGGGGTGAAACTTAACGTTCCAGCGTTACTCATCGTGGGAGGAAAAGATTATACCCTGAAGATGCCGGGGATCGAGTACTACATCAACAATATGGCGAAGGAAATCGTTCCGGATTTGAAGACGGTGCATTTGGCTGAAGGGAGTCATTTCGTTCAGGAGCAACTCCCTGAAGAAGTGAACCAGCTGATACTCGATTTCCTTAAAGCTCGAATCTGGCCATGAAAGGTCGATGTTTCGTGCAATGTACTGGCTAGTGCTCGTCAGCAAATGCTTCTTTTTTGCTGGGTATAAACAGCTGTTCTGTTGCCATGTTCGGCTCTGAAATGGAATTCCTTCCCATATGGTGCTTTGTTGGTGTACTGTAAACCCGTTTTCCTCTATTGCTGGTTTTGCCTAATGGTGCAATTTGTAAGCCTAAAATAACGATGAATTTACCTATCCAGCCGATATCTTAAACTAAACATTCCGAACTGAAGTATTGAGTTGTCCATCGATCGAACCCCAGACATTGAAATTCCCCATTGAACAGGCCATCCTTTCTACCAATCATCTGCACTCGCCAATGTCAACGGAAACAGGAACCGACGACTCCATGAGAAAGACAGCACAACAGAAACCCAAATTCATGTCAACTAACAAATGACACGCAAGCTAAGCAGAAGCAGCAGATCCGCCTGCTCCACCATGTATAAAAGAGGAGAAGCAGAGGCGGGATGAGAAGAACAGGGCAGAAATGGAGCAGATTGAGCACAAATATGTGGAAGTTGAAGAAGGATTGAAGATCCATGTAGCCGAGATCGGAGCTGGTAAATCTTCACTTGCTATCTTAAACCTCCCAGTCTTTCTATGTTTCCCACCATTGCCAGAAAGTGATTCTCATTCTGGGTGTTTTTTTTCATCCAGGGGACAAAGTTCTCTTCTTTCTCCATGGATTCCCGGAAATCTGGTACTCATGGCGGCACCAGATGATTTCCCTGTCCAAATCAGGGTACCGCGCCGTCGCCGTCGACTACAGAGGCTACGGGTTGTCCGATCCCCCGCCGCGGCTTGAAGACGCCACTTTCGCCAAAACCGTCGCCGACCTGGCCGCGGTGCTGGATTCCCTCAACATCTCTAAGGTCAATAGCTACGGCAACAATGCATCTATCTTCGTTTCATCTTTTTTTTCCTCTTCTCATGCTTTCAGTGGGACATTTCGTCGAACAGGTGGTGCTCATAGGGAAAGACACCGGAGCTTTCATCGCTTCTTGGTTCGGCGTCCTCCACCCGAAAAGGGTACTGGGAATAGTGACCATGGGCATCCCGCTCTCTGTCCCGGGAACGGCTTCTTCCTTCATCAGCTCAACTATCCCGGAAGGTTTCTATGCTTTACGGTGGCAGGTATCGTAAGACTAACAAATTGGCAACCAGAAAACTACTAGGACCAAAATCAACTGACCCAATTCGTTTTTTTTTTTGGGGGTTTTGACGCAGGAACCAGGGCGAGCCGAAGCCGATTTCGGGCGGGTGGATGCAAAAACCGTGATTCGGAATGTGTACATACTGTTTTCAGGGAGTGAAGTGCCAATCGCAGCCGAGAATCAGGAGATAATGGATCTGGTCGAACCGTCGACTCCTCTTCCGCCATGGTTCACCGAGGAAGACCTCGAAGCTTATGGATCCCTGTACCAGAAATCCGGATTCCAGACCGCCCTCAAAATGCCCTATAGATCACTCGACGAGCAGTTGGACGTACCGGTAACTGAGGTGAAATTCGAAGTTCCGACGTTACTGATCTTGGGAGACAAAGATTATGCACTGAAACTTCCGGGGATGGAAGACTACATCAACCATATGGTGAAGGAAATCGTCCCGGATTTGAAGACGACGTATTTGACTGGAGGAACTCATTTCGTTCAAGAGCAATTCCCAGAAGAAGTGAACCAGCTGATACTTGATTTCCTGAAAGTTCGAATTTGGGCATGAAAAGTATACAGTTCAATCCATGATTCAGTAGTTGTGATTACTGATTAGTACCTTTGCCTTGTTGTTCATTTGTTTCAAGTCAACAAGGGAACAGAGTGTTGGTAATTCCTTGGTGGGTTACAAGGATCTCTTATCTCGAAAATTAATGATACAGAACTTGCAGTGAAGGTAACTCCCAAGTAAAATGCTTCCACCTGAGCTACTGGTCTATAGCTTCTCCAGTTCTTGAACTGTTCACGACTGTTTAGACTGACCTGAAGGTAACCCTCAAGAACAATGCTTCCACCAGAGCGACTGATCTGCACATTCTTCAGGTCTGTGTGTCCCATGGTTTTCAATCTTTCGCTACATCTTGTGCTCCGTACCTTCCTCGACAAGCTTCTCTAGACCAGCAAAAGTTCCCCTCAAATCCAGCCGATCACTGCACAGACCCTGTTGATTACAGTGCTCCAGTATAGCATACAAAATTATGTGATCCAATACCACAAACCTGTTTCCTCTCCGGCTAGTTTCTTCCACGGAAATCTATATCTTCAAAGGCAACCACTTTAGAATCCAATACATCCACTAAACGAAATTGAACTGGATACGAGGAACTTGCAGTGATTATCATCCAAAGGGGTTGATTAGCACCCAGTACTTTAGAAATAGGAAGAGATAGCTCGTTGGTGGTCGACGAAGCAGAAAAGCACAACGTTGTCATATTCTAGTAACAATCGGGAGTAGTATTCCCATGTTTTGCAACCCCTTCTGCAAGCTGGTTCAGAATGTTACCACTTGGAGATATGCAGTATCTGCAGATCAGGAGCACATACCGAGTTAGTCTATACCATCGACGATGTGAATTTGTTGTCTTTCTATTCAACAAGATTGACGATTTGCTAAAGGTAACAGCTAGGTTCAACCTCATCCAACCCAGATACTATGTAGTCCCCGCACTACTGTTTTACATCACAAGTAGCATCATGGATGCCGGGGAGGCAGAAGTAGCTTTTAGAGAGGTGGCTGGTCGGGCACATACTTGGGCGAAGCCATAACGCCAACGAATGTCAAAACTCTAAATCCATATATTACTGTCCAAATTCCACCCAACGATCCATGTCAGGTACGAGGAAAATGTACAGAACCAAATCCAACTAATGTTGTTGTTATGCACTTGGATAAGGTATAGAATTCTGCTTGTAACAGTAAATTCTACAAGCTGATCAATCATCTGGGAAACCTAGAAATCTGTTAATTAAAGTAATCACAGGCTTGGCATCTCCAGCAGGATACGGAAGGAGAGACTCCAAATTCATATCCGTGATCGTCTCGTGCAACAGTTGAGGACTTGCGCAGTATAAATGCTTCCTCTCAGCTAGTTCTTCCGCAAGTTCAGATTGATGATTATCCATCAGGTCTTCATTCACCACTACAATGAGAGGTTTGCCAAGCCGTAAAGTCTCGAATATGCTCCCTGACCCTGCATTATGTACAGAGCACTATGTGATACTACTCTCTGGAGTGCAAGAATGAACACAACTTTCGTCGTCAACCAGGGATCCTGTCAGCATACAAGCCCGAGTGCCCGTATTCAGGCAGATGGTTTATGGAAAATTTTGGAGTCATGTTGCACAAAATTATATACTTCTTCCACTATAGGACTAGACATGTGATAATCATAATTGTCTCATTTCTCCAGCTATATATATCTGCAACATTGCTTCCTAAGTTCAGTAGTGAGCATCCAGATTCACTGATGTTAATTCTTTTCTCAATATAAACAGGAAGATAATAGACCGTAGATTCGTTTACCTGCATGACTGATGACAAGAGATGCCGATCTAAGATGTTCTGCAATGCTTGATGAGAAAGTGAAATAATCAACCACAAGAGATCCACCTTCCCCTTCACACTGCAACAGAACAAGAACATACTCGTGAGACAGAATGGATATCAAGCTCCAATTTGCAGAGAAAAGCCCGTAGCTTATGCATCAAACTTCGATGAACTAAAACGAAAAGCAAAACGGGAAGCACTGCCTGAACCAAGAGAGGAGGAGGGATACAGTTATGTTCTTTTACCTTGTGGGGAATGTAGGAGTAGGAGTAGGACCCTCGACCAATTTGAATGAGAAGGTGGGTGTATCCTCTTCGCAGCAACTCATGTTTAACTTGTTCAGTATCAACAGCTTTGACAAGAGCGTCAAATAACGTTGTTCCTACTGTCACAAACACTGTTATACGTTTCTGCTCGATTTCTCGCATCTACAACTTGAGTCACATTGAGAACCCATTTGAATCAGTTCAGTATAAATACTGATTCATGAATGATTAACAAGATCCCCACCACACAATCCGGGAAGATGGGGTACACCAAAATCATAAACTTGTTCTTAAGCTTCAAATCTACGTTCGTTCCTATCCCAAGTCTAGTTGATTTTTCCAAGCACGGTTCATCAGCAACGACAAAATCGAAGAAGACCCAAAAATTAGATACGATCCACCATGCCAAGGCAGCGAGATTACCAGATTGAAAAAGTTACGAAGACGGATAAGAATGGCGCAAGGAGCTGTCAGTCTCGACCTTTCGGAAAGCTGCAAGCTTGGAGGCTGGCCGCGCGATGGAGACAAATGTGGCAGCGATTGGGATTCCGGATCTGGTCTACGACGGAGAAATTGAGAGCAGAGTGTGGAATTGCGGTGATGCACTCCATGGGGAAGTTTTTTATGGGATTTTTCCCAATGGGAATATGGAGTAGAGGCCAGAGGGCCGTCCAGGAAATCGATCTTTAATTCCAGCCGTCCGATCCTCACCCCTTCCACCAAGTTGACGGATCTACCCTCGCTCTTCCCCAAAACCCCCCGATCTGTCCTTTTCTATCGTCGGCGCCGCCGCTGCCGCTTTCCGCAGATGCTGGAATCTTGCCCTTGTACTTGCCGAAGTCTATCACTCTGTCCCTCGCCGCCGGGAGCGATGCTGCCGTGAATGTCGGTGGTTAGGGTGGCGGCTTGAAGGAGCAAGTGAAGGTATAGGGAAAGCGGGGGCAGTGAGCGACGTTGAAAATCATGGGAAGCAGTTGGAATTGGGGCTGAGCTGATTCAGGCGAGAGAAACCACACTGCACCCTGCACTAGGACTGGATAAAGACATTTTTATTTTCTGTTTTCAAGCAACTTGAGTCATAAAGAACCCATCTACATGCAAGCCCCAGTGCCTATCTACCCAAATTTGTGCAGAAAAATGGACAGTTCATCCACACACTTCTTATCAATATACACAACATAACAAAAACAAAAAAAACCAACTTAATTGCACTCTGATTGAGCTAGTGTTCTTATTTCTGTTCATCTCAATCTATTCCTTGTAACCCAAGGATTCCAAACTTGTCAGCATACACATTTCGCTAAACTGCCCTTTTCTAAACACCACTCCTTACTCCTTACAACTGCACGGAATGTTCAACTCGTCTAATAAGTCAATCAATCAGCACAACAACAAAGTATAACTAAGCAAGATGACGACATTACCTTATAGAAAGTGAGAATCCCAACACGATCCGAAGCAGCAGCTTCAATGACAGTAACCAACTCCCCAACTCTATTAAACCAAATCCATCATAGACGCCTCTGGAGATTCTCCATAACAGGCTCAAAAGCCAGTACCTCGTACCCCATAACCGCAGCTGCTCGCCATTCCCACATTGGCCCATCATCCACAACGAGCCCCCATCACTTTCCCTTCCAGAATGAACGAAAAGCTTTGGGTGTCTGCTTTCTCTTCTTCAGGCATTTGCCATGGGGGAATGAACGAGTTAAGGTGCTATTCTTTCTTCAATGAGTTTGCTTTCCAAACTACTACTGTCCATCAATGATCTGAGAGGTAAGATTAATACATAATCAAGTTCCACAATGCTTCTCAATGAAAGAAAACCGACTCATCCAGAAAGGGCACCAAGGGAAGCATGTCTTCAACTTCTAGGCAGAATCAGAACCTGCTACCTTGACCATAATGGATCTAACAATAGCAAGGTTCCAAGATATTGAGGCAGAATCAGAACCAGCTACTGTAATCATATTGATTCATCCACGGCGACTGAACCATTACTCCTACAAGTACCACTCTAAGAATCCGAGATAACAGAAGATTCATAAATAACTACTGCCAAATTTGGCTTTCTAGGACCTTGTCTACAATTCCAAAGGTAAAAAAAAACCCCTTTTCGTAAGAAGACATGCAAGTGAAATACCCAAAAGTTCTGTTCGAAACCATCACCTACCGTAAACTACAGCAATCAAGAAGCCATGACAAAGAAGATAAGTGTTGCTGTTATTTTATCTAACCACAAAGAAGATAAGCAGAGCATAACTGTAGAAGCTCATGCTGAATGCACCAGCTTCCCCCAGTCCCTCAATGCTTATAGAAAATCAAGAGGCTAAGGGCAAGGATAATATATAGAAATTATTCATGATAACCACCCAACCACAATAGCTAGATCATGTAGACCCATCCACCCTCTTTTCCACGCCCATGTAGCTCAAAGTCGCGGATTATTTCACTCTCTTATTTTCATTATCAGTCAAATAAGACTTCCTGTCGCAATTAGGTTCCTATACTTGTCTCAAATGCAACAAATCAACATGTTCATAAATCTTACACAAGCTAGATTTTTAAGACCAGGCTCAAGGAAAAGCAATGTAGAGGTTTCTTTCAAAACTACTCCTGTCAATCAATGGTATGTCAACTAAGATTAAAACATGATCGAGTTCCAGAATGCTTCTCAATGGAAGCAAATCGACACATCCAGAAAGGACACCATGGAAAGCAAGTCTATGACGTCTAGGCAGAGACATAGAACCTGCTACTGTGACCATAACAGATCAAATCATATCAATGGATGCCTCATACGATCATAATACCAATGATGAATATTCAGAAACCACATGCCCAGCTCTTTTCGCATCTAGCAACCTAAAATGGCTGCTCCCATTACCAAGATCAATGTAGTTGTGGACAGGTTACAAACAAAATCAAGATCAATGTAGAGAACTCAGGTTACAAACACCAAATCAAGATCAGAAATTGAAAGCGTCAGTCCTATATTAGAACCATGCGAAGACTATTGTCAGCATTATAATACCAACACAACTTCGAAAGGCATCTGTCTTTCATAATTACATAAAAGTAAATAGACTCGAACTAAGATTAAAGCAGGCAGATATTCAGGCTAATGATTTCATTCTAGCAGTCCATTTAATTATTGATTGGTAACATAGTACTCCTGCGCTTGGAGATTGGAAAGGAAAAATCCATCCAAAACTGGACCTAACAGGAAAGTGGAGAAGAGAGACAAACCCCCTAATGATAACAGGAACCACGTTTGTTTCTTATTTATGTACTCTATAGCTTTACACAAGTTACAATCCTTTTCAGATAACTCGAGCTCTAAGATCAAAAAAGTATCAAGAGGCTCGAGGAAAAGCATAATGATAAGAGGAAAAAATCACATCAAGGGACTATGACAAGGTCTGCAACGTTAAAGCAAAATCAAAACCTGCTACCGTGACCATAATGGATCTAACCATATATCAACAGATGTATCTTACATTCACAGTACCATGATAAATACTCATACACCGATCTCCATCTCCGTTCACATCTAGGAAAATGGCTGCTCCCATTATCAAGATCAATATAGATAACTCAGGTCAAAATCATACATTGAAAAGCATCAGTACTATATTGGAACCATGCCAAGACTAAGAGTATGCCAGCAGCGCATAACACCAGCAACATAACTTCAAAAAAGGTTTCAAGAATTACATAGAAGTAAACGGATGTGTGCGTACCCAATGGATATCCAACTTGTAGGAAGATAAAGAATATGGACTCGAAGTAGGATTAAAACAGGTGGATTCAAACTATGTTCTTGACTGTTTCATCTGCATAAGGAGCTGCAGATGGGTCACCTGGGCCATTTCTGAAAAGTACTCCATCTGGGTTCATCTTTAAAGTTTCTGAAGCTGGCCAGTTTGAAGGGACTATAGTGATTTTGCAGCCATATGATGCCAAGCGCCTCAGTATGTTATGCTTGATCCCGAAATCATATGCAGCAACCTTGAATTCATGGAGAACATAACCGTGAAAAGAGCGTAACAGATTATAATAAACGAATATGAACATAAACCGGGGAGAACCATTTATTAAACTGCGTCCCCCTTCCTTCATTATTAAAATCCCAATTTGGGATTTTTCTGTCAATCCATTCATATGGTTTGGTGCATGAGACACCACTTATTAGATCAACACCTGCCACAACATGATCAAAACAATTAAGGATGATTTTTCTCCTTCACACCCACTTATACGTAATAAGTTTCAAAGCTGCCAACAACCACTAAACAACACTGCCTTCTATAAACTCGGTATTTTAACTTCATTAAGCACTGAAGTGCAGAAAGCAACCAACAAATGTTACAAATTAATCCAAACATACAGGTAGCAACATAAAATATCTCCCCAAATGAACTTGACATAAGAGAAACAAGGACTTGCAATGTTTTAACTTGACAAAGCTTCCAATACTGGCTCAGTGAATGGTAGCAAATAGTATGTGAAACTGAGCTCATACTAATGTTCAGGCAGATAATTGACTCAGATAATTAATAGACGCAGAAGAGAGACCAATGGAAATGGTTTATGGATTTTCAGACAACCGATAAGCTATAAAAATACTGTTGGTCGGACAAAAATTAGAAAACTAACAAGGCAGTATCACAATTCGATCCTAGGACCCACTAAAATTAGCATTGTTATGCGCAACAAACCAACTTGCGATTCTGGAACCAACTGTCAATCACCCAAAACTTGGATATCGGACAAGAACATAGCAGCCAAAACTTTGTATTGAAGAACTGTCAACAGTTACTCTCATGAAGCAACAAAGTGAGAGAGATTATGAGCCCATTTTCAATATCCGGACTTGGCACCAAATTACGATAGGAATTTGCATTCCATCAACCTCAGAATCCCCAGACTTGATGATTTTTAATCTGAATTGTTTCTACAAGTATTTCTAGTTCTCACATTGAAAACCACTGCAGAGCAAAGATATAACCAACTGATGACATACACTTTTTTTGCTCCTGTATTGCGATACAAAGATCCCCTAAGAACTACCACGAATTAGTCCATTAAACATATAGCACGACAACTACTCGTAGGAGAGTTATTTCAATCAAATTCTCTGAACTGCAACAAACCAACATGTCCATGGAAAGGGCAACTAAAGGAAGCAAGAATACAAGAATATAGAGGCAGAAGAAGAACAAGATACTGTAACCACATTGGATTCAATTATACAACCAAACTCTCTTGCTTACACCAGTTCCATTATAAGGTTTAGAGGCTCAACATCTGCAGCTTTCCCCTGCATGTATTACAGTGAACATGTCATACTTGCACCCAAAATCTCTAAGGTAAGATCAATGCATCTTGCAACTCGTAGGTATCCTGCAAGACTAGGAAGCAGCCTATTAACCATATAAAATTGAACTATACCAACCCGATGCCCTTGCCTTTCACAACCGATACAAGTGACACAGTAAACCCATATGTACTTTCCAGATTTGGCAACAGATTTCATACCAGAATAAGTTCCCTTCCAAATCTCCAACTGAATCAGGATGGCCGCAATATTATGATGATTAAACTAAACAGACAGAATTGAGACTATGATTATCTGATACGATGTACTAACATGAAACAAAGCTTTCTGGTTAATAGACACCATTGCAAAAGACAAGTGAGCAGAACCCCACACAACACCAGCATCAAAATCTCTATCCAGCAGGCTCGCAAGTTTATACCGTCTAAATCCAACCATTATCAGAATCTATAGTATAATGCATGTTATCAGAAAAATGAAACTCCTCCCTACTCATGATCCCAACCAGGACCTTGTCATTTTCAATTTAGAGAACCACCAACAACCAATCTTTAGTCAATGGAAAAGGGCAACTATTGATAAGCACATTCCTTTCTAGGACATTGTAATTCACTTCGAAAGTCGCTATAAGCAATCTCACTCAAGGCAGAAGGGCAACCATGACTATGCATAATTCCCTTCTTCGACCTTGTACTTTTCAGTTCGGAGAACCGCCACAACCAATCTTTACTCAATGCAAAAGGGCAACTATTGATAAGCACATTCCTTTCTAGGACATTGTAATTCACTTCGAAAGTCGCTATAAGCAATCTCACTCAAGGCAGAAGGGCAACCATGACTATGCATAATTCCCTTCTTCGACCTTGTACTTTTCAGTTCGGAGAACCGCCACAACCAATCTTTACTCAATGCAAAAGGGCAACTATTGATAAGCACATTCCTTTCTAGGACATTGTAATTCACTTCGAAAGTCGCTATAAGCAATCTCACTCAAGGCAGAAGGGCAACCATGACTATGCATAATTCCCTTCTTCGACCTTGTACTTTTCAGTTCGGAGAACCGCCACAACCAATCTTTACTCAATGCAGAAGGGCAACCATGACTGAGCATGATTCCTTCTAGGACATTGTAATGCACTTTGAGAATCCCCACAATAATCTTTACACAAGGCAGATGGGCAACCATGACTATGCATAATTCCAATCTAGGACCTTGTAATATACAATGAAGAGAACCACCGGCACTAATTTTACTTGAGACAAAAGGGCAACCATGACTAGGTATAATTCCCATCAAGGACCTTGTAATTATCAGTTTGTAGAATCGCCACAGCCGGTGTTTAATTAAGGCAGAAGGAAAATTATGACAAGATAATTCCCTTCTAGGGCCTTAGAAATGAAATAAGCTCGTGTTAATGCAAGCTCACATTATTAGTAATATGTTTTGCATCTGCCAACAACCACTTAACAACGATGCCTTCCATAAACTCAGACAAATCTAGCAGGATTATTACGACTTCATTAAGCACTTAAGTGGTGAAAGCAACCAACAAATGTTTCATAAGCAAAATGTATTAATCCAAATATACAGGTCGCAACATTCAAATGAACTTGACATAAAGGAAACGAGGACTTGCAATCTTTCACTTCACAAGCTTCCTATACTGGCTTACTGAATGGCAGCAAAGAGAATGTGAAACAGAACTCATGCTAATGCTCAGGCAGATAATTACAACTCAGTCTGTTAATAGATGCAGAAGAGCGACCAGTTCAGGCAGCAAATCAGATTGTTAATAGAGTCAAATAATTGCAACTCAGTACATGGTTCTCCTCTGTAACTCCCTTTCAAGTGCTTGCTTAATGGACTTTCAGTCAACCGATAAGCTATAAAGAGCAATTTTTGGCAAATAAAAGACAAAAATCAGAGAACTAACAAGACAACATCACTGTTCGATCCTAGGCCCGGCTAATATTGGCATTGCTCATGGGCAACAAACCAACTTGTGATTCTGGAACCAACTTCGATCACCCAAAACTTGGAATTCGGGGACAAAAACATAGCAGCTAATATTTTGCATCAAAGAACTGGCAAAGTTACCCTCATGAATCAACAAAGTGAGAGCGATTATGACCCTTTTCAACCCACTGAGCCTATTTCATCAAGTTTAACAGACATCACAGGACAAATAAGGGAACTAGCCCTTCGACCAAGAAGGAAACGTTTAGAAACTAAACCCACAAGACGCAAGCAAAATAAACAAAGATGGGGAGGCGTAAGGGACAAGATGATAAAACCTTTACCAATTAACCACCGGAAAACCTCGAACATCCAGGAAGGGACGTTCGCCGGTGACATCCATCGCACCGGAGTCACAGACAGAGAGAGGGAAGCGTCACCCCATCACCGAACCCTAACAAAGCCAACAACAATAGACAGATAGCGACATCGCCGGCAACCAGAACCCTAACTCTACAGGAACGGCGAAACCCTAGGCTCGGACGCTTCTCGTCTTTGTCATAGAGAAAAATGCCGGGAAAGCATTCTAAGTAATTTATAGAGGGACCATCACGGCGAGTCGGTCGGCAAATTATTACCGTTGGAAAGAGGCGGTTAGCAGAAAATATACGCCGGAGTCGGTTCCCCCAATTTGTCTAAAAATTTACGCGGTTAAGTTTGACTCGTTCAACGCGTGTGACTATTATAAGAAAAAGTCTGACGTGTGCAAGCAATACACAATTGGGCTTTTTTTTTTTCGGTAGAACAATTGGGCTTTTCTTTTCATAATGGTGGGATAAATAATGGGTATCGAGATCCAAGACACAAGCATAAAATCCACATTCGTCAGGCCCAATCTATTTAACCCCAATACACAAATGATTGGCAAGACTTTCTCTTTATCGCGGGCTGGGAAAACGGAAACCGCATCGAAACCGCGCAGTTATTGCTTAACCACAAATCGCAAAAACAACTTATTTTGCGGTCGCGGTTGAAGATATTAGTTGTTTTACGATTTGTGGTTTAACCGCAACCGAAACCGCAATGCTAACCGCAAAAAGATGGCCCAATCAATTTCCAGTCCAGCCCAAAGTCACAAACCCCAATCCCACCCGAGCCCAACCCGGCCCCTCCTCCCACTTCCCCTTTTTTCTTGCATTTGTTTTGAAATGATCGGCTATTAGAAGTAGTTGTTGTTTCCATTGCAGATGCAGGGGTTTGGTAGTGTAAAATTTCACACTGTAGTTGCTGTTTTGTTTTTTTTTTGTTCATGAGTTTTTTCGGTTAGTTTTGCGATTTTTTGTTTAACCACAGTTAGATGCGGTTGATGCGGTTTTTACCTCCTGTAACCGCTGTTCACCGTTAACCACGTTGTGTGTTTATTGGTTAACCGCTAACCGTGTCGGACGCGATCGCGGTTGGTTAATATGGGTATTTTGCGGTTGGCGGTTAACCACGCTTAACCGAAAAATCGAAGAAAAACCAGGGACGGTCAGTTTTCAAAGGGGAGAGGGATACTTCGATTAGCTGAGTAACCGGAGGCGGTTAACCACGCTTACCCGACTAACCATAGCTAAGTAGCTAACCAACCCAACGAATGACCAACTCTAAATCCATATCTCTTGCAGTCCCAATTCCACTCTAGGTACGAGGAAAATGTACAGAGTCAAATCCAACTGAATGTTGTTGTTAAGCACTTGGATAAAGGTATAGAATTCTGTTTGTAGCACAAAATTACACAGGCTCATCAATCATCTGGGAAACCTAGAAATCTGTTAATTAAACTAATCACAGGCTTGGCATCCCCAGCAGGATACGGAAGGAGAGACTCCAAATTCATATCCGTGATCGTCTCGTGCAACAGTTGAGGACGTGCGCAGTATAAATGCTTCCTCTCGGCTAGTTCTTCTGCAAGTTCAGATTGATGATTATCCATCAGGTCTTCATTCACCACTACAATGAGAGGTTTGCCATGCCGTAAAGTCTCGAATATGCTCCCTGACCCTGCAAGAATGAACAGAACTTTCATCGTCAACCAGGGATCCTGACAGCATACAAATCCGAATGCCCGTATTCAGGCAGCTGGTTTATGGAAATTTTTGGAGTCATGTTCTACAAAATTATATACTTCTTCTACTATAGGACTAGACATTTCATAATCATAATTGTCTCATTTCTCCAGCGATATATATCTGCAACTTTGCTTCCAAAGTTCAGTAGTCAGTATCTAGATTCACTGATGTTAATTCTTTTCTTAATATAAAGAGGAAGATAATAGACCGTAGATTCATTTACCTGCATGACTGATGACAAGAGATGCCGATCTAAGATGTTCTGCAATGCTTGACGAGAATGTGAAATAATCAACCCCAAGAGATCCACCTTCTCCTTCACACTGCAGCAGAACAAGAACATACTAGTGAGACAGAATGAATACCAAGCTCCAATTTCCACAGAAAAGCTCATAGCTTATGCATTCAATGAACTCAAACGAAGAGCAAGAATGGGAAGCACTGCGTGAACCAAGAGAAAAAGGAGGGATACAGTTTTGTTCTTTTACCTTGTGGGGAATGTAGGATCCACGACCAATTTGAATGAGAAGGTGGGTGTAGCCTCTTCGCAGCAACTCGTGTTTAACTTGTTCAGTATCAACAGCTTTGACAAGAGCGTCAAATAACGTTGTTCCTACTGTCACAAACACTGTTTTCCTCTTCTGCTCGATTTCTCCCATCTGCAACTTTAGTCACATTGCCAACCCATTTGAATCAGTTCAGAATCAATACTGATTCATGAAATGATTTAACAAAATGCCCGTAACAATTCGGGAAGATGGGACAACAAATTCATAAACTTGTTCTTGAGCTTCAAATCTAGGTTCGTTCCTCTCCTAAAGTCTAGTTGATTTCCAAGCACGGTTCATCAGCAACGGAAAAATCCAAGAAGACCCATAAAATTAGATACGACCCACCATGCCAGAATGGGGCGCCAAGCTTGAAATGCAAGAGTATGATTTAGAAGCAGATATGTCAGGTTCAAGATGGCACGATCATTCAGCAAAAACAAGGCAGCGTAATTACCGGACTGAAAAAAGAGACGAAGACGGATCAGAATTGCGGAAGGACCGTTCGGAAAGCTGCAAGCTTGGAGGCAAATGGCCGCCGGAGTGGCAGCGATTGAGATTCCGGATCTGGTCTGCGATGGAGAAATTGAGAGCAGAGTGTGGAATCGCGGTGATGCACTCAATGGGGAAGCTTTTTTATGGCGTTGACATAAAAAAAAAGGGAGTTTCTTTAGACGATATAAGACAAAACTTATATAGAGCTGGCGAGTGGCGGGTAATCGGCAGCGACAAATCGTCCTATCTCCAAAATCGAGGAGCAGAAGCAGAGAAGAGAAGAAGCATTAAAGAGAATGGGAGATCTCTACGCCTTGGACTTCGATGGAGTTCTATGCGACAGCTGCGGAGAAAGCTCGCTCTCCGCCGTCAAGGTCCGTCTCCTCCTCTTTTTCGCTTTCCGTTTGGTCGCAGAGAGAACTCCAGGAACTCGTAAGCATCAATTTGAAACCTTCAGTGTGTTTGTTGGGTCTTCTTCCTCATAGGCCGCTAAATTGAGATGGCCGGATCTGTTTACCGGTGTGGATTCAACCATTGAGGACTGGATCGTTGCTCAGATGTACACAGTAAGCCGCCTTTTGTCACTTGACTAACTGATTGGGAAGAATGATCGCCGCCGGCAAGGTTAATTCATGATTTGTTGTGCTGTTGTCAGGTGCGGCCTGTTGTGGAAACTGGGTATGAGAATTTGTTGCTTGTGAGGTTGTTGCTGGAGATGAAAGTACCTTCAATTAGGACATCCTCGGTAAGCATATCTTTCGCCAGAATGAAAATCTCTGGTCAATTACAAGATGCATAGAATCAATGTTCATATAATCTCATTGGCAGAACTGTCTGATGTTGTGGGTTCAATTTGAAAGGTTGCTGAGGGACTCACAGTGGATGCAATCCTGGAAAGTTGGTCGAAGATTAAACCTGTCGTCATGGAAGAATGGGGAGAGATGGATAGAGACGATCTAGTTGAGTTCTTTGGCAAAGTCAGGGATGAGTGGATGGAAAAGGACTTGAAAACATGGATCGGAGCAAACAGGTACACAGAGTAGATAACTTGGATTGTGCTTTCGACTCATTTTTTTCGTACCAGCATGTATGATCGAATGGAATTTAGTTGTGAAGTTGAGTCCTTGTGCTGTTGTTTGGTATATGATTTTGCTTGCCCTGAACTGTGTCTACAGAAGTTGAAATTGGCTCTGTAGGTTTAGAATGGGAAACTGATTCCATTGCAGATTCTATCCAGGTGTTCCAGAAGCCCTGAAATTTGCTAGCTCAACCATGTATATAGTCACCACCAAACAGGTAAGCCCTGATGAATCGATTTAGTTCATCTGTATGCCAGCGCAAGTAGCTCCCTCCCTCTCTTTAATCTCGTCTCGTCTCTGTCTTAGGGCCGATTTGCAGATGCTTTACTGAGAGAGCTGGCAGGTGTAACAATTCCACCTGAAAGAATATATGGTTTGGGAACTGGGTCAGTCTATGTGTATCCATCCTAATTTGGTGGTTCTAGGGGAAATGGCTTTAGTTCTAATCTCTATTGCTCTTGGCGTTTATCTCTAATTTCAGACCTAAAGTGGAAGTGTTGAAGCAACTTCAGAAGAGACCAGAACACCAGGGGTTGAAGCTGCAGTAAGTTTTCCCTCTCGTTGTTCTCAACTGCACTATAAGCAAACAAGCGTCTCTCGTATTAACTCCTATAACTTGATCTTCGCCAGTTTCGTGGAAGATCGGCTTGCAACCCTCAAGAATGTGATCAAAGAGCCAGAACTAGATGGATGGAACTTGTACTTAGGTACCAGACTTTCTCTCTTTTCCCGGCATTCTTCCCAACTGTTTGATTCTCTTCCATTTATGTGAGCTTGCAATTTCCAGAAGAGGTGTTAATGGATGATATTGTCAGGTAACTGGGGATACAACACGCAGAAAGAGCGAGAGGAAGCAGAAAGCATTCCTCGGATTCATCTTCTCCACCTCTCCGATTTCACCAAGAAGCTGAAATAGTAAACATTAATGGCTGGTGATCGCGGAAAAGGCAGCTTAGAAAGCTGTGAAATTGCTGCAACTATAAAAAAACCAGAAAATTTCTTGTATTCCTCCATGGCTAAGTAACTAAACCCTCTTACATCCGTCAGACATTCAGGAACTGATAAATGTGGCTTTGTAGTTGTATGAACTAACAGTTCTTGTTACAAAGAGACATCAAAAGGAAGAAAAAAAGTGTACAACACAAGAGAATTTCATGACATCAAGATGCACTAACATTAACGAAACCAAATCGTCCAAAAGAAAACTCAAATCAAGACCAAATTCGAGCTCCGAGGAACCCTAGTATCAGCTCGTTCACTTGTTCAGGAAGTTGCTCCTGAACAAAATGGCTCCCTTCACTCAAATGCACTATCTCCAGATCGGGCACGAAATGTTTCACCCCAACGTTCGCGTAATCTTCAAATCCCGGAGACTTTCTCACGTAATCTTTATCTCCCAAGATCAACATCGCCGGAACTCTCACGGTTAAATCTGCCACTTCAGCCGATTCCTCTATCGACCTATCAAACACAAAATAATTCTTATCAGTAACTTTAGTTCAACTTAAATCAGTTTTAACTTAATCAGTTTGATAATAAACCTGTAGGGAACCTTCAGCGCAGTTTGGAACCCAGATTTCTGATACAAATCGCCATAAGTCGAAAGATCCTCCTCCGTGAACCAATCCGGAAGATCCGCCGACCCCTCCACCAAATCCATGATCTCCTGATCGACGGCGGCCGTCGGCAGCTCCGTTCCGGCGAAGAGGACGTAGATCTTCCTCACCACCGTCTTCGCATCAAACCGTCCGAAATCAGCTTCAGCTCTCCCCGGCTCCTGAAAAAAAGAAAGAAAAAAAAAGTCAGCACAAGCCAGTCAACGACGACCATCATTAAGTTCCGCTTAGAGAGAAAACGACGCCGTTACCATCCATCGGCGCGCGTAGAAGCCTTCGGGGAGGAGAGCGAGTATAGCCGACGCGCCGGGACCGGGCGGAGTGAACGGGATCCCCAGCGTCACCATCCCCTGCAATCTTTCCGGGTACAGCAACGCGAATCTCGAGGCGACGTAGACGCCGAAGTCCTTGGCGACGACCGCCGCCTTCGGGATCTGGAGGGAATCGAGGATGGCCGCCACGTCGGCGGCGAAGTCGATGAACGTTGCCTCGTCGGGTTTCGGGGGCGGGTCGGATAACCCGTACCCTCTGTAGTCGGGCGCGATCGCCCGGTAACCCGCTCCGGCGAGGGCGGCCATCTGGTGCCGCCACGAGTACCATATCTCCGGGAAGCCGTGGAGCAGGAGGACCACTTTGTCTCCTGTGCCGATTTGGGCGACGTGGAGCTTCAATCCGCCGTTGGTCTCGACGAACTTGTGCTCGATGAGCTCCATTTTTTGGGCGTTTGGGTTAGGGGTGGAGGGATTTTCTGGTTCTTTGGGAGATTAAGGTGATGATTACAGCTTGTGGGTTTGGAGGATGTTTCTGAAGATTATAAAAAGGGGGGAGCTTGAATTATTCTGTGAACTGAGAGGCATCATTTTCAAATGAGGCTGCCATTAACAATTTTTTTTTTGTTTTGGTTAGGGGAGGCTGCTCTTAACTTTACTTCCTCTGATTGATCAAAATGGATATTCATACTCTCCTTTTGATTTTTTTTTTTTTTTTTGTAGGGACTCTCCTTTGACTTTCGTTGGTTTGGTATTTACGATGGGGATTGCTATTCGTCGTCCTAAAAATCAATATTTGTCGTCCTAATCAACAAGGCCTCTAATTTAAATCCGGAAATGATCTGGCTAGGCCTGAAATGAATTATTGTAGTAAAGTAATCAACTAGGAACAGAGTCGAAAACAAGGGAACCAGATGTTGATTCTTGAACTGCTTATACTCCATATATTGAAGTAAGAGAAGTGGAATTATGATGGCAGTCGATCGATCTTGCCTATGAAGCACCAGTTGTCGATTAGCTAGTTTGTATACAACAAAAATGGATATTTCACCCCAAAAGAAGAAGGAAGAAAGAAGAACAGAAAAATGAGAGAAGAGAATAGAGGAGTCAGTAACTGTACAAACGGTTTCTTCTAACAGTTTTTCATGGCAGCCTACACGATTCGATCACTTCCTTCACTACTTCGTGGGTCTCCGGCGAGATCATGTTCAGCGTCAAGTGAAATGCCTGCAGCATAAAAAAAAAGAGGGAACCACGATCCAAGAACCGAGTTTCGCATCATTCAATTTGGCACTGAAACCACTATTCAGTGTCACAATGTGTAAGGAAACCATAGAATGGAACACTAGGTTTGCAAAAATAGTCCCACAATTCCGCGTATGAAAGCTCACCACAAATCTCTCCAGCACAGGAACGAGAACCGAAAGCTTGTGATCCGGGAGGCAATCAGCAATTGAATCACGTGTGCTCTTGCTGCACGGTCAAAATCAATGTTTTTATTCAACATCAATCGAAAGGAGTTGTGCTCTTGCAGCAAAAACACTTAATCAGACAAACAAACAGATAAAACAAACCTTTCAGTTGAAAGAAAGGCAAGCAGCAGTGCTGCATAAGCCTCCACGATCATCTTCTCCGCTTCTTTCTCTCCTTCTAGCAGCGCCACTTCATCATCCTAGACAAGATGAATTGCCAATGTCAGGCTACAGATAAACTGGTAATGTGAGATGAATGATAAAGAACGGTCTTTTTAGAAAAAAAGAAGGTCGTGGACTCACCCATTGTATGCCATTCCCTTGTTCAGATTGATCACCTTCTCCTAGGTGGGCTAGAAAGATGGAACACAGTAGCGGAATTACATCCCTACGACTCTCCTCTTCCGACCCTTGTGAGCTGGCTAACGAAACGCTAGCCGATGCAAGCCTTGACCTGTGGAAACACCAACCTTAGTAAACCTGTTTTGTCCATCCTAGTAGAGATGAAAATGATGGAACAAACACACCCTAATCCAGGAAAGAAGACTAGCTGTAGAGAAATCAGAATTTAACCTGTTTTGTCCATCCTTCTCGACCAGGTTGACAAGGAGACCCAAGATGGCCACCAGAAAATCCAGCTCTTGATCAGTTAAACGACCTTCGTTCTGATGTTCAAGTACTGCAGAATTAAGCGATGTGGAAGATGAGTCGAACGACGGGAAGTGGTCAGCAATCAGTGAAGACATAGTCTCCAACCCCTTGCATCCAGCAACTTGCCGACATCCCACAGGGTTTTCATTCGTTAGATTCATCAGAACCTGCCCAGACAGAAGAACAAAATGTAATTAGAGAAACTGCTAAGCTCCAACATTCACGGGTGAAATGTATTAGGGAGATAAATTTCGTTTGTAATTATCACATTGTCCTTATTGCTTATTATTATTGTCTAATGAAGCTGCAATTGAATAGTTACTAAGTAGAGAGGAACCATACCTTTACTGATGTAAGAAGACACTCAGATAGAAGAGTAGAGCATTCTTCATCTGAAACACTGGAATTCGAGCCCTTCTGGGAAGAACACTGTTGTTTACTTGAGTCTTCATTGAGCTGTTTACTAAATTCACTTTGAATCGTCATCACACCGAAGGGATCCTCGTGGTTTTGGCGTTCTTTCACAGGCTTTCTCATAGCTGGAATTCGAGATTTTTTCGGTTTACCATACTTCGCATCCCACTTCGAGGGCTCAAAGTCATCACCATCAAATGCAAAGGGATCTTGGCTATCGAAGAGTTCGCACATGGAATCTTTTGCAGAATCATCAACGTCAACATCATACTTTGACCTCAACCCATTACAGCTCCTCGATGTTTCACTGCTTGAACTGAACATTGATGAGCGAACTCTCATCTTCAGTAGGTTACTGTCGTCCATGGTAGCTGCTTCTCTAGAAACAGAGAGCACTCGCTGTGCAATTGATTTGTGTGAAGTCTGAGAGCCCTTTTCCAATGAGGTCCCTTCTGTAATGTAGCAATCTGATTCTGACGAGCTGATGCATATCACTCCATCACTGTCTACTGTTAAATGTGAATGACAACCATGTTACAAACAGACAAGAAGAGAGACAAGGAGAGAGCAAATGGCAAAAGGGCCCACCTTTGTGGTCATTATTACTTCCACTGGAGAGGATGAAAGGGCTTCCATTAGCAGAGGTAGCAGAAGTTCTAAGCAGATAGAGTCCTATAGATCAATGGATATACAGCCAATGTTAAAAATAAAAATAAAACTAAAATTGAAGGGGTGAACTATAACATGCAAAACAAGAAGAAAAATAGATTATTAGTACCTGATAAAATCTTGATCACACTTATGACAAGTTTGGTGAAAGATATTCGGCAACCATGAGAATCAGAGTTTCTTTTCATCGCAAGTAGATGGTCCTATGTTATCGCAAAAGAACAAACTAAAACAATCAAAATCTGACACTCGCAAAGGTTACAATAGGGTGGGATTGGCTTCCGTTTTGGTTAACTGAAACCAGTAGGCATGTGTTTGTCAAACTAAATAAAACAGTACAGAAATTTGGTTGAACATAACCAATATTCGCTTTTGGTTTACATTGGCCAATATTTTGGTTATTTCAATCCCAAACCTAAAATATCTCAAATCAGAACAAAGCCAAAACTGAAACCAAATTATTTGACCAAAAAATATGAATATGGTTTTGGATTCTGTTCACTAGAAACCAATTTCCAGGGCTACTGGGCATTGGACAAGACCACAAACATGTAGAAAATGAGTTATACCTGGTTGTCTTTACTCAAGAATGTAGCATTTTCCATGATCTTCAAGCATTTCAAAAGGGTTACGAGGCTTGGCAGGACCAAGACATCTTGCGCACTCTGAGAAGAGGATGAATTTTGCTGCTCCAAACTCTGCATTGACATTCGTGATTCACAAGTGGGCAACATATATCAAGATAGATAACTTAACCAAAATAAATAAGTCTCGAAGAAACTCTTAGCCCTCAGTTTTAGCAACACCAACCAGCCAACAAAAGTATATGTATCTCCATGTCTAAAGCAGTAGGAGCCTCCCATGATTTGATAGATTGATTCAAGCAACATGTATCTAAGTACGTATAGGGAAGGGCCAATTCTAAGAAGAAGAAAAACAGACATAGCTCACACCTCAATAGCAGAGTGGCAGCTCATTGCAACTTCAAAGACAGCATCAAGTCCTCCAAGTTCTCGCAGCTTCTCCTTGAAATTTCCATCCATCTTCCTTACCCGACCCGATGTATCTGAATGAACGCGATGAATGCAAAAAAAAAAAAAAACAATACTTGTGCTCATCAGTTAAAAAAACAGGTTTTTGAAGTTATGGAATTCAAGTCTCGGTGTCCACAAATTAACAGTCAGATAGTTAGCCAAACAGGTATGCACTTGTAGAAAAACTTGCAATTCAGAATCTGAGTCAGGATTTTGGAATATTTTGCTTCCTGCATAAATCACTACATATCCGAAAAGCGACAGAAGCGTTACTTAATAATTGCAGGGTCAAAATCGCAAGAAGAAAAAATCATACGGAATTAAGTTAAAACAATACCAACAGGCTCAAACTAGCAAGGCCTACAGTATATCACTTGAATATCTTATGATTAAAAGATGAAAATCACAGAAAGGAAGACAACAAAAGGATTCGAAAAAAGTTCATGGTCTCCAAATAATTAAATCTCACAAGCACACGTGAATAACGTATCACGCTTAGAAATAAAAAGCCATGAGAATTATATAGAACTAAAGTATTTTCAACCCATCAAATAGCGAGTAACAGTACCTTCAAGTGATATCTTGGATAAGCAAGCCTTCTCCATAGTCAACAGGGCGATGTACTTTGATGTCAACTCTGGCCTCTCAGCTCCCATATTGTTCCCAGACTGAGACTTAATGACCTTACCACACACAAGAATTTCCTCAACTTTGGCGACAATAGCAGAAGAACTTGAATCTGCCATCTTGCTTGTATCACGCAAGATATTAGTATCTCCGCGTATCGACAAAATCTTACTGCCTAAACTTCGGGTTTTGTCCTGGCTAGCCTTAGAATGTACCGGTTTCAGCAATTGAAGCAAAAAAAGAATACAACTGGGTGATTCCAACATGTGGTCATCTTGTCCCTGATAGAACAAAAGCATTATTACAGTTTAAAACCAGTTAGATGAGGGTTGAGGTAAGAACATAATAATCAAACACGAAAGGAAGCAATTAGCAGGTACTGCTGGTGATAGAGATAGCTTCAGACACCAGCGTCCTTTTCAAGGCTCCTAATCAGCGGCCAAATTGTTGTAAAGAATGTATGGCTCTTATAAACCAACGCCAACAACTCAAGGAAGTTAGTCCCACTTTACCCACCGCGCCAGTCTTAATTTTCAAAATGAACAATGTTGCTTATATTCTATTACATAGCAAGGACTAGACTTGTTCTGCTTCTGACCAGGCAGCACCTTAATTCCAAAAACTAATCTGGCGTGAAAAGAATAACTACTGTGGAAGCATCTTTATAATACTATGCTTTAAGGTATACACCACTAGTAAATTATTCAATGGAAGTAGGCACTTACATCACTGGTTAAGAGAAAGAAAAGAGTTGAAGCTGCCAGGTTGCTGGGCACATCATCAAAGCTAAGACCCAAGACTGCATCTATTATGGTTTTCACTGTCCTGAAAGTAGGCAACTAGAAAAGATCAGCACAAATGTAGCGGATCTGATGCATAAAATGTTAATAGGTTAACTGTTCCACAAGGAGGAAAATAGTTTATGTGCTACGCCTACAAGTGCTACAAGGTCTGGCAAGTGTGCATTGGCAAACTACTCAGTACTGTCAGTAATACTCTGAGGATTTCTGTACATCAAGCTGGCGGTCTCTAAGAGTACATGAGAAAGGGGTTCCAGGAAAAGAGAGGTAGAGAAAATCACAATACTCATAGTTTCACAATTCATAACCCAACTCTTACTCTATAATACACACTAATATAACACTGTAGTCTCCCACTGGCATTTCCAGAACTGGATTCCATTTTGCTTAGAAGTCTACTACTTTGAGCATTAACACAATGACTTTCCGCACATATTAGCGTTAATATCCTCATCGAAGGCAAACAAACAGAGCTCCATAGTTCACTAATGCAAAGGCTGCCCTAGCTCTCCCTCTTTAGTTCACTAAAAGACTTAACAAACTGCAATCTCCAACTGGGAATTTCCAGCAACGAATTGCAAGATGACATCTTATACATTTTAGGGATCACATCCTGTCACCGCAGCTCCTCAAGTCACTCACTCAAAGGCAGACCTAGGCACTACTTCACTAGTTCAAGAAGTTTAACCCCCGGAAACTCCAACCAAGAATCCAAATTGCAGAATGCCTAAATTCTCGAGAAACCTAAGCCAGATAACCCACGAACCAAATTTCAAGAATGCTTCGAATTCGAAGCTACTGACATCAATTCAACTAATCCGAAGCAAAACCATCAAAGGGTTTTTTTCAAAATTTCAATTTAGAGCCGCATACCCTTGAGCCCTAAGAAGTCGCCGCTGCTGCGCCGTGCCGCAAATCGACAAGAGGGATAACAAGCTCGCCCTCCTGATTCTCACTGGCTGCCCTCTCCTCAACCCATCAAGCGCGAAATTAACCTCGTCGACGTGCTCCATCATCTCTCCGAACTCCTGCGCCTCCATTAGTGTAGAAGTCATCGGAACCCACGGCCTCGCGTCCCCTCCACCCCTCTTCTCCAACTCCCCGTTTCTTGGTTTCTTCGACTTCCTGGAAGCAACGCCGTTGGCAGGGACCGAATTTTCCTGGGAGGAGGAAGGATTGAACCCGTACGGATCGGGATCGAAGGAGGATGAGGCGGCGGAGGGCCAGAAAGAAGACGATTCTTGGGAAGGGAAAGGGAAGTCGTAGAAATCCTGAGATGGGCTCTCTTGGGAGAGGGAGAAAGAGTCCCCGCCGAATGCGTGCCCAGCAAGGTCGTCGTCGTCGTCAGGTGAATCGGAAAACGACCTGCTCCGGCGGCCGTAAGTCCTGACGATCATCGCTTTGAATTTGAAATTTCTTCCCCTTTGTAGTTGTTTTATCTTCAATACGAGGAAAAGCGGATTGCTGGGTTCGAGGGTGTTTTGGGAAACGGAACAAAGATGAGCTTTTTGAAAAAAATGGAGGTGGGGTGAGAGCTAAGGAAAGAAAGAAGAGTGGAGCAGCGGAGGATTCAAGACGGCCGGAGATGGAGAAGAAGAAGACGGAAGGAAGGTGTAGCCGTTTGGTGGTTAAAGATGGGGGGATTTACTTTTGTTCTGACGTGGGTCGGGTCGGGTCCGGTGCCTGCTGGAGCTCCGCCGGTCTTTTGTTGGTTGCGGTCTTGCGGCCTGCGGGCTTGCTGCGGCAGGCGACAGCTGTGACCAAATGTAAGGGTGATTTGGTAATTCGATGTGTTCGGAACGACACATATTTAACGCGTGTATTTCTTGTGATGATGCTTCCGTAACCGGTTCACGATTAAATTTCACAACATGCAATGCATAGTGAAGTTCACATTTGGGCGGATCGTGTACAAACATAAATACTCACATGGTACTAACATAAAGTAGTTGATACTCGAACAGAGTCGAAGACACCTTTTACGATTCATTTTATGTTTTTTTTTTCTCGAGAAATTATAAGAGAGAACACTATCAGAAACATCCCAATTTTTTAGATCCTCAAAACAGGAGACTGCAATAGTGACTCCATTTCTATAAAGTTTTATGTGTCATTCTATGTCAGTCCATTATAAATTTATAACAGCTCAAGAAATCGCCCTACATGCTACAACATCTATAAGGGAAGAGACCATCAGAATCGTAGATGACAATCCAATTGGTGGCATGGACATCAAGAAGCTCTACAAAGAAGGGGTTCACATTGACATGATGGAGGGACTCTAACACAAACAACCAAACGTGATGACCAGCAAACACCACGGTGGACGACGACATCAAAGTACATTCTTAAGAAAACATCGGGATAAGGAAGTCACAAAACGAAATCATATGGAGGAAGTTGAGGAGGGAGAGGGACATGACCGAGAGGGATCGAAGAGGAAAATATCAAGATCAATTGAGTAAATTAGGCACAAATAAATAAATAAAAAAACAGACTTGTGATTGTGTAAGCTCAAACCCACATTATAACTAGTCTTCCAAATTCTCCATATAATACAAATATACTGAATAATTGGAATTGAAAGCGCTCATGACGCATGAAATGATGTCACTGAAGATTGAAATTGGTAGTTTGGGTCAAATAAATAAAATCTCATAAACACACCAGAAACTTAATGTTGGCAACAAGGGATGACAGTTTGTTGGATTGTTTGAAGCTCAAACCCAACCTATCGGGTGCACCAGAATAACACCAATAAAATAGCCACTGGATTTTAGAAGAGAAAATCCAACTCAATGAGTGCTCACGGGTGCATGGATACCTATGAGTTCACCGATATACCACAAATAATTTCTCTGAACACTCACATCGTAATATTATAGAATTTTTTCCTATTAATATATTTTGATATAGACCAATAACATGTATAAGTTATCCATACTATTAGACCTATATTGTTAGAAGGACTAATAAGATTTATAAATTATCCATATTATTAAAACTATGTTTGTAAGTTGAAGAAGTCTTTGTATGGATTTAAGCAATCTCCGAGGCAGTGATACGATAGGTTTGATAGCTACATACTTGAGCTAGACTACATCAAAAGTCCTTGTGGTATTCAGCAAAGCCCTTGAATACTCTTTTTGACACAAGAGAGCTACATCCAAAAGATATTGTCCAGGTTTTGCATGTCTTCAGCAAAGCCCTTGAATACTCCTAGTGGTTCAAATGTTCATCTATCCTCAGTTTATGCACCGCAGATAGAGGTTGAGAAGGAGTACATGTCGAGAGTCTCATATGCTAGTGTAATAGGTAGTTTGATGTACATTATGGTTTGCATTATACCAGATCTTGCACATGCAGTTAGAGTTGTCAACATATTCATGTTGCAACCTGGGAATTAACATTAGCGGGCTGTGAAGAGGATCTTTCGGTACCTTAGGGTACGTCTAATGTGGGATTTTGCTTCGAAAGTGATATAGAGTGCTTAGTGGTTGGTTATTCATATTCTAATTATGTCGGAAATGTTGACATGAGGATATCCATGACCAAATATGTATTCACTCTTGAGAGTTATGTGTTGAGTTGAAAGCAATTATGCAGTCGACAATGACATTGTCTACTACTGAAGCAGAGTACAGGGCGTTGACAGAGGTTGTCAAGGAGGGAATATAGTTGAATGGACTGATTGGTGATCTGGGTGTACATCATGATCAGACGATGGTGTACTGTGACAGTTTGAGTAAAAAATGCTTGGCCAAGGATTAAGTCCAGCAGGACTAAGTACATTGATGTGAGGTATCATTTCTTGACGATAGAGAGGAGAATTAAAATTAAGAAGATTGGCACCGCGGAGAATCTTGTTGACATGTTCACGAAGTCGGTTCCACATGTCAAGTTCTAACAATGCTTGGATTTTCTAATTTTTTTGAATGGGTGAATCAGCATTAAGGGGCATTGATGGCGGGAGGGAGGAGAGGATCAAAATACATTAGACATTTCAAAAGAGAGGATTCAAGTCAAGGTGGGGATTTGTTGATATGATTAGAATCGGACATCTGGTTGCGACTGGAGACGAGGGTCAACGCCCTCGATCCACGGAGTATGGGCTCTATGATGTTTGGGTTTCTGTTGTGGGTCTGGTTTGTAATCTTATTCTTTTACCATATTGGATTAGGGTTAGACCACATGGAGAAGTACTATAAATACTTCTCATACTACTATGTCATTTGTATCTCTTCGAAGTATAGTGAAACTGACTCTCTCTTGTACGTGGACTAACTAACACACATTGTGTTACTGAACCACGTAAATCTGTGTGTCTTGTTCGTTTATTACTTACGTTTTCTTGCTTTATCGATTCTCCGCTTTCCCGATCTGCAGAGAAACTGTCATGACAAAACATAGTACATATTCAGACACTTTTGCAACCAACATTCATTCCATAAGAGATACTACATGTTGCAACTCACATTTGGAACAAACAAATTACATATTCCTCATGTTACAACTAGTATTCAACAAGTTTACAACCCTATTGTCGTGAATTATCAACTTGATATATTGAATTCATTACATAAAGACACAAAGTGTTGCAAGTTGTTTTTGAAACAAACACAAGACATATTGAATAAGTATACAACTAGTATAAGAACTTTACTATCTAGTGTTCATTACATCGTTAATGTTCATCGTTGTGTCATGTGTGTACATTACTATCTAGTGTTCATTACAACTGGTTGAATAAGTATACAACTAGTTCTCATGAATTTATTATTTGATATTTTTTAGGTGATCATTACATATATATTATATAATATCGAAAAGTCTATGATGATCATCAAATTAGCGATCCACGATTGATATTATACTAATAAAATTGTTATTCACATACTACCATTTTAATAATAGTTATAGTACATTTACTAAATTCTTTTTTTACAAAAAATAAATTGCATGTATTTGGAAGGAATGGCTTGGGGGGCTAGTCTCATTGGAGTATGGATGGTCAACCAAATGAGCTGGGCATGGGCCATGTCCAAGACGCAGTGTATTCCTTTGAAGGGGGCTTTGTGTAGAGAGTAGAGACTCTCATGCGGCCATAGGCTGATTATTCATGATGCCTACATGGTGGGATTGTTTTGGCTAGAGGAGAGCGCCTCGAAGGGCTTTTTGATCCATCGATGGTGGAAATAATAGCGTTTATGGAAGCAGTTCATTGGTGTGTTGCTAGAGGACTAAATTCGGTGGTACTCCAAGGGGATGCTAAAGGCATTATTGACAAAATCAACGCCTAATGTGTGAACGATGCGAAAGGGGGTGCACTTTTTTGTGAGATCTAGGCTTTGCGCCAGGAGTACCGAGGAGTGTTAGCACAGTTCATTGGTAGACAAAACAATATGGTTGATTTTTGTGATTGGCTCCATTCAAAGATGTAAACATTTGATTTATGCTTTCTCGATAATGCAAACATCTTTGGTTTAAAAAAAACTGCTAACCTCAACCATTTCCTTTATTAATTAATGTTTCTAATTCTTTTTCGATTAGGTTAATTTTTCTAATTCTAAGTACATTCCATGTTCACCAATAAAAAGTTGGAAAAAAGAAAAAGGAAAATTGTCAAGAAAAGAAAAATTCAACGAAAAGAAAAAGAAATTGCTAAGAAAAACAGCAAAACCAAGAGGGGCGATTACGTCTTTCTTCCCCCATATTTCCGCTTATTTAATTGTGCAATTTGCTTTTCGTTTTCTTTGCACCGCATTCGTGGTATCAATTATCATCATCGTCTACGTCTTTCTTTCTTTCTTTCTTTAGAAATGTGTGGTATTGTTTTCTGACCTTTCGCAATCTGGATCTAGGGTTTACCCCTCCGCTTCTCTTCTCCCCGGCCCCTCGTCGACACTTTCCTCCACCACCAGCTTAAAGCCTTAACATCACAGCTTGAACAGAGACACATACAAACAACAAATTACAGATCGCAAACCCTAGCTCCACCGCTTCCCCTACCCCCGCCGTCGCCGACGACCTTTTTTCCCCGTATTACGAGACCTGAACCTTGGTAATATCCAAAGCAATCGAAGAAGATCGATTCCGATCGTTGGCGGTGCGATTCGGAGTTAAACCAACGTGGGTTCTTCGTCATCGAATCATATTACTATCATCTTAATTCTTAAACACGATTTGAGCCTTAAAAAGGAAAATTCCCCCCCTTCCATCTTTTCCTTTTCTCTTGTTTTCTTTCTCTCTGCTGAGAAACTTGTCGATCGATTCGATGTGGACGAAGGCCAGGACGATGACGAGACTTGGGTTTCCGATTGACTGACTGTGGGATTTGACGCTTGAAAATGGAAACAAGTCTCCACTGAAAACCTAGGCTTTAAAAGAAAGGAAATCGAAACCCCCTTGACCGATTTTGTCGGTGAAGAGATGATGGCGAAATCGGCGGTGGTGTATAGAGGGGAGGAGTTGATGGGGGAGGTAGAGATTTACGCGCAGCAAAAGGAAGGAGAAGTGGTGGTGGACGGAGAGAACAAGAGCTTCAACTTGAGGAACAAGAACAGGGTAATTGACGAGATACTGGTTTCCGGCAGGGAAATCAGAATAACCCTCTTCTCCCCGGCGAGTGAGAGGTGCCCGCCGCTGGCGGTGTTGCATACCATTACCTCGACTGGGATACTATTCAAAATGCAGCCCAGGAATCCGCCGCTGCTTCAGCAGCAGCAGCAGCTCACGCCGCTGCATTTCCTGCACTCCACACTTATCCAAGAGAGCAAGGTAATAGCAATTCAAACCTAAGGAAGAGCTTTAAAAGAAACTTGGGAAATGAGAGATTGTTAACTGAGTCTGAATACGTGAGAGGAACTTTTGGGGTATCTTTTTTCTGTTTGTAATGTGACTAATTGGAACCAACTGTATGAATGTGGAACATTATCCTGATCAGAAATGTTGACTTTGCATCAAGCTGGGAGATAGCGGGAGTGATGGTGAGTTCATAGATTTTAGAGTGAGTGTATTGGTATTGTTGCTCTGGTGTCCAGAAACTTGAGCTCACCATTTGTGTTGTAATATGGGGACTGTCCCATGGAGCTGGGCCTTAGGAGTAGATGATAGAGATGGGATGTAGGAGTATAGGAATTATATTGACATGAAACTTAGCCGGTGTAGTGTAGCTCAGTATCTTTGAATATGCAGAAGCTAGTTTTGGTGATGGTTATGGTGCTGAAAGTTGTTTTTTCCCCTTGCTTCTTTTTTGCTTAAGATACTGATTGCTTAAGTATGATGTTTTATTCAGACTGCAGTGATGCGGGTAGGAGGGGATGAGCTCCATTTGGTCGCAATGCATTCCCGAACTAGCGAAAAGCCATGTTTCTGGGGATTCCTCATTGCAGCAGGGCTGTATGACTCATCCCTTGTCATGCTGAACTTGAGATGCCTTGGCATTGTATTTGATCTTGATGAAACTCTAATCGTTGCAAACACGATGAGATCTTTTGAAGATAGAATCGATGCTCTGCAGAGGAAAATAAGCACCGAGGTAGACCCACAGCGGGTTTCAGGTATGCTGGCTGAAGTGAAGCGTTATCAGGATGACAAGAACATATTGAAGCAATACGCTGATAGTGATCAGGTGACTGATAATGGGAAGGTGTTGAGAACTCAGTCTGAGATAGTCCCTCCAGTTTCCGACAGCCATCAGCCTATAGTGCGTCCTTTGATTCGGTTACCAGACAAAAACATTATTCTGACTCGCATCAATCCTCAGGTATATGACCCATGTGTTTATATAGTTGAATATGTGGTTGCATCTTGGTCTTCTGCTGCCTTTTTTAGAAGGTAGTCATCATATAAATAATATGTGTTACATCATTACATTTCTCTGAGCTGGAGCCATTTATTTGCTTTCCTCCAACATTGATGGGAGAAGTTGCTACTTCGCTTACATTTCTGTATATGCATTGAGTTTTGCAGATGATCTGCAACATAGGCATTTTATGCTCACATCTTCTTTATTCGCATAGAAAGTTCCTGGCATGTGTATTATGTGTACCTAAGTATGGGCTTATACTTTTATCTGTAGATTCGTGACACAAGTGTTCTTGTGAGGTTGAGGCCTGCATGGGAGGATCTGAGAAGCTACTTGACTGCTAGAGGTCGTAAGCGTTTTGAAGTGTATGTCTGCACAATGGCTGAAAGAGACTATGCTTTAGAAATGTGGAGGCTACTTGATCCAGAGTCACATTTAATAAACTCAAAAGAACTTTTGGACCGCATTGTGTGTGTCAAGTCTGGTAAGCACCATGGCATAGCTAATCAACTGTTTCTCACATTTTGGCTTCTTTCCTCTCTTACTTCGACAATTTATAACTATAATTGCATATTGATGACCCCTTATAGCCGGTGTTCATATTGTTGCTATGCATTATTAGGTCTAAGGAAGTCTTTGTTCAATGTCTTCCAAGATGGAACCTGCCATCCTAAGATGGCATTGGTGATTGATGATCGTTTGAAAGTTTGGGATGATAACGATCAATCTCGGGTGCACGTTGTTCCTGCATTTGCTCCATATTATGCTCCCCAAGCTGAAGTATGTTCTCTATTGCCTTTGTCCTATGCATCTTTTGTTCTAATCTTCCCTTTGGCACCTAGTTGGAAACTGATTCTATGTATTACCCATTTGGTCCAATGTGCCCCCTCAGATTCATCTGAGCATGCCATAATCATCTCCTTGTATTGCAGGCAAATAATGAAATTCCAGTTTTATGTGTGGCAAGAAATGTTGCATGCAATGTTAGAGGCGGTTTTTTCAAGTAGGTTAACATTCTGAAGTCGGTTGGCCCATATTTGAAGCTGTTAAAATGTGCCCAAACTCGTCATTTTATACTTATTTCGACACGACCTGATCCTTAATTGTTAAACAGAGATTTTGATGAGGGTCTTCTGCAAAAAATACCCGAGATTTCATACGAAGACAATATTTCAGATATTCCGTCTCCTCCCGATGTGAGCAATTACTTGGTTTCAGAGGTTAGTCATATAGTCTTTTCTGTCTGGAGTAACTCTTCCTGGCCTACCCATTACAATTTCTTTGTTCTGAGAAGTCATATTGTCCATACAAGGATGACCCCTCAGCTTCAAGTGGAAACAGAGATCCCCTTTCTTTTGATGGTATGGCAGATGCTGAAGTTGAACGGCGACTGAAGGTTTCCTACTCTCTTCGTTGTCTTTCTGCCATTTAGATTGGTTAAGCCCATTGCTCGTGTAGACAATGTAGGGTGTCCGCCTAACCATTTTGATATTTCGGTGTCACCAAGTTAATTTTAGTTCCATTTTCCGTGGACTTCTATAGGAAGTAGCTTCAACTTCTTCAGTCTTACCTCCAGCAGTTCCCACCCTGGTATCATCTCTTTTCACGATGGCGTCTTCTTCACGATCAATTCCACTGCCAACTACACAGCCATCTGTCATGCCATTTTCTAATGCACAGTTTGCTCAGGCACCTTCGTTAGTTAAACCTTTAGGTCAGGTTGGCCCTGCAGATCCAAGTTTCTCTGGTTCTCCTGCTAGAGAAGAAGGTGAGGTTCCAGAATCCGAGCTAGATCCTGATACGAGAAGGAGACTACTTATATTGCAACATGGGCAAGATTCGAGAGACTTGCCACCTGTTGAGCCTCCATTTCCAGGAAGACCTCAGGTACAAGTTGCAGCCCCACGTGTGCAATCTCGTGGAAGTTGGGTTCCGGCAGAGGAAGAGATGAGTCCTAGACAGCTGAACAGACCAATACCTAGAGAATTCCCGCCGGAGCCTGTGCCAATGCATCTTGAAAAACACCGACCTCATCATCCCTCATTTTCCCCTAAGGTTGATACTTTTATTCCACCTGATAGAATGGTTCATGACAATCAAAGAATGCCAAAAGAGGTATGTTGACCGCTACTTTGGTATCAGGTCTTGCCTAAATTTAGTGGTATTTCTCTGACTTCGTAATGATTGGCTTCATTTATACACAGGTACCTTACAGAGACGACAGGCCAAGGTTAGGCCACACCTTGTCCAGTTACCATTCTTTCCAAGGTCAGTTCTGGTGATAAGCTTCATTTCCTACAGCATGCTATGGCATTGAGATGATCCTTATGTAGGGGTGTGCAACGGTTTGGTTCGGTCCGGACCGGACCAAACTCATGAGAACCGCGGTCCATTAGTGAAAGACATGTTAGGACCAAGGACCGGACCATTCTTGCATTCGGTCCATTTGGTCCGGTTCGGTCCGGTCCAAATATGAGCTCGGTCCACCATTTCTTCAGTAATTATAAAATTCATGAGGACCAAGGACCGGACCGCATTTTACCCGGTCTGGTCTGGTCCGGTCTTAACAACGGTTTGGTCCGGTGTGGTCCGGTACGGACCGGACCATTGCACACCCCGTTATGTGGATATGTTTATTTGTTTTCTTCCACTTTTCATGTATGTTGTTCCAATCTCATGACATCTTGGTTGTTTCCTGTGTTTAAGGTGAGGCTATACCATCGAGTCGTTCATCTAGCAACAGGGACCTTGACTTTGAAATGGAAAGACCTGTTTCAACAGCAGAATCTCCCGTGAGAGTGTTGCAGGATATTGCAGTGAAGTGTGGTACCAAGGTCTGAAATATTTGAGTTGGGACTGCTATTTTGATGCTGTATTGTATATCTTATGATGTTTACATTTCCTGTATCTCATTGCTCAATTTGTTTGCTGCAAAACTACAGGTGGATTTCAGGCATTCGTTGGTTGCTAGCAGGGATCTACAGTTCTCCACTGAGGTGTGAAGGTTTTCTAGGCTCATGAATTCTTGTTTTTTGTGGGAAATCGCTGGTAAATTCTTTGGGTTGCAGTGTTCTAGATTTTTGACTTCTACGTGCTTACCCATACTTTTGCAGGTTTGGTTTGCAGGAGATAAAGTTGGTGAAGGTATTGGCAGGACTAGAAGAGAAGCCCAACGTGTGGCAGCTTTTGTTTCTCTGAAGACTCTTGCTAGTATGATTCTGACTAGTTAGTTTATCAAAAAGATCTCTTTATGCCTGATGTTACATCTTTCATTTATTTGCTTTCAATACTTACAGCAGTGGGACTAGAATCTGAAGTGGATCTGATTTGATTTTAAGAAGCTTTTAACCCACATCCTAGCATCTTTTATGAGTTGTTGCTTTGTGTTCTCTTACTCATGTTCATGTTGAGTTCGTTAGACTTTATTGAATGGTTTGTCGTTGTTGCTTATTTACTCCACAATAAAGGAAAAACACACTTAACAGATGTTTGTGGTAGTGGTAATGTCTTTCCTTATTTGAAGCTCAACAGGTATTTACTCTAATACGAGAAGCCATAGGATCTGTTTCATCTTCCCATGTCTTCTAACTTGAAGTATCTTCCAGTCCTTTATTTTTTGGAAACATTACATCCTGTTCTTGTAATCTGGACTTGAATGACTTGATGTTCGTTCAGCATTGAAAATGGAGTCACTTCATGCCGTTGGAAATCTGACATTTGTCTGCACCATGTTTATGCAAGGTATGTATACTTCACGTTCGATGCCAGATTCTGTATCTTTGCATGGAGATGCAGGGAGATACTCTGGTGTCAACGAAAATGGTTTCTCTGCTAATGTTGGTTCATTTGGCGATCAATCAGCTCCAAAGGATGATATTGTATCGTTTCCTCCCCTGGATCCGAGGTTTGAAGGTTCTAAGAGATTCTCGGGTTCAGTTACTGCTCTCAAAGATTTTGTAAGTGCCAAAAGTTTCCAACTCTATTTTCTTATTTATTATTGCAGAGTAGATATGATAAACTTCCTGTTAAGCTTACGTTCTGGTATTTAATATATCTTCAGTGCATGATGGAAGGCCTTGGGATGAGATTTCTCCCAGAGACTCCCACGTCAGTTAATTCTGATGAAGTCTATGCACAGGTTTGGATGATGACCAGTTCTTATGTTTCTTATTCAAATACAACTTGAGAATGTTTAGCATGTACCGTGCTTTTTGCGAGTTGAGTGAGTTGTGCAGGGCGGTTTTATTTTCATTGGTAAGTTGGAATGATAGAAGGAAAAGAACGGAAAGAGAAGGAACCTTTGATACTTGGATGATTTTTTATTAAGACAGTCCTCTAGGATGAGCGAATGGGTTGAGCTATATAGCCGCTAGAGGTTTATATTTTGTTTATTTTATCAAGTATATTGAAGGATTGTGCACCGGTTCTTCATTATCCTAGGCCTTTTTACTCCATTTGTGACGTTTTCATTTGATGGGTCTTTTAACCTGCACTTATTGAACTGCCTCCACCTATTAGGTTGAAGTAGATGGACAGCTTATGGGGAAGGGCATTGGATCTACATGGGATGAAGCTAGAATGCAGGTAAAACAATTTTCCGTGCCATTCAATACTGACCTTTCAACTGATGAAATGTGATCTATCATATATCTGATGTTTTATTTGTAATTTGCTTGTCTGTCAGGCTGCTGACAAGGCTCTTGGAAGTCTAAGAACAATGTTTGGTCAATCAACACCGAAGCGTCAGGTCTCCCCTAGGTTTGTTCTGCCTCCCTGTCTCATATCTGATGTATGGCTCCCAAGAATTTGGCTTTTTGCCCAAGTGCACTCAGTGAGTGAAATTTGCTTTCCCTATAATTCACCACTTTCATCTTTTCTGATAATTGTGTTTCTTTTCCCTGGACATTTGGATATAGGTCCTTGCAAGGGATGTCAAACAAACGTATGAAGCCAGATTTCCCACGAATGGTGCAGCAGCGGATGCCTGCTTCTGCTCGTTACCCAAAGAATGCCCCTGCTGTCCCTTGAAGAACCTTATTATGATTCCCGCTTTTTCCAGTTTTGATCTAGAGAAGCAAGCAAGTGTTGAAAAAGATCCTAATCTACCAGTTGCATAGTTGAGGGGCGTTTGGGTTGCCTTTTTCCATTGATGAAGGATCTGAATTCAACGGAAGCTTATGGACTGTTTGCTCTTTGAGGCAGATTGCAGTCTGTCTGTCTGTCTGAAGCTCTGTCCCGAACTCAACAGGTTCAGTTGCTTCTGCCTTGATTGAATGTTCTTCCTCCGCCACTATCCGGCAGCAGCCTTTTTGCCCAATCGTCGGTGTGATCAATGCCAGTTGCGAATCGTGATTGAGGAATGCCATCCATCTGCAAAGCAGGCAGTGGCCGGAAGAAACATATTTGATTTCGAAGATGTTTATGTATATTGATAAACATGAGCAGGGAAGCAGCAATCGGGCAAATCGCAGCCAAGCTCCATTTCCAGACCACTGATCCCAACCTCTTCGACGGTGTTCGTGTAAAGCCCTGTAGATTAACCATGGAAGCTGCATGGAGTTGCTGCTTGCGGTGCAGTTCAGCTTTGATCTCGATCATTGTGCAGTGGTGTCACTTTAAGGTTGTAACCGCGCGGCAGATTGAAATGTCCTCCATGAACATGTGGAGAGCTCTGTAGTATACCAGAATTGCTAGTCTTGTAATGTAGGTGTATTGTTATCTGGCTTGATTGCCCAGAATTGGTTGTAGGGTATCTTTTAGACGGGGAGAATATTAATGGGCTGGATCTTTGTAATAGTTATAAAGCCCATAGTGACGAGCAGGCCCATGATCATTGGCAATACCCGCCCATCGGAAATGCGCAAGGGGTATAAGTGTAATTTGATATTTAGATTATGTTAGTGTCGTTGTAAAGAAGAGAGCCAGGAAATGTTCTCTTTGCAGAATTTTTCTGGATTTAATATCAGTTTGTAATGTAAATTCGTTTCATTTTAATTTTATTCTAAGAATCGTTTTAATTATCTTAAGTTAATTCTTCTCACTGAGATCTGTTTTGGAAATAAAACAAAGGACAACTGCCACTGAGTTGGGAACAAATTTAGAATGTGCCAATGAATTACCGGCAGAATTTTGGTATAGAAATGTTCGATTGAGATTAGATTATTTTTCATTCTAAGAGTGATAGTAGACTATAATCTCCTCTCATTAGTTTCTCGCTAGTTATGAAACTGTGTTTTATATAGTATTAATTAATCTTACTAAATTCTAATTTGATAATCATTTATATCTCACAGACCGAAGTGGAAGACTAGAAAACCTAAGTAAATAGAAGTATAGAACTATCTCCCTTAAGTACTTACTATCTTCCTGTCATGCAAGAATTGAATAAAACGCTCACAACCTGTTATCAGACGATCACGAGATTTGGAAATACGATGCACAATTGTGGATTGTAACTCGAAACCAGATGTGGTTTCGTGTTACAACACAAAGGGACAATGGCCTCAATACGACGTCGGCCTGGTCAGGTGATCCTCGTTTGGAGGTGAAAACGTAAAAACATTTCCCCTTTCATCTCTGCGTCTCGTCACCGCTGTGTATATAAAAAGGTCAAACAACCGCCTTAAAATAGCAACACTTGTCTTCAAATAGTTTTGAAGCTTCCACTGCATTTCTAGAGAGAGAGAGAGCGTACGAGCTTCTATTCTATCACAGCCTGGGAGGTGTAGAGAGAGAAAGAGGAGGAGCTGTTGTGCAGAGAAGAGAGAGAGAGAGAGAGAGAGAGAGGCAGACATGGCGGCCTTCGAAGGATACGGAATCGACGGAGAAGCAGCGGTCCAAGCTTCGAACCACGGGTCCTTCCACGACGACGACGGCGGCGACCAGGAGAGCTACTCCAACTTCGGCTCCTACTCCAACTTCACCAGCGGCACGCCGGAGTTCTCCACCGGGGACATCCCCGTGGATCAGCCCGCCGCCGACGCCTCCCCCGACGGATTCGGATTTTCTTCAGCTGAGCTGGATCCGAACCCTGGCTACTCACAGGGCCCCTTCGGCTCGATCCACGCCGAGAACGGCAACGGCAATGGCTACGGCGAAGCTGACGAAGGCATCTTCACTTCCGATGGTCCCGTGCTGCCTCCGCCGACTGAGATGGTCGAGGAAGGCGCTGCTCTTCGCGAGTGGCGGCGGTGAGGGTTTTCTCTCTTTTTTTTTTTATTCGAAAATTCCCTGATTGGTTTGTTTCAGCTGCTCGTTGTAGATCCAATCTTCCGTTTCACTGTTTGCTTAGATCTGTGTGTGGAATAGCTTGCTTTGTGAGTTCCAATCCTTCCGCCGCCATTTCTGTGCTGTGCTTCCGAATCATGATGAGGATTTAGAACGCAGAGTTGATTAGTCTTTAGTAGAAAGCTTACTGAAGTTTAGGGGAATCTAGCCGGCGAAAGATCTAGACGATTTCAGATCCAATTTAATTCAATCCTGTGTCCCATGGATAGAGAATAAACTGCTAATGTCTTCAAGCATCCATTTCTGGTTTAGAGTTTGAGATCGAAATTCTGTATTCTTTTGATGAGGGTATGTATGTTAGATCCATGGCTTCATTTTGAAGTCATGGCTCATGGGGTTTGCTGAATTAGTTGTGGTGATTCTTTTGCTTTTCTTGTTGCCATCTTTGCTTTGAGACAGGATTAAATAAACTTCTGCATAGAAGTTGAAATTGGATGTTACCATTTGTGTTTAGAGTTGCACTAGTTCTGCTACGTTATTAAGACATGGAATAGTGACTTGTAATCTAGTGAATATATCGGGTGAATCGTGTTTACTTGTGGGGTGAAAGTAGTAAAGGCTTAATGTAACTTTGATAGTGATAACTTATTTCATATTGATTATAACAGCATGCACTGAGATTTCTGGTTATAATCTGGCAGTCAAAACGCTATCTACCTCGAGGAGAAGGAGAAGAAAGAGAAGGAACTGAGGCAGCAGATAATCGAAGAAGGCGAGAAGTACATTCTCGCTTTCTACGAGAAGCGAGCTCTCAACATTGAGACGAACAAGACAACCAACAGAGAAAGGGAAAAGGTAAAAATCTCTTCACTTCCTGAAATCTTTAGTACCATTTACTACCCTCATTAGCTTTCAACTCGTTAAACGCGGTTCTCAAACCTTGCCTTCTTGTATCAGATTTCCTTGGCCGGCCAGGAGAAATTCCACAAGGAAGCCGACAAGCAGTACTGGAAGGCAATAGCCGAGATCATCCCTCGCGAGGTTCCTAATATCGAGAAGAAGAGGGGCAAGAAGGATCAGGACAAGAAGCCTTCCATAACAGTGATGCAAGGACCAAAGCCCGGTAAACCAACCGATCTCGCCAGGATGCGGCAGATACTCCTGAAGCTGAAGCACACTCCACCGCCGCACATGGTCCCTCCACCACCACCTCCTGCTGCTCCTGCCAAAGACGGGAAGAAGACTGCCGACCCCAAAGATGCCGCCAAGGCCGGGAAAGAACCGGCTTCTGCCTCCACCACCACCAAGGACGCGACTGCTAATGGCACGACTGATCATCAACCAGAGACTCCTGCTGCCACCGCTGCCGAGGAGACTGCCCAGGCCGCTGCAGAACAGGAATCGACGCCGCCAAGTGCCTAGGTTCTGAACCTCCCCTTCCTCTCATCACTCATCTGATTCCATACTTCCTTTTTCTTGTGTATCATCTTTTACAATTCTCCGACGGAGTTTCCCATTTGGGGTCTTTGTGATTCGAGGACCTTATACCTGGATCTGTTCACATGGATCCACCTCCTCGACATCTCGAGGTTTCCTCTCTAGTCCTTGTTCTTCTTTCCCTCTCATTTTTGTGTATTCCCGTGTTGTATGAACGTGTTTTCCTTTTGCTTGTTGTTATTAGTTTGAATAGAGAGACCTACCATATTCTTTTCTCCTATGTTTGTCGCCGTGTCTGGAAACATTTACGTTGCGATCAAACTGTTTTATCATGTAGTGTAGTTAGTTTGGGGTGTTAAGACACTTCTGTGGAATTCTTGAGATTGTCGGATTATTGAAACCCGTGTGTTTGAAATGGATGGATTACATTTGAATTGGTAAATTTGGAAGGTTAGATTATTGGTTACGGTAAGTGGTTGGCATGGTGGTAACGCGATACGTGATGATGAAGTGACAAAATGTTATCCGAGTTCTACATCGACATTGAGATTTTGACAAGTCTTCTTTATTCGACTCGTTGTGACAACGTTAGTCGTGGGTTGGATCTTGGTTGAAAACTGGATATCGAAATAGGCATTCCCCCTTAAAATCTAGATCAAATGGGTTTGTCCATTGTGTTTCTCACGACTGTTAATGATTTTTGGGTTTCATTGGTTTGATTGAAACTGATAATAGTGCTAATGATTTCCAATTGTAAACAAAAATCGATCAGAGTAGCTAAGCAGTTGTATTTTTGGATAATCGGAAAAATTAATCTTGAAATGGCGGATTCATATTATGGATAAACGATTATAGTGGTGTATGCGTTGTTGTAAGACCGAATTGACATTGCTAAGAAATTGTTAAAGGTTTCAAAATCCAGTCGATAAACAATTACGATGATGCATGTAATCTAGAAATGATAATTGAGATCTAAAACGTATCTAACATGTCGAATCAAATGAGTCAAGTTGAACTAGCCTCCCTAGTATTTCCTCTCCTAAATTCAAACGTAGCCTAATGAGGCTTTTTTCAGACAATTCTACAGCCAATCATCACAATCTCTCAGCAAATCACACACATCCAAACAACCTTAGTCCACACGTAATGGAGAGAAGGAAAAAAAAAAAATCAGTTGGTGGTGGTGGGTAAGTGAGTGGACGCTTTCAACTTTGGACAAATCTTAATACCAAATCTCCAGTATAGCTTTCCCCATTATCTACGCTTTGCCATTACAAGCCTCCCGAAAAGGAAGATGATTGGCAAACCCTAATGGCTACAATCCTACAACACTATGCTTTACTGACAACTATCAATAGGCTTCAATCTTGAAAGAATTGTGATCTTTGCACAAACTAAGAAGGAAAAGAAAGGGCTAGAGTGGTTGCCTGTAGATTTCTCATGATCTTTCATCTAGGGGTGACTTCAGTAATGGTGACAGGAACGGAGGAGCTATGGTTGTCAGAGGACTGCGCACTTGACCTCTTATTTACGCAAGCCCCGTCAGCGCTGACCCCGTCCGACGAGTCCTGGAAAACCCCAGGCGCCGTGAGCAGCTTGTCGTTGAGCCGCGTGCTCGTGGACAGCATTTCCACGACCTGGCTCATCGACGGCCTTCTGTTCGCGGTGGCTTGTGTGCAGAAGAAGGCTACTTTCATGTGTCTCACCACGGCTTCTTCGTCGTCGAATCCCCCCATCTCTGCGTCCACCAGCTCCAGGAGCCTGCCTTCCTCGTAGAGCTGCCATGCCTGCTCAGGGAAATCAGGAAGGAGAGTTTGTTTTGATGCATTCAGAAGCTTTTTCATGAAGTAGGAATTCGACGTGTGTTCTGCTTTTACCTGTTCTAGAAGGAGCTTCTCCGTCCCACCCCAGCTGGCCTTTGAGCTGCTTCTGCCGCTGATTATCTCCAGGAGTAGGATGCCGAAACTGTAGACGTCAGCCTTCTTGGTTAATTGGCCGCCAAGTGCATATTCTGGCGCTAAATAACCGCTGAACAGAAGCAAAGTAAAAATGGAAGTTACTACTTACTATCATGCTATTGCAACTGAAACGGACAAGCAAAGTGGAACATTGAGCACAAAACCTACGTGGTTCCTGCAATTCTCGTGCTGATATGAGTGATGTCATCCGGAAAGAGTTTGGCCAACCCGAAGTCCCCAATTTTCGGGTTGAGATCTTTGTCAAGAAGTATGTTACTTGCTTTGATGTCTCTGTGAACAATATGCGGCACTAGCTCTTCGTGGAGATAAGCGAGACCTCGAGCTATCCCCAAGCATATGGCAGCTCTTTTCCCCCAATCTAGCCTTATGTTTGAATTCCTTGAACCTGAATTTTGGAAGTAGGCAAAATTTCAACAGTGGAACTGATTCAGCATCATTGTAAATTCAATGAGTAGGAAAAGTTGTAATGTAAGGATGACGACATCGACCATAATCTAAGTTCAAACCTAGGGGCTAACGATAACCTATCTAAAGCAGCTGTTCAGTATCATTGCGTCATTAAATATGGGAAATTGGGACCAGCAAAGTTGGATAGAACTCACCTAACAAACAATGGTCAAGACTATTGTTTTCCACGAATTCGTAGACTAGCATTCGGTTAGCTCCTTGAGCACAGCAACCTATCAACTCCACAAGGTTTGGATGCTTAACTTTCGCCATTGCCCTGATCTCGTTCAAGAACTCCCTCACCCCTTGCTTTGAATGGACAGAGAGTGCCTTCACGGCAATTTCCCTTCCATCTTTCAGGGTTCCCTAGGCCACATTACACAGAACAAAAACAAAGACACCATTACGAACATTGACAATTGCAGTATCCTCCCTCTGCTACTAATTTTTGTAAATGGGGACATGGAGGCAAGCTGGCAAGTAACTTGCTTCACCATGTTCAAGCATTGTGTTCGTTCTCCAAGTTCCAAGCTTCAAACAAGGCTTATAAACAATGGTGGTGGGTGTGAAATATCAAATAAGCACACCTTGTAAACTGTACCAAAACCTCCTCTCCCGATCTTCTTCCTGAAATCGAAATCTTCCGTTGCTGATCGCAGCGTATTATAAGCAATATGGTTAACATCGCGAAGCAGATCGCCTGTGAATCACCCAGAAGAAATAGCAAAGTTCAGCATCATGCAAAGAAGGCATTTTGATAATTTTCAATCCGCGGAATAAAATTGCTCACCATCAACGCCGTGATGAGCCCATGCGGCGGATGTTGAGGCAGCGCCGTCCTTCCGACCAACCGCGGCGGCACGGAAGCAGCTACACTTCATTGCGTCTCTTCTCTGGTAACCAGCAGTAACTTCCCCTCCCTCCCAAAAAAAAAAAAAAAATCACATAGCTATTTGCCTTCAAGTGACCAGGCGGATTTCCAGAGGAGCTGAATCCTAGGGTTTCTGATGATGGTAATCACTGCCAAGCAAACAGTTGAATTCATGGAAATGAAGTACAGAGATTAAGAGAACTCCAGAGTCCAAACCTACGCCGTCAAACACTCAAACGGAACCAAGTAAGCTGAAATCGAAACGCTAAGAAGGAATCGAATTCGAGTAGTAAACTGAATATACCTTGGAGAAGAAGAAGAAGAGCTGGAAGGAAGCAACTATGGCGACGAAGCAGCTGCTGCAAATTTCAAACACGCGCTACTTCTTCTGTTCTCCTCTTTTTCTTCTTATGTTCCCTTTGTTTAATTGTGTGAGGGAAAAGGAAAATGCATTTGCACTTGCAGGCAGGCGCTAAAATAGTAAAATTATGAATAGTAAAATTATGGGTTAATACTTAGTTTGGTCTGAACTATACACATATTTTTTACTTTAGTCCGTAGTATTGAAAATTGCTATTCTGGCCTCAACTATGTAGCAAACTTCCTCATTTGGCCTGGAGGCGGGTTTGACCGTCAAATTAGACGGTCAAACCTGTTGACCGTTAGTCAATGTCCACCTCACCTGTCATGTCAGCTTTGAGGACATAAAAAATTATTATTTTTATTTATGAATTTTGTTTTCTTTCAATTAATAAAAATCATAAATCAAAAAAATTAATTAAAAGAACGAAAAGGGCCCATTTTTAGCAAATGACAAGAAAACAAAATTCAGAAACATATATAAAAAAAATTATGTCCTCAAAGCTGACGTGGCAGGTGAGGTGGACATTGACTAACGGTCAACAAGTTTGACCGTCTAATTTAACCGTCAAACCCGCCTCCACGCCAAATGAGGAAGTTTGCTACATAGTTCAGGTCAGAATAACAATTTCCAATACCGCGGGCCAAAGTAGAAAGTATGTATATAGTTCAGGCCAAATTAAGGCATTAACCCTAAAATTATATACTTTTCCGTCTCTCTTAATATTTTTTGGGTTTTATTTGGTATTTTATTTTTATTAGTCTCCTTTTCCTTTTTCCAGCTCGCCAAAATATACTTTAGAATCATCTTCTCCGACAATTGTAATTGTCCAAAATGAAACGATTCGAAATTCTCTTAGGCGTCGTTTGGTAAGCAGGTAATCTACCAACAAATTTCAAGATTACATGATATCTGAGATTTCACTGGTTTTTTCATTTTTTTGACAGATATCATGATATTGATGCACCATGTAATTCTATAATTCATGTGATCATGATATCTCAAATGCTTTGGGTTACCCAAAGTATTTGAGATTTCATGCCAAAGTATGTGGGTTCTACTATAAACTCATGGAAGCCAAACAATGCATTCTAATATTACACAAGTTCTCACAACTCAACCTACAATATAGTATATACATGAATTCTTCAAATACGTGAATTCTACGTTACGTGCTTACCAATTGCTCGACACCCAATATTGTATAGCAAAACGAGTCAAACTTAAGAAAATTATCTTAAAATGAGATAATTAAACCAAAATGGTCTCACAATCTGACTTCATCCAAACAATTCATAAACTAATTCTTTAGAGGACTATAAGACTAAAGACATACATGTTTCTTATTTAGAGCTAAAATTGGTGTGGGTATTCAACAAAGAATATTGCAATGGTGTTTTACTAAAAAAAACTTGTTTTTAATTCACACTAACGCTAGGTGTATTCAAATGGAGTGGTTACCGTGGTAATCGTTTTAATCAGTAATATTTGGATAATTTGGTTTGGTTAATTTGGATAATTAGTTTGGTTTGGTTAAATTTTTTAGCTTGTTTGGTTTAGGTGGTTTGGTTTCAGAGACTGTCCTAACCGTTCTAACCAAATTAACCAGTTAAGTAATTAGCCATATATCTAATATTTCATACACACATACTTAATACTTTGCATAACCACTTAAGATTCAAATGTAAGATAATTGTATTATTTACGTGTATTTATGTTAAGAGTTAACTATAATTATGTCTTGATTGTTATGTGTTATTCAATATATAAATTGCAAATTTATGCACTAAGTGGAAAATTTTCTCACTTAATGATAATGTGATGGTATATTGGTTATTTCGGTTAACCAATTAACCAAACCGATTAAACTTTAGTTTGGTCAATTTGGTTGTTGTATTCGTTTGGATGGTTTGGTTATGATATTGTATTCCATAGTTAATAGAATTTAGATTTATTTGGTTTGATAATTATCTTGATAACTATTTGAACACTCCTACGCATAACTCATTTTATATAGTTTCCCTCTGAATTATTTTTATTAATAAATTACATATTTCATCAAACAAATTGCTTACTATTTTAGGGTGGGTTGATTGTTTGGTTTAGGTGGAAATTGGAAGCGTTGATTGTTGGTGATACCAAAACCGTTGAAAATTATTTTTTAATGTTTTTTTTATCACTGGTTGGAGGATAGAAAATTAGAAATTATTGGCCATGATTTTTCTACGGCAGGGTCCATTCGCAGAGGGAAAAGTTTGAAGTTTGAAGCAGTCGTTAAATTACATGAATCATGATCTCTCCTTCCGCTATTGCCCGCGTTCCGGTCACTGATTTTGATCGATTTGATGCTAATTGGTTCGATTAGTGGTTAGTCACTTGCCCAAAACAGTTAATCTCTAACCAAATCAATAATTCATATTTTGATTAGACACTAACTATTGGTTTAGTCAATGATTAGTTTAACCTGTTAACCAACAACCAGACTTAGCTTCCTCCTTTTTGTATTTTGCTATTTTTTCATGGTTAGCTCTTTTAACAACGAAAATCCTACAAAATATTATGAATTTCACATCTCAGATTCAATTTCTAACACATAATACTAAAAACAGTCAATCACCAACCTAATTGTTTATCGGTTAACCACTAATCATTTTAGTCGGTCAGTGATTAAGCATTAAAGCAAAAGTAACCAATCGATAACTTAATCATTAATCTTTATTGGTTATTAGTTAACTCGATAACCATTTGCTAACCATATTTACGTGTATTTCTAGCTATATTTGAAAGTTTTAACAAGGCATGACGACTCTCTGCCATTTATATTGACCTAACTGTTTCACAGGCTTTTAGTCACTTGGACATTCTAAGATAAAAAAGCTATGATATGATTTTCTAACGTCTTATACAAGACTCCCCCAAATACTTAGGTCTTATATACTCATTGAAACCAACTTAATCATTCTCAAAGCTAACACTCTATCATGAAAGAGGGTTCAGAAAATTGGGGAGTGGAAGAAAAATTAAGAGGGAGTAAAATAAGTTGTGTTCAATTTTGAAGGGAAATTAAAGGAGAAAGTAATATTCAAAAATAGCAAACATTTATTTCACTCGACAATTGCTATACCAACTTTTTCTCCCAAAAAAATTACTCTCTAGTACTCTAACAAAACTTATGATCAAGATAAAATTTATGAATATCTCTCAATATCTCCCAATTTTCTCCCTTTTTTTGTTACTTTTCCTTCTTCCAAAAACAAAGTTAAGATATCATAATCATCCACTCTCTAGATAAATAAACTATCGATACACGTTTGGGTTGTCAGTTTTGGGCCTGGTCTGTAACCGTTTCCTTTACCATATTGGATTAGGTTTCGACCTACATGAAGAAGTATAAATATTTCTCATCTCCTCTGTAATCTGTAATCTCCTCAATATAGTGAAACTGGCTCTCTCCTACCCGTGGACTAGCTAACACACATTGTATTAGTGAACCACGTAAATCGTGTATAGTGTGCTTTCTATTTTGGTTTTCTAACTTTGTCGATTCCGGCGATTTTCCAATCCGTAGCAGCGCAGTTACAACAAGAATAATCAGAAGAACAGAAAAAAAACGTGCACTTGGGGAAGCCACACATTTGGTCATTTGATGTGATCCCATGTTTCCAATACAATGAAATCCTTGACACCTCGTGACTTCCAAGCTTTCATACCTCACGAGATTTTGGTCCAACTTGAGCATATGAGTGGCGAAGAAAGAGCCATTCCAAAAGTCCAAACCCTCCAACAATATTGTTGTTTGGGCTTCTAGGAAATAGGTTTGTGGTCTATGTGTAGTCAAAATTGCACAAAGACGGACTTGGGAATCAAAATGGGTCATTTATTTTGTTGGATATATTCTCCAAGTTAAGGTGCCATCGAAATATATTTAGAAATATATGCACGAGTCTACGTAGGACGGTAGGAGTGTAAACAAGTGATTTTGACTATATTAATTAGGAAAAACATGATTCTATATAGAAGCATTGATTATCTTGAACTGTAAAAGTGCAAGTTTTTAAAGTTTAAATTGTAATTTTCACTATATTGCTATAAACTAATTTAATTGATTAGGATGTCGTTTAGCATGTACATGTGTCGCGAGATATGTAAATCTCAATGGCCTATGTATTATGGATGTGAAATTATATGAATTCGCATAATATTATAATTTAATAATGTCTGACTTGTAAAAATCATAACAAAGCATTTGGATTTACCAAATTTTATTGGATTATATAGGCATGCTACCACGGATAGTAACATTATATAAACTTCCAATAACTTGAGTTTCGTATCAAAACTAAAAAACAACAAACAATATGAATTAACAATAGAATAATTAATGGAAAAAAACACATCGGTTGTAGTAGATAATTTCTCTTGCAACCCGATTAGCTTAGATATAGAATGAATGGGTTGAAAATGAAAATTTGTTTTAGTGTAAGTGGACCATTTGTGTTGTGAGGCAGCACGGCTGGGGCAGTTTTTTCTCTATCATGGGCCTCGTTTTGTAGTCCCAAACTAGATACAAGAAAAAAAGCCCATAGCGAGAGCAATGATAGGCCCAGTAAAACTTTGTCTCTTGAATGAGCTTATCCGGATTCTTACTCGTACAAACTCGAAGCTCAATCATTTATTGGGCAATTACATACATATGTTAACCCTTCCACTTAGACTTAATTACCCCTCCATTATCATAACCTCCTCTTCTTCATCCATCAAATCCATGTCCTTCAATATATGATATATCTCTAAATATGTAAGTTATGAAGATCGACTTTTAAAAAATTAATCGAGTTACAAAGTAAACGAAAAATGATGAATAATATTAGGGCTGGGAAACGGTGTGGTCTGGTCATATATACGGTCTATAATTCAGATCAAGAGACTGGAGTATAAACCAGACCAAACCAGATTAGACCAAGAGATCAAGACATCATATAATATAAACCATGTACTAGACCAAACCATTCTTAACGGTCTACGATCCAGACCAAACTGTGCGATCCGGTTTGATCCATAGTTTTTCAAAATCTATTTTCCCAGCCCTATCATATATCTGAAATCCAAATATATTGATAGGAAGAAATCATCCAGACCATTATACCAAATTATTGGAGTTTTTTTGTTTAAAGTATAAGTTGCTTTCTAAAACTTTAATTATAACGAATTTTTTGTGATTAAGTCATCTAGACCTATTTGATGATGGGTCTAATAAAGAATATCTAGAAAAGACGTAAAAAAGAAAAACAAAGAACAAAAGTCGACCTGACTTCTCCCGCCGTCCAATCGAGAAAGAAACGGCCAGAATTAAAAAAAAAAAAGAAAAGAAAGTGAACGCCGGCGAGAAGAAACGCCGCCGGGTATAGAGGGAGAGACAAAACACCGCCGTCCTCCGCCGTCCCACAAAATCTCCCAAAACTTCTGGAAGAAGAATCTCTCTCTGTGTCATCCCATTTCCTCCCCAACAAACCCTAGAAACCCCAAAAAGAAACAAAAACTCCAATTCCCAATTCCTCGCTCGCTCCCCTTCCCTCATGTATCTCTCTCTTATGTAATCGCACTGTCGAGTGTCGAACGCCCGCCAGCCCACACTAAC